ACGGCAGACTGAATCCCACAGCACCAGCAGGAAAGCTGGAAAGTTGTCTGTATTGGGATCACTAATAGCGTCAAAGAACTAGTTACATAGACTGGACTGATCTATGTAATAAGTACCCACAGGAAGACGTGGCAGACTGGCAACCACAGCAATACCAGTAAGAAGGGAGAATAGTTCGCCCGGCTGGACACAGCATAAAACCTGGCGGACTGGTACCCTAAGAGAGAGCGATAAAGAAAAGCCTGGCCTCCATACGACTTAATTCTGGCTTGCGAGGCCGCGAAATCAGATTGTTCCTCCGGCGGGAATGAAACACAAGAGACAGTTCAGATATAGCTGTGACTAATCAAGTGACAAAAGGGAGCCATTTTACCAAGGTATGGACCTTTTTTCCGTAGTTTATCGCGCTCTTGCTTTCCACCTCCATTAGCACCTTGTTTTCACCTCAATATTTCGTGACCCGGGCAAGAACCTTAACATGTTGTAAAATTGGAAGTGGTTCCTCTTCGAGTCCTCTTTGATTTGCAGAAAATTAACTAACTTCGATAGACTGATAAGTTTCCCGCAACTTTAAAACTAGGCTCATCCTTTAGTTCACAATCTAATTTCCTACCTAGATCCTACCGTTTACCCGTAATTGAAATGTATCCATTAACCGCTTGGCCGTGGAAGGTCTAGGTACGAGGCTACCTGTTAAATAAAAAAATAGTCACAACCTAAATTATGGTTGTTTTGCTCTTTGGTGCCAATTTTATATTCTCACTTTACACTAGGCAGTTGAATCAGTCAAACAAACAGTTGCTGTGAATTATGGTGAGCCACCATGAAGCAAGATACTTTAGGTTATTTTCCTTTTTCACCACAGGCTTTCTTACTTCGGAAAAGGAAAACAGCCTGCAGTGTAATAAGGTTATAAAACATATGAATTACCCTGAGCAGTCATTCACTAATGGCAGGCTCTACAAAACATAGTTAACTATCGTACGATGCAGTTTTTCTTTTTCCTTTTTTTTCAATCAGGGAACTCAGACCTGTCAAAGTTCAAGCGTCGACAAATGAGGAACTAGTCTTCCATTCAACCTCTGTGTGACTGCAAGAAAGTTCAGAAAGAGAAGAGAAAAACTATCAATTTAAGCACAAAGTACATATCGCAAGTTATGGCATTCTGTTTAACGGTGGCTAAGAGGTAAAGCAATCGAGACATAATTTGTCGAAAAATTTTTAGATAGAATGGAACATTGGCGACTTTCAGCAAGCAGTCCTTCAGCGGCGACAGAAAGTTGCTCCAAAGGTCTAAAAATTAAGGACGGAATGTCAGATTAACGCAGTGCCTCAACTTTTATTCTTAGGAAAGACGCTACTTTCTCCTTTGTCTAATTTGAAATAGTTTTATCATAAAACCTAACACACATTTCAAATAAATGATTTGTTAAGTTTACCAAGTTGACCAAGCCGCAATAATACGCAAAAACGCTCTATTGTATCTCAAAGTTCTGGCTGATTACAAAGGATTTACTTTTTAAACAACAGAACCTCTGTAAGTGACCGCTCGAGCCTTTTCTGTCCAGTTTTCTAGCATAGTTCGTGGCGAACACGCAGAATGTCGGAGAAACGAAGATTAGGATAGGAGACGCATACATGAAGGGATTGTTAAAAGTTGCCTGGATCACGACTCTAATTATGAATTGCACAATTTTTTATTGAAAACGAGAGTTCAAAATTTGCCGCATCACTTTGTCTATTTTTATCGGAATCTGAATTGGTTCATGCTTTCAAAACTTTTTCTCTATGAGGTCATGACGTCATGTTAAGAGGAGGAAAATGGAGGACGCATCTTGTCAGAATTAAAAAAAGGTCATGAGATCATTGTGCAGTACAGGATTTTTCCAAAAAATATTGTTTTCCTATTTCCTCATGAATAATGAAAAGCTCTTAGGGTGTGTGCTGCGTGTAGCGGGGGGGGTGGGAGGGTGGGGTGTCATAGGGAGAAGAGGGAGGGAGGGGGTGCAGGAAATTTCAGTTTTAATATAAGTTGTCATTCTTGGACATGGATCATATAGATTATTTAACCGATCCGGCAAACTGTGAGCTCTTGTTTCCAAATGGCACCCTTAAGTCGATTATGGTCCTAAATTACACGTGCAGGCAACTTTTGATAATATTTTATGATTCCTTTAATCATTTTGTTTGCAAAGACTTGCGTAGTTTTCATCAGTTTCATTTAGGCTCGTTTAACTGTGGTCGCTCACAGATGTTAAACTCTTTGCTGTTTTCCAGCTCTTTAGTTTTATTATATAACACTATTATTAGATGCTCCATCCTCTATATCCAATAACCATTTACGTTTCCTGTTACTGAAGTCATTAAGTAAGTAATTAAGTGATACACAGGTTTGCACGTAGTTCGGTGGATAGCACAACAACGATCTTCCAATTGCCTATGAATGCGACCAAGACGAATTAATACATAGATCAGCGGAAAACAGTGAATTCTTCTTGGCCTACTGTAACAGCGGAGCTTAATCTAATTACTAACATCAACTGCAAAATGACGCCGAAAAACTGCACGAAGAATTCTTTTTTTTCCGGTTTTCTCAGTGACAAGCTACATTTTAAATAAGTTAATTCTAAGTTTTATTAAGATGGAAATAAATTTCATACGTTTGCACCATTGCTGGCTAAGCGTTTCCTAAAGGGAGACAGAACTGTTCTCGGGAATAACATTTTAATAAAGATTTTATTGTTTTGTTGTTGTTGTTGTTGTTTGCTAACAGATCTTACTGAATATTGATTTTCTGAATGAAAAGGGGTTAAAATTTATTCTCAACTCAAAAATTCGCCGACAATCTTAGTGTCTGCTACCATTCTGACAAGGTGACCTTAGTTTGGGGAACACGTTCGAGAATAACTTGTGTGATGTGGTTTATTTAGAATTCTCTACTTAAAATAAATATTATTGTGGCAACTAGTTTTTTTTCCTATTATTTGCGAAATTCTGTTCTTATAAAGATACTCAGGACTTGAGGACTAAGGTGCCTTGGGAAAATTTCGAGATTACATTTCTGGATGTATGGAACCGACTGGTTCTTTCAAATGGAGTTTTTCGAATAAGTCCCCTGAACAAAGGTCACCCTGTCGCGAAGGTAACAGACACGAAGGTTCTACAAATATTTTTGAGTCATGAATAAAAATTATAAAATAATTCAAATAGTACGTGCGCTAAAACCATTTTACATGAGCGTACGTAAACACGGTTTTCGTTCCTCTTTCATTAGTTATTTTATACATGAGCGTATGTAAACACGGTGGGAGAACACTCGATTCGCTTCGCGTCATGGTTTCCTACGCTTATCTCGTGTTCTTCCAACCTCTTTACATCATTAGTTCATTCATTAAATCAATATTCAGTTTAAATATTTACTCTACTTTTCCTGCTACAAATAGCTGTCTTAGTGTATGCAAACGTCAAATTCTAAAATTTTATTTAGCTTTTTTCTCTTTATTAACCCGTTAACCCCGAAGAGTGACCAAAATTTTATTTCCCCTTACAACATCACCCTTGAATCAAACATTAGGGTCACAAGAATAAAGGAAATGATCACCAACTGATGTGCGTATGCTTCATTTAATGAATTTCTTAATACTGCAATGGCCACGTAACCTTTACACTCGTCATCCCCAAATGTAGCTGTCATCTGTTTAGAGAGAAATATCAAACAGGAAGACCATTTCGTAGTATGTTGTTAAATTAGTTGAATGAGGAACGAGCGCTTTTCATTCAACTAAAAAATCCCACCAATGGCGTAGCTCCACTTTCTACATATAAATCCACACACAACCCACAATTTCTCTAGTCGCTCTGACGAAGGGCTAACGCTCGAAACGTCAGCTTTTTTACCCTTTACGGTGACTAATTTACGTTTTCAACCCAGTTGTTAACACTAAATTACCTGGGTAAATGATCGCCATGCTGAACTATCCTCCCTTCTTTTTTCTTGGCGATATTTACCAAAGGAAAATAATTAAGACCTACATATTTGATTAAGGGAATTTTCCATTGTCAACTCGACCAGGGTTATGAAAGTCGTATTGAAAACTGCCCTGCCGGAGAGATGATAAACACAGACGAAAAGTTCTGAATTGGTCAAGCAGAGATCAGACTGACAGAACAAAATTGTAGGACCATTATGATATTAGAAAATAAGAGACTTTTAATACACCGCTGTGGTGGATATTATTTATTTTGAAAGATCTGCGCTTTATTGTGGTTTGTTTCAAGTGAACAAGAATCCCCTGCCTTACGAACCTTTTTTTTTTTTGCTCCGTTTTGCCTTTTATAACGAAGTGTTATAACGCCCTGCCAAACACTCAAGTTTTTTAAATCTCAATTCTAATAATACGATATTAGATTTCTCTTATCAAAAGGTAATTTTGAATTACTTCAAGTAAATAGCAAGTTTTCCATCTGAACACGTGGTGTGCAGGGATGTTTTTGGTTAGGGTGAAAGTGTCTTCTTTAAATATCAAAAGAGAGCATTTCTTGCTTGTCCTTACAGAAAGGAAAATTAGAAAAGGGGAGGAAACCGAGAGAAAAAATTATTGGCGCTCTTTAGGATGGGTAAATGATCTCCATTCTGAACTCTACTTCCGTCTTCTTTCTTGGCGACAACAATCGGGAACACATTCGAGAATACCTTGCGTGATGTGGTTTATTTAACATTCTCTACTTAGAATAAATATTACTATGGCAACTAGTTCTTTGTTTGTATTCTTGGCGTAATTCTTCTCTTACAAAGACACTCGGGACTTAAGGACTAAGGAACCTTGGGAAAACTTCAAGATTGCATTTCTGGATGCATTAAACCTGTGTAGAGATAGATACTTCTGGAACCGACTGGTTCTTTAAAATAAGTTATTTTCGAATACGTCCCCCTGAACAGAGATCCCCTTGTCACGAAGGTAGCAGACACAAAGGTTATAGCAAAATTTTTGAGACAGGAATAGTTTTTGTACCTTTATTCAGAAAAATCAATAATCAGTTTAAATCTTTATTCTACTTTTTCCCTCTATAAATGGCTGTCTAAGTGTATGCAAACGTCAAATTCTAAAATTTTATTTAGCTTTTTTCTCTTTATTAACCCGTTAACCCCGAAGAGTGACCAACATTCTATTTCTCCCTACAATATCACCTTTGAATCAAACATTAAGGTCACAAGAATAAAGGAAATGATCACCAACTGATGTGAGTGTTCTTCACTTGATGAATTTCTTAATACTGCAATGGCCCACGTAACCCTTACACTCGTCATCCCCAAATGTAGCTGCGTAAACCCGGGCTGAGTTCTGGGCCTGTCCTCTAGAAAGACCGACACCGTAGACAACAGAGGGACAGCTTATCCCGGGCGGTGTGCGGCGTGTGTTACAGCGAGCGTAGTAGCTGTTTTTCGCAAGCTTTACTCCGAGTTTGGCTGCGATTCTAAGAAACCAGGCGACTGGTACAGCTTCAGTATCGTCAGGTACAGTTGTAAAAAGAACCAGAACGAGAAGAGTAACAACTGAATGGAGTTTCATGGCTTCTCTGTAACCCTGCTGGGGTTGAAAACATGAATATAACTTAAAAAGAAGAACTAACCAAGATTTTTAAAGTTTTTCTTCCTTATCCTTTATCAGTGGTGTTCCTTACCTCCCAGGTCTTTTATATCAATTCTTAAATAGTACGGTAATAGGTTTCTCTTATTCAAGGGCATTTTTTTTTATTCTAAGCAAAAAAAAACAAGTTTTCCATCTGAATACGCGACGTGCACGGATGTTTTTGGTAAGGGTGAAAGTGTCATCTTTAAATATCAAAAGAGACCATTTCTTACTTGTCCTTACAAAAAAAAATTAAGGAAACTTAGACAAGGGTAAAAAAATTGTTGGCTTCTTTAGGGTGGGTAAATGATCGCCATGCTGAACTATCCTCCCTTCTTTTTTCTTAGCGCATTTAAATCTTTTTCGTTGAGTATATTTACCATTAGAAGACACTGACAAAATTTAGTTCGACGTTTATGATATCTTTTGTTAAAGGCACTTACCTTGAAAGTAGTAAATATTCTCAATTCGTTAATGACTCTTTGGATCCGCTGGCCGCGTGATTTGCTTGAGGCTACGCAGATGTTGTCTCCTCTTAAAACTATCCCCTTCTCCAGGTCAAAGCTAAGTGGTCCAGTCGCTAGCACCGAGGAACATTTTATATGGTGTGAACAAGACGATGTTTACCAAAGAAAAATAATTAAGATCTACATATTTGATTAAGGGAATTTTCCATTGTCAACTCGACCAGGGTTATGCAAGTCGTATTGAAAACTACCCTGCCGGAGAGATGATAAACACAGACGAAAAATTCTGAGTTGGTCAAGCAGAGATCAGACTGACAGAACAAAAGCGAAGGACCATTATGATATTAGAAAATAAAAGAGACTTTTAATACACCGATGTGGAAGGAAGATCGTTACATACACAGTTGGCGGATATTATTCATTTTGAAAGATCTGCGCTTTACTGTGGTTTGTTTCAAGTGAACAAAAATCCCCTACCTTACGAATCCTTTTTTTTGCTCCGTTTTGCCTTTTATAACGAAGTGTTATAACGCCCTACCAAACACACAGGCTTTTTTAAATCTCAATTCTAATAAAACGATATTAGGTTTCTCTTATCCAAAGGTAATTTTGTATTACTTCCAGTAAATAGCAAGTTTTCCATCCGAATACGTGGCGTGCACGGATGTTTTTGGTAAGGGTGAAAGTGCCATCTTTAAATATCAAAAGGGACCATTTTTTTCTTGTCCTTACAGAGAAAAGAAAATTCGAAAAGGGAAAAAAAGGAGGAAACCTACGGAAAAAATTATTGGCTTCTTTAGGGTGGGTAAATGATCTCCATTCTGAACTCTACTTCCGTCTTCTTTCTTGGCGACAACAATCGGGAACACATTCGATAATAACTTGTGTGATGTGGTTTATTTAACATTCTCTACTTAAAATACATATTACTGTGGCAACTAGATCTTTGTTTGTATTCTTTGCGTAATTCTGCTTTTACAAAGACACTCGGGACTTAAGGACTAAAGAACCTTGGGAAAACTTCAAGATCGCATTTCTGGATGTATTAAACCTGCGTGGAGATAGATACTTCTGGAACCGACTGGTTCTTTAAAATAAGTTAAAGTGAACAGAGGTCACCCTGTCACGAAGGTAGCAGACACAAAGGTTATAGAAAAACTTTTGAGTCAGGAATAAAGTTTTCGTACGTTTATTCAGAAAAATCAATCAAATCAAATCTTACTTGTCCTTACAGAAAAAGGAAAATTAGAAAAGCGGAGGAAGGGGGGGGGGGGGAACCTAGAGAAAAAATGATTGGCTCCTTTAGGGTGGGTAAATGATCTCCATTCTAAAATCTCCTTCCGTCTTCTCTCTTGGTGTATTAAACCTTTTTCGTTGAGCCTATTTACCATAACGAAACATTGAGGAAAATCCATTGGATGTTTTGAAGATCTTTAAAAGGCATTTACCTTGAAAGTAGAATATACTCTCAGTCCTTTGATGACTCTTAAGATGCGCTGGTGGCGCGATTTGCTTGAGGCTGCGCAGGTGTTGTCTCCCATTTAAACTATCTCCTTTTGCAAGTCAAAGGTAAATGATCCAGTCGCTAACATTGAGGAACTTTTTTTGTGGCTAAATGCCCGTACACTGGACATTAGACATGTCAAACAATTCAAAAAATTAATTTTTTGTTTCAGTGGACAAATTTTCCGTGCTTGCACATCCCAGAATATCACTCGATTGGCGACACTTAGAAATTCGACGCTTCTGGTCAAGTACGCGGCAGTTAGAAATATTCACCAAAATTCCATTGAAAGGTTACGAAGCGTTATACCTGTTATATGGCACTTCTACCGGTTGTTTCTTTTCAAAAAGGTCTTTATGTAAACCAATAAGGCAACACGTTCCCTCATGCTGTATTTTTAATTGGTTTATTTGATGTCAGATCTCCTACAGTAGTGGTGCATCCTTTACTAAAATACCCCAAGATTCTGTTACACTGAAGAAAAATACAGCTTGACTAAGGTAAAACGGGACAAGATTTTTAAATTAATACTCCGTGAAAAGGCTTTTCTCTGAATTCGGTGGACATTTCCGAATTCCGGGTATTTAATATATATCTGAGAGCGTGCCCAGCAGTCTGTTCAAGCGTCGACGACCAAACGATTTTGTGGTTCGATAAGCTCGGAAGATTTGTTCACTTACAAAAAAAGGCATTTAGAATCTCTTGCGATATCTAAACGAACATGGAATTTTCTTAATAGGTTTATATGAGTTTTTCTTGTTTCCCTCAATATTAACTGAAACTGAAGCCTTTCTGAAGTAAGTGACCTTAACTGTCACGCCACAGCGGTCTCGAAGACCACTTGCTACGAAACCAATGGATATGGGTAGTCTCGGTTGACCACTGAAAAACCAACGTAACCCTTAGAATCGCTTGGCATTTCAATAAAAAATCATATTTACTCAATAGGTTTCTATGAAGTTTTTTTTGTTGCTTGCCCTGCCGGCTTTTCTTTCTTCTGCGCTTCTTTTTTTTTTTATCTAACTCAAAATAAGGGGGGGGGGTGCCGGGTACCCCGTGCCCCTCCCTTAGATCCGCCTCTGTATTAAATCCGTAGAAAACATAGGCACAGTTTATTACATGACCAATAAAACAGTTCTAAAAAACAACACAAGCAAAAACATATGAACTGAAGCGGCCTCTTACATAGCATCTGGCTAGTCTAGCCCCCTGTCTCCCTCCACTAGTCTGAGCCGCAGCTTGTTTTAACTTAACTTCCCCTTTTTTTTCCCTTCGTTTTTTTAGCAGCTGTTGGTAGTTTTGTTCCGAGGAGTGAACCAAGCAGAGGTATCCATAGTTATTGTTCGTAGCGGTCATATGAATCAATTAATCAAGCAATCAATTTTCTGAGATTTACGAAGAATTCGTAACGGTTATAAGGCTCGTTTAATTTTCCAGTAGGCCTTAGAATGCGATGAATTATCTTACTGCATCTCCGGCTCCAACATCAAGGTTACTAACCTTTCTTGTACCGTATAAACGTCAGTAGATGGACAAATTTTTACGTTTTGACACTATATTCTGAAAGCGTGTCAAAGTATCTTAACGATCGAGTGAGATTGAGACAGACTCGGTCGAGCGCCCGGCGGGCCGACTGAGCATAACTGAGCATGCGTTGTTTGACACGCGAGGTTGATTTGCATAGTGTGAAGTCTTGATCTCTATGAGAAAGATCAATGATTTTCGGAACTAAGATGCGGTAAGATTTGCCATTTCACACTTTTCTGATTGGTTATTTAGATGTGGCATTGACTGATAAATTTATTTAAGATGTAAAGCAAGATAAACAACAATAACTTCCAGACATTAGAGCGACGTGTGTTCAAGTAACTTAGGGTCGTGAAGTTGTTAGTTAACTTTTAATCAATTTATCAGGATGCTTTGAGATCTTTGGTAGTTTTGAAAGCTCTCTATTTATGATAGACTGTAAGCAATTATTTATATATTAGAAATAACTCGGAAGAAAAACGCTTGCTTAATTTGGAGGAGCGATGACTGTTCTTTTTACGATGCCTTGACGAACCTATTGGCGTCAACTTTTCTGACACATGCACACATAGTCGACACATTAGCTTATTTTGGAAATAGTTTAAAACCCGTTTCTTATTAGAACCGAGTACGAAGTAGAATGCTACGGCTTGTCAATCTTCACGAGATTAGCACAGTTAATTTTTTTGGAATCCCTAAATTTCTGGTGTCGAGTCAGGACCTGTTGTGGTTTAACATTCTCAATTTTTTTCAGGCTTTCAATAGTTTGATGTAGGTTACGTGGAGCCAAAGAGAGGAAAATGGATAATGATCTACTTTGCAACTTTAGAAAGTGCAGAAAAAGACTGAATACACATGCTTGGGTAAACAATTTTTTCAAGTTTATGGCACATTTTTTAATCCAATTTCATTTTGAAATATTTTAATGTAAATATACTTTTTTTGATCCACAAAATCTCCAGGTTACCTCATGCTCTCGTATCCTTTTGCTCCATGAGCTTTCAGTAAAAATATATTTCTTATTTCTTGTTGAAATATCTGATGTCTTAAGTATTGAACATTAACTGAATACAAGTGATCAATGGAAGCAGTCAGAAGGGCATTTTTGTTTTTCTTTGAAAAATACCAGACTTTTTAAACAAAATTATTGATAAAGACATAAGTCCAAAATCATATCTTTTTTAAGAGAATCTTTACATGGGCATGCAATTGTGTGGATTTTTATAAATTTTGTATGATTGTCCAGTTTTAATCGTCAGTGTGGTCCTGCACCAAAGCACACTTACAGAAGCACTGCTGTCAAAGTTCTATGTTCATCTTTTCTGACTGAAATAGGCTTTAAGATGACTACATTTCTATCCAAAATTTATGGCTAAATTATGTACAACCATGAGCTTGTGTCAGTTTGACTGACTGATTCCTTTAATCACTTCCTGATTGATTGTCATTGATTGAGTAGTTGACTGTCTCACTGTGTGGGTGACTAACTGATAGACAGACTGACCCACAGACTAATAAACCAACAGACTAACTGACTCACTGACTGACTTATGAACTGACAGACTATGGATGGATGGATAAAAGCAGATTGACTGATTGACAGATTATATCCATCAACTAGAAACTTCATGGACACATGCAGGTGGGGGCTGTTTTAGCCTCTGTTCCAGTTCCCCTGTTGTATAATTACAGGAAGATTGTTATTAACTTATCAATAATTTTTTCACTTATGTAACTTACACTTGCCAATGAAAGTTAATGAAAATTGCTGTGGTGGTAGGAACACAACAGGTATTGCAAATTTAAATGTATTCTCTGAGTATAAACTTTTTGCATTTGAGTAGAATTTGTGGTTTTAAGTAATGAACAGTACCTGTCTTGATAGCTGCATCCTTGACTTTGAGTAAAGATATATTTTGTGATGAGGATGGAACCAGAGAATTCAACAAGAGCCTTATCTGTCCAGCTTGTAAGTATATGGTTCTTTGAGTCAAATGCCCCTCATACATATAAAAACTGTTGAAACTAATTGATGGATTTCTCATGTGTTATGCTTCATTGCCAGGTGAAACTAATCTGTCTGCAAAATTTGACGTCATTCGTGTTGATCTACAGGCTTCTGAACAATTCAAATCAGTAAGTGTTTATTAGGAATTGTTTTAATCAGTTCACATAACTCATAAATCAGATATATTCTGCTAGTGCATATGTACATATATTTTGAGTGGGTCTTCTAGTGGTTGTACTTTTTCAACCATGCATTGTTACCATGACAACAGCATAAAGCTCAGCCAAAAATGTGTGGTGGTACCTATTCCTCACCAGTTTGGGCCCTAAGGAATCAAAATGCCTAGAAAGGAGCCAACAAAAAGTGAATGTCTGTAGATAGTTGAAAACAGGGTATTGCAGTTCTTAAATAAAACACCTTTACATTTATTCAGAAAGTGAGCACTCACTTAAACTGCTGGTTGTGCCTGAAATGGGGAGTTGATCTGTACTAGAGTTGGTGTCAATGATATTTTCCCTAAATGTTTGTTTGTTTCCATTTTACAGATGGTGTTGGCTGGTCAAAAACCTGAGGTTGTTATGGAAATTTGCTCAAGAGCATTGGCATTCTGGACATACCAAGTAATATATCCTCACTTATAAGCAAGTAGTATACCCTTCACTTTCTTACCTGTGAGCTGCTTTAGAAAGAAGTTGTAGTTCCTGTGGGAATGAGGTTTATCATTACACTTTTAGAGCAAGAAGTGAGTCTGTGAGGTATTTTATAAAACATGAAAAAATTGTATCTGAATTAATGTCAAACAATTCACTGAATGTATATTTGGAAAGAGTCCTACTCAAAATTTGGGCAACAAATAGCCACCAAAAGCTGTATAAGCCTAAGCATTAAAGTGAGTTCTTATTTTTCTCTAAGCTTCCTAATTTGCCATTTTTGATATATTAAAATTCAAACTTGGCTCCAAGGCTTGGGGGGAAAAACAGAAGAAATCACATTGAGGTTGAGGGATGAATAATTAATTTATTTTGTCTTATTCCCCCCTAGCACTGGAACCATGTTAGATCTTTTAAATATCGAAAATGGCAAATTAATTTGTCTTAAAAAAGTTAAATGTTTTCTCAATTTTCCTCAAGGCAAGTATATTTCTTGCCTTTCAAACTCCTGTTCAAAATGGGTGGAGTGCCTCTTTACATTTTTATGTGCATATAAGTAATCTTTAACAAGACTCAGAGAGAATTAAACCCTTTTTTATAGGCTTACATAAAACTGGTACCTGTTAGCTTTAAAGAATGGGGTCTAAGCTTCTGAGGATAAAACTACTGTTAGAGTAGAGTCTTAAACTTGTTCTATTGTCATACAAGTTTTTTTACAAACAGAACTGATGCCAATTAGTCAAAACTATGGCAGAATAACCACTGATTGGCTAAATGCCTTAGTTTTGAATTAAAGCATAATGATACACCAGAAAATTATGAACAAATGAAAAGTTTTTTCAAATTACATAAACATGAAGAGCAAACTGTCCTTTTACATTATTCACGTCCACAATTGCTATTGTGCTCAGTGCCCTTTCACGTATGAAATACAGGAGGCTGCTGATCCAGTCATTGAGTGTCATTTTTTTAATTTTTTTTTAGGTTTTTGGGTAATGCAGTCTGAGCTAATATGTTTGTGAACCTTTGTAGAGATATGAAAATACTTGTTTCACAGATACCATGCTTCAGATGTTTCCTCTTTTGCATAGACCCACCAGGAAAAAATGTACCAGGATTATGTTGCCAACAAAGCAAAGGAGAAGACAAATCAGTTGGAGCAGTACTATAGTCAAGTTCTTTCCAAAGTGCAAGCAGAACTAAGCTGTATCCTATTGTCTGTGTTTTTCTTTGTAGACTTCATCTTGCAAACGAAGATTTGTAGGATAAATGTGCATATAACAAATTGTAAACACTGTGAGAGCTTTAATGGGTCCTATTGGATTGTGGGGATACAATAAACTTCGAACCTTCCATGACTGGATCAAGGATACATACCTTAAAACGAATAACCATGAACATTTCTTACAATTTAGGAACTTTTTTATGAGACTTTGGAGTAATCCTCCACAAATTTCCTTGACTGCAGTTCAATTTATAAACAGCCTTAAGAACCCAAACATCAAGTAAGTGTTTTGAAACTAATCATAAATTACTCTGACGCTCGGTTAAAGGGAGATTTATTTTGATGAGGAAAACATACATTATGAAATATGTTACTTCATGATAGTAATGTTAGGAAAGATTCTTGATATTTTGCAAAAAAGCTGTTTTGCTCATTGCAGATGACAAGAAGGAGCTGGAGGACATCAAGAAGCGTAATAGTGAACTGTCTGAGAAAATGATGGAAAAGAATAGACAGTATCTTAAGCTCCAGGTGAATACCTTGTACGTTACTCACCCATTTAGAACTGCTGCATGGTTATATAAGAAACGATCTCTATCGGATTGATGGATTTTATGTCACAGTGTGAGGCTATTCGACGATAGGAAGGAAGAGCATATGCTGGTTTTACGTAAATTTCCCTCTCGTTTTTTGTCTATTTAATCACACCCGCACGTAGTTCTGCTTTCTCTTTCTTTTGGTTTTTAATGAGTCACTGCTACTGACCCCTGATTTCCGGTCAAACATCAAGGAGGATTTTACTAAAAAATCTGTTTTAGGAAAGTAAATCTGTGTTTGTGTTCAGTGAATGGCCGTCAGAGTAAATGATGCATGCACAACCTACTGTAAGATATCCTTTCTGTTAAGTCACGAACGTACAGCACTTTGCTATCGTGCAATGTTGATGTTGTCTCACAGAAAGTATTTGTTTTACGTCAACAGGGAATGTATGACTCACTGAGAAGGTAAGAACAGAAATGTGTTTTTAGAAGAATTGTGCAACTTCTTTATTGTCAATGACCCCTTGAACATTTTCACTGTAATTTGTTATGGCCTACAGCTACTAATTAAGACTGAAGGAAAATGGAATGAGGAGTTCAGTTACAAAAGTACACCGCGTTGTAGTTTTTGGCAAACTGATATATTCATGACGTAGATAATTCGACATGGGCAGTTTTTGTCTCTAAACAGAAAATTTACCTACTGAAGCTCGCTCGCCATTTTTTTAACGCAGACATTACTACGCGCTGCAAAAGATTGGCTTGTCGCACATGATTACCTTTAATCATTGTAAGATATATGCTCGTTTTTCATCTGCAGAAAAACGATAACGCCATCCGTTCTAGAAGGACGTGAAGAAAGGATTCTGGAATCTCGCGGTTTGGGAGGAGAAGTGAGTCGCGTATTTGAGATTCCACTCGGGACAGGCGGAGGTAAAATTAATCTAGCAAAAAACTGTTTTATGCACTACTTCTCAAGAAATTGAGAGCAAGGAAATTTTTTCTTTCTCGATTGGGTTGTAACCGATAGCCAGTGGTGCTATTGACAGCCGTTGTTTTGAGCAAACTGACCCAAGGGTGACTGGCTTTTACGAATATTTTGACGTTATAATGTTTATTTACACAATAGAAAACTGGCCTAATGTAATTTGGATGGATTCACAGACAGATGAAAGTGCTGTCTTTCAAGATAAGGCCTCTTTAATTTGGAGTCTTCTTGTGTAAACAAAGACTTTGGATTAGTCAGTGCAAGGTCCTATATCATTTTTAAAACCGTTCACGTGCATGACAATACCTATAACCACACGATCGTTTGATAAAACGTAGAAAAGGGATAATTTTAATACCTGAATGATAGGTGTAACTTTGTTTCAAATTTTCATAGAGTTGCTGAGACGAACAGCTAGTTCTGCTGATGTGAGATATCCTGCAGAGAGTAAGTAAACTCTAGCAGGGACGCTAAGTAATAAACAATCTCTGTAAAATTTTATTTTGGTCATCGATTTTCTGAATCGACTTAAAAGCCCCCTGCATGACCGCCCCAACCACTCTCCTCAGAGCAATGTTGAACTCCAGCCAAGAGGTTGAACAGGAATAGGCCATCATGTATATAAAGGGGGTGGTGAACACGTCTGAAAACTGTTGCCACTGATTGCCAGCCTTATACATCTACTTCAGTAGGTGACATTTATCCTTGGTCTGAATTACAACCTTTTTTCTGCGTCAGAGGTGAAATTGTATGCCGTTGTACAACCTTTTTTCTGCGTCAGAGGTGAAATTGTATGCCGTTGTACAACCTTTTTTCTGCGTCAGAGGTGAAATTGTATGCCGTTGTACAAAAAAAAAAAAAAAGCAAAAACAACAACTTGTGAATGAACATGATGTTTTTATTGTTATGTTATAAGTCTTGGTATTCACGGTTATTAATACACTATTGTAATTATTCTTCGTTTGCACGATAGGAGAATTTCATGTCTTTGATCCACCAGTTCCGGTGTCGGCTCGTGTGTCAACTCCAAGCCATGGGCCGCTGAATGATGCCGATTCAGCTTCTCGCAAATTCACCCTTGATTTTACAGGGACCCCTGGAATTAGCAAACGACTGGGACAGAAAGGAGCACATAAGGAATAGCTGGATTTTTACGTGACATTTTTGATACCCGATTATTGGTGTTGAAGCTAAGAGTGATATTTTACATTTATGTGGCTAATATTTTCTCGTGCCTGTCGTAACGTAGAAGAAAAATACCCAGACTTTTTGTAAGCAAGTCTCTCTTTTTACGGTCATGGTAAGCAGGCAAATAAAAATGTTTCTTGGTTAATCGTGGAAAATTCTTGTTTGCTGCAAAGGACCAAACTTTCGAAGACGAGCTACACATTTTGAAATAATATCGGCATTATTCTGTATTAATCATTTTGGTCGAAGTAATTTATAACAACATCTTGATGCAATTCAATAATCTTAACTTTGCTACAAAGCACCTAGGAAAAGTAATGTTAAAGGTTACCGTCAAATATCGCACTTTGTTCGTGCGAGATATCGCTGATATATCGGCGATATCTCGGAACAGCCGTTGAAGTGTTTTCTGGGACTAATCACCGACATGTAGGTTTCATTGGAGGACATTTGAAACTTTTGGTCAAAGGTAAGGCGACCCTTGCAAAATCTTCGTTTTTCAGACGTCACTCAAACACCATCACTCCCATTTTCCTGTTAGTTAGACCGGCAGAGTCTTGTTTGCTGCGTTCTTATATACATCAGCTTTCTGCGAGAGGTGTCTAGTGATCAGCTCTACAAAAAGTACGAAAGGTAAGACATTTTATTGTCGTTGTTTTGTGTCACTTGCAACAAGGTTATGAGGTGTGATGGGTGAAATTTAGCCGGGTGGATAGATGTAGGAAAACTGTTTTTGATATTTTTTTCCTAATTTGATCTATCAAAATAACGATCAAGGTTGCAAGCTTTTTCAAAAAGTAATTTCATTAGCACGCCGGTGGCTAAAACACTTTACTTTTGAATTTCTGTACATATAGAATGAGATACTACTCTGTGGGATTATGCACAGGCATGCGTTTTTTAGTTGACCTCTTATACTTGCAAGGAGGTCGTCAGAGTAAGTCAGTATACATTTCCATCGGCGCTGTAGTTATTCGAAAATCTATTCCCAAAAAAATTTCTTTTTTTAACTGAATTTGGACCTATTGGCAAAGCTTCCTCTACCTTCCGACTCTGCTTGCCCAATATTACGTTATGGCAGACATTTCTGGGATTTCATCTTATTCTAAACGCCAGTTATAACTGTCATGCTCTAGAGAACGTGCCGAGACAAAACTCGGTCGTGTTTATTACTCTAGTATCTCTATGACCTTGGAATGAACTTACTGCTGACTAAGCCGGCCTTTGGATAGTCAATTAGTAACTTGTTCGTTAGCAAATTAGTATAGATTTATTTTTTTTATTGATGATAAAATGAATTTTATATGCTATTTACTGTCGCAAATAATGAATTGCAGTACAGATGGTTTTCAAAGATCAGGGCTCTGAAATTGCGTCCGTTATTTTTGACCTCGTAATTCTCAGAATTCAAGATGTTTTTAAGTGTTTTTGTTAAATCAACCAATCAGTTTTGTTTTCTTTATTCACCACTCACTTTAAATAATTTTCCACTCGAAAAATGAACAATGACAATTGAAATAAGTATGATTTCATTTTTCGTACTTGACCTTCATCAGGAGTTACCAGGTGTCGATATGTCGTAATATAAGTATGTCATTGAATTAACCGAACAGTGATAGTTTTCGTGCACTCAAGGACAGGCAAGGTGATTATGTTAATCTGCGTTTCCGATGTTAAAATTTCCGTTGGATAATCTTTTGCTGCGGATATGTATCACAACAAAATAAATATGCGTTATTGACCGAGCGAAAGGTCAGGATGCTTTGCAGTGAACGGCGGATTATTTATTTTGGTTACTTTCAAGACGTACGGTGCGATCCCGCTGTTAAAAAAATAGCAGAAGTTTGGCGAAAGCCATGAACTATTTGCACCGGTTACGACATTTTTGCAAGTTTGTTTTCATCGCGGGTAATCAATGAGGAGCATGTCATTACCTTTCCGAGTTCGAGTAAAAGACAGGCTAAGACTGAGTGTAGGAAACAGACCAGTAGACCAACAACTTTTTTACCGGCTGATGTTGAAACTTATTGATCCCAAACAAAATTTTCACACTGTTGTCTTCCGGTTAGAGTTTGGCGTTCATTGTTCCACTGAGCATCATACCTTGTTTGAAAGCCTTGAAACTGTGTACGAAGAGGAACTTTGTCATTATAATGAAGAAGAGTTGATTTTGTCATGATAGTGCCGTTTTTGTCGTTTTAAAATGTGAGCAAAGGAATTATTGAAAGAAAAGATGTAACTCTAACAAAATATTTTTAATGCAAAAAAATGTCCGATGTGCATGTTTGTACAGGCACGCCATTACGGCAATCTTGACATCGCTGATTAGTGATAACACATTATTGTTTAAGTGTAGCCTTGTTTCTGAGGTATTTCAAAATCGTCTCCTAAAATTTATCATTCATGTATTTTAGAACCAATCAGCTGCGACTTCAGATAGTTGTGCCTGAAAGAATGTATTCTGACATGATGGCTGAGCGTGGTTTACGAACAGTAGTGATTTTTGCCCTGCTGTCTATCTGTCAAGGTGAGTGTGAATAGGGGAGGGGTGGGTGGTGCGCAGTTGCTCAGATATTGACATTGATCCGGAAATTATATATTCTCTGTCGCTTTTCAGAAAGGCTTATTTAAGGTGGCTTACATTAATTCATTATGAATTGTATCTACACTTTCTCGATTCTCTCCTTAGGAATGGTGTCCAAAAATGCCCAATCAGGCTTACATACTTGTTGTGCTTTAGAGAAAAATCCTTATTTTAGGCTTTATACGCCTGTGATTCGAAAACGAGATCAGTTGCCCCCTTTCTTATTACGATTCAGTCAAAATATCAAGTTTTTTTCTCAAAACTTTACAAACGAAAATCACATTTGATTTAGCACCGCCTTTATATTCAGTTTGATACTTTGAGATGGCTCATGTGGAGTTTACTTTTATGTAACCTTACAGAAAGAAAATTCTTGATTTCTTAGTTATGATTCAGTCATAAAAGAGTATTCCTGAACTTCCTGTGACTCCTGAGTCACGGGAAGAGAAGTTTAATTAAGGATGTTTCCAAGAGTCTATTGTAGCTATGGTAACCCTGTCTGAGTGAAAAGTTGAGATAATTAGGGTTTTTGACACTCTTTTTAAGGGTATTTCCTGAAGTTAAGTGGGGTTATATGGATTCTATAGAAAATTGGTGTACCACTGTTGTAAAGGAATGCCTTGCCATTTGATGAAAGCTTGCAGTTTGCCTTCTTTTTCAATGACATGTTCACTTACTCTGTTGTAACAGTTTATCAAGATTTCAAGACTCCAAGATTGAACGAAAGGGTTAAAGTTGTTCACAAGACTGAATTTTATTCTTACGAAAGCTTATACGAACCAATCCTCACAAAGCAGAAACTGAACTGATCCTAATGAAAGTGAAAACAAAGTGATCCTAATGAAAGTGAAAACGAAGTGACCTTAACGAGAGCGAAATCGAATTTTAACCTTTAAGTATTTAGGAGGCTATGTCTGTCATGTTCAAGTAGATTTTTGTCGCAAATGTTCAAGAAATATTTCCACAGCAATAGACACCTCTTCTTTAGTCCTTTTTTCCACAAGTAATATTTATTTTATGCTTTTTCGACGTGCAGGTTTGGAAAATTGTACTGAGCCGTGTCTCATATACACTGTTAGGAACAGAATTGACGCCATTGAGTTAGCTTCTTCCAGAGTGGTTAACCTGTTATCCAATCTTACATTCCCCGTCAATCTCGATGTCCATGTAAGCGAAAGAACATTATACTGGAGCGACGTCAGCCATCGTGCCATCAAACGTACCAACATGTCCAGTGGTGTCACGAAGGACATTATTACAGAAGACCATGGATATGTAGGCGACCTTGCCGTAGAATGGGAAAGTCGCCTACTATACTGGACAGATACGTCCTACCGCAGGATTGAAGTTGCCTCGTTAGACGGCACCAAAAGAAAGGTGCTCCTCACCGATTCCTCGAGCTATCCGCTTGGAATAGCGGTGCACCCAAAGAAAGGGTGGGTAAAAAGTGTAAAATGGTCGCATTGAGCCGACTTAGTTTGCGTCTTTCAAAGAATGTGAATGTAACAAAGCATCTTTTTGCATTGACATGGTTTTCTAAAGAGGGGCTTGAGAATGAAATGAATTAACCGTTTTCTAGAGAAAATAATGGGAAATTGTTTTCTCTTGCCGTCATGGGAACTATACTTGCATCGCTATCTCTGGAAACGTTCTCAGTGAATTATTTAAACTTATAACAGTACTAGTATTAGAAATTAAGAACAGCAATCGAGAATGGTCATTTTTATTTACAACGCCATCCTTGAAGCCCTTATTTGTAACCTGCGATGAGGTGTTCCTTAATTTGAATTTTGCTGGGAAGGCGAAGCACCAGCAAAAAGAACGAACGATCTAAGAGAAACCCTGTTTCTTTCTTTCAGATGGATGTTTTGGACAGACGCGGGACAAACTACCAAGATTGAACGAGCAAACCTGGCTGGCTTTGAGCGAACTGTCTTGGTCGATCTCACCGGTTCATCTCAGTTCTGGCCAAGGAGTATTGGCGTAGACTATACAAACGATCGCATCGTTTGGGTTGATAGCTGGACTGGTGCAGTTGATTCGGCTGACTTGCAAGGGCAAAATAGACGAATGGTGGCATCTCAAGTTACCATGTATCCGTATGACTTCATTCTCTATGGCGACACGCTTTACTGGAGCGACTGGGTGGACGATACTATCGAGATGCTTAACTGGACAACTGGCGATTACTTAGGAAACTTCAGCGCTGTGATTTCCGGTAGTGTTTATGGTCTCGGTCTATTCGATAAATCAAGACAACCAGCGTCAGCAGGTAATAAAGGTTAAGTTAAGCCTTTCAGTTTCCCATGAACATAGTCTTGTTTCAAGTAATCTTCTGTTGGCTTGACCATGATGTCTTTTTTGTCGATAAAACTCCGCTTGATGTACCACGAGGGACTCGTACAGGCAAGTTTGGAATAGGATTCTACGACTCTTGGTCAAGCTTAAAGATATGGTAACCAAAAAAGAAAATATGTTTATGTTATGCTTTTAATGATTATTACGTGAAAACTCAAGAATACAGTTAATATTGATACTCAGGAAAGGAAGCAAATTTGGGTTTTTTCGTGGTTTCTCTTCGGGATAACAAGAGCCATATTCTCTTCCTGCAATTAGTATTGAACAAAGCCGGACATCTATATTTTTAAATGAGAAATCCTGTTATTTCACAACTGCAATTCAGTTTCAATTACAATGCAATTGAATCTTTTTGAAATTTGAAATTCACTTAGAAGGTTCTCTTCCTTTTAGAAAATCAGCTTTGTAAGATAGACAACGGAGGCTGTAGTTACTTGTGCCTTTTGACACCCAACGGATCTCTTTGCGCCTGTCCTGATGGCAGTCCTTTCTCAAAAGATGGTAAACGCTGCCTTGCAGGTAAGAATTTTCTTTTTCTGCCAGGGGATATTTTAATGATGGTTATTGCCAAATGATAGCGAGGAGACCGTTTTAATTAGGGGAGGTCAGATCTATCAATGCCGTTCATTGAAAAGCGAATGCCGCCCACTTACGGTTAAAATTTTATTTTTGGTGACCATTTCTTGATTTTCTGACTGTTACTTGCGAAATAAATCGATTTTGTAATAAATTGACCATATCAGCGCTTTGTAAAAAGAACAATGAAAACAAATTTAAGCTGATCGATGTTACAAGTATGAGCCATCTTGGAAAAAGGCTGCTACTTATAGTGATGTGACAGAGGTGAGTGCTGCATAAAGACGACTGTAAAGAAAGCGTAGAACTCAGCCAAAAGAGGTTATAAGTAAATCAAAACGTCCCCAAGACTCTAAATATCTCAGTGATCTATGAACAATGTCTGGAATACTTTAAATGTCACCTAGAATCCGAGACCCTGTTCTCCACTACCTGGAAATTGAAAAATAACTTTTCCGTTAAAATTCTTCTCATCTCAGTTTCAGAGATTACAACATTTCTTCTCTTTGCTGAGGGATCAAACCTGAGACAAATGGCTTTCAACGCTACAACGTCACGAAGAATTCCCCTCAAAGTACCTGCGTCAAAACCCATTGCGCTGGATTTTGACTTTTTGGAAGAAAAAGTCTACTGGACAGACATAACACTGGGAACAATCTCTCGAGCGTATCTCAATGGATCATCTCAGGAGACCGTGGTGAGAGGTGGGCTCAACAACCCATATGGACTTGCTGTAGATCCGTTTGGTCGGAATATTTACTGGACAGACAGCACAGAGCAAGTTATTGAAATAGCATCCACAGATGGACTCTACAGACGAGTACTCATTAAGGATAATTTGCAAAATCCAAGGGATATTATCTTAGACGTCACTCGAGGGTATACAAATGTATCTCATTCTTTATGTGATTGTTTTAAAGATTATTCCAGTCAGTTTGTGTAAAGCTTTTAGTTTCGTGCGCCAAAAATCAGTAAATTCGTGAATTCGTTAGACAAAATTCGATAGAAGAGTTGTTTGTCATTGAAAGTTATATCTGGTTATGTGCAAAATGATTGGCCAGTTGCGGCGAATGATGTCAGATGTGATCGTTTCTTTGCGAGCCATATCACCAGTGGTATCTTAATTTCATCAAGAAACGACATCGATGCAAAATGACTTTCAGCAGGAATATTATTTTTTTCATTTTTTTTTTTTGTTTCGAAAAGTTTTTTCCAATTTTTGTTTTTATTTTACTTCTGCTTTTTTTTTCTTGCTTTTCATCACCAATAGGTACATGTATTGGACGGACTGGGGATGGGACGAGAGGATTGAGCGAGCAGATATGGATGGCACAAACAGAAGAGTGATTACTCGTTATGGGCTGCTTTATCCTAACGGTCTGACTCTGGATGTTTCTAGGAATTGGCTCTACTGGATCGATACTTCTTATGGAAAATTGGAAGTGTACGAGTTTCCATCTAACACAAGGAGAACCATAATACCCGCATATAGGGAACCATTTCTTACTTCTCCATTGGGGCTGACACTCTATGGGAGTAATTTCTTTTGGACTGACACACATCTTGATGGAATATATCGAGCGGACCGTAACACTGGAGGAAACGCTTCAAAAGTCCTATCTACGTCTTCTCGACCAGCTTTGATTCATGCGTATGACAGGAACATGAATATTACTCCAGGTATAATTCAACCTCGATTATCATATTTATAGAATAGAAGTAGTGCGTAAAACGTACAACCGAAGGCTCGTATTTCATTAATTGCGGTACACAACCAAGCCGAGAAGATCTGGTTATCTCGTGATACGCAAAATGGTATTTTGCATGCGCGACAAACTGTATTATGGGTATAACACGAGATACTATTTGAGCACGAGTCTAGGTGAAACTTATTCTATCGCATGTTAGTTGCTTATGAAGTTGGACGGTTTTTCTTGGTCCACACTGTACTTATCGTGACATGCATTTAAAGTAAAGTGGTTTTGCCCTTTGGTCACATGTTCTGTTTGTAATATGGGCCTTTCCGCAAATATTTGATGTACATTAATGTATTTGGTTTGTGCATTAAGAAGAACGGTTGCTTTCGTGCTAGTCGCTCTACTCTCTCTTAATGCAACACCAGAGATCCAACCAGTAAAAAGCAGCCGTTCACGGTTACATATTTGCTTTCAGTTCCCATTTATTATCATTATCGTTATCGTTATCGTTATCGTTATCGTTATCGTTATCGTTATCATTACCATTATCATTATCATTATTGTTATTATTATTATTTTCATTATTATTAGTTATTGTATTGGCCCTTGCAATTCATTCTTGTTCTGTTTCCATTTTAATTCTTGGCAACTTGTGTAAAATTTAGACAAAATGAAGGTGTACTAACCTAAGTATGTTATTTTGTAGTAACGGATCAGTGCATGAACCAAAATGGTGGATGCAGTCACTTCTGCTTAGTCTCAACCAGTGGTAAAAAATGTTTGTGTTCTGCGGGGTTTTATCTTCAAGACGACGGAAAAGGTTGTAAAGGTAATAAATCACAACCATCCATTACACACCTGAGTTTAACTAAAACAGAGTGGCGTGTCTTGGAAATATTTTAATTTCTCTTTCTCAACAAGCACTATTTATCTCTTAGTGTTTATGACACAACTTTTCCCGTAGACTGGTAACGAGTTAATTAAAAATATTAATTTTCCATTGTTTTTTAGATTTACTGTTTATAATACGAAACATATTTTTCAGCGGTAATTATCAATATCCACGTTCTCTTTCAAAAGCGTTCAGAGGCAAAGTTCAAAAAACGGAATAAATTGATGAGAAGGAAAGAAGTTACCTAGACTTATTTTGTTGAGCGAGTAACGAAACTAATTACTTTGATTTTGTCAATCAAGTTTTCACAAGGGAATAATAATGTTTTTGCTCGTGCGCAACTGGTTTAAACGCATGATGTGACCTAATATGCCCCTGCTAAAACTCAGGGATATGTGGAGGATATTGCCCAAGTGATATTCCTCAATTTTTAAACCCTGCGTCCACTACGATAAGTCTCCGTTTTAAATTTAAAATAAGAAGAGGAATCGTTTTGTCGTTCCCCATTTCCCATTTCTCATTTCCCATTTTCCATTCCCCATTCTCCATTTTTCATTTTCCATTTCAGTTTCATTTTCCATTTCCCATTTCCCATTTCCCATTCTCCATTTTTCATTTTCCATTTCCCATTCCCCATTCCCCATTCCCCATTCCTCATTCCTCATTTCCATTGCCATTCCTGCTTTCAGTAACGTCACAGTAAATCAGCCATCTTTTAGAAACGTCCCAGTAAATCAGCCATCTTGCGTGTTCAAAATTGAATCATTTTTTCTCAAGTGACACAGGATACTAATATGAAGCAGGTTTTACATTTTGCATGTGTTTTCATTCAATCCTTTAAATTACTAGTAGCCACTGCCTATTATTGTTTTTGGAAAGGCGGTGACTCCTTCCAGAAAAAGAGAGGCCTTTGCATCAGTGATCTTAAAAGTAAACTTCCTTATCGCAGTGTGCAAACATTGTAATACGTATAAATGTTTTCCTACAGCTCAAAGAGAGATCCTGCTTTATGCAGATTATTCATATGACAAGATAATGAGGGTTTCTCCGCACGACTCTGGATCATTTAATCGATTGCCGTTTTCAAACATCTACAGTCCTTTCGCGCTGGACTATGATCAAGTAGAAGACAGACTGTATTGGACACAATATGGAAAGATCTCCCGCGCATTTCTTAATGGTTCTTCCCAAGAGACCATTATTGACGAGAACTTGTACACCACGTACGGACTAGCAGTGGACAGTGTTGGAAGAAATCTTTATTGGACCAATGCAGGAAAAAGTATGTTGGAAGTTTCTAAACTGGACGGTTCTCGTCGGATGGCTCTTATGACTCATAACATAGATCAACCCATGGACATTATTCTGGATGTATATAGGAGGTTAGTTGCAGTTAACAGATGGATTAGTATTCAAGTTAAATAGGCAAGGGGATGGACAGATTCTGAAGTTAAAACGGTCATAGGCGTTCAATAGTTTCAGTGCTCCAAGTTGCGACCGTTTTGGTCGCCGTGGCGAATGAAAAATTTTATAAGCGACTACAATTTTCAACAGATTTGAAAAAAGAAGTCTAAAAATTTATCGATGTTTGGTGGAATTATCAAACGTACAAACGCCAATGACGCAACATGAACTGTCCTCCCAAACGCTGTCCGTCTTCGTTCCTTTTTTGCTTATTTAGACACATTTGTATTTGTATTTAGATAATTAGTATATATCACACAGGTCACAAATACTTTCTTGCGTGCTCTGATTGGACCCTTTCCGGCATATGACGTGGCATAGGAACTTCGTAATAGACCTCGCTCACCGCCTCTGTGGCTCAGTGGTAGAGCATCGGAGCGCGGAATCCGAAGGTCTGAGGTTCGATTCCTCATGGAGACTCAGAATTTTTTTTTTGTCCCACGCTCGTGACAAGACGAAAAACATCTCTCTGAAGAAAGGTCTTAATACAAGATTAAGTACGCGTCTAATTGCCACTAGAGTGGTTTAGCAAGAAGACGGGAACATCATTTCAGAACGGTGCGCGCAGCAAAAATGTCGATAAGAAACTGGGTCGAGAACGCCGTCGCGTTGTGTTGAAAAGCGATTTAGCTGTCGTTGCAACGAGAATCCTCACCTCGGCTTTTTAAAGATCACCATCACCTTTGAATTTTCGGTTTTATAGACCACTCTAAGGACAACGAAATTATCTTCTTTGAGAGTTACGTAACAAGCACAAACAGAGGATAGTTTGAAACTATCCCATTCCAGTTTAGTCCCGAGTCTGCTGATTCATCTTTCAAATATTTTTTTTCTATGATTTGTGTCGCTGTCATTTCGTTTCGTGCTACTAGATTTCAGCACTACTCGTTTTTCTTCATAATTTTGTACAGGATAATTTGGAAATCGTCGTCATTTTTCCCCTTGTTTACTGAATATTCTTCTCAATTATGACAGTTAATCTCTTTTGAGCACCACCTTCTTAGAGTTAAAATGCATTTTGAACGGAATTATCAGGTGTTATGGCGAAACCATGAAGAAACCAAGCGACCCAACGATGGAGTTGTTTACGATGAGTACCTTTTTATCCGTGAAAGAATGAAATAAACTCAAACTAGTCACCAACGAAACGGTTAGACTTTGGAATAAAACCAGAAGTCGAAATAGAGTCGTGTCCGGACTATCCGCGCGCTTTCCCGTTCTGAAATGACGTTCCCGTCCTCTTGCTAAATCACTCTACTGTTATTCCACAATTACTTCATTTTAGCAAATTAGGTCATAATATTGCTCGCATTTTCCCTCGCTCCTACCGTGCTCGGAAAAATACAACGCAACTCACAAAATAGTCGCGCGTATTTTATGCTAAGCCGTGGAATGAGGTAGAGAGATTGAATAGCGTGAACTGTAATGCAAAGAGCTTAAGATTTTTGATTGAGAAATTCGGCATCTTAAACTACTACTTCCTTATGATGGCCCAACCTACGAAATTTCTTATTTCCATATTTAACGAGGGTAAACTTTTCTTAATACAAACACTCTGTGAAGGTATGTCCTTTTCCCTGAAGCAAAAAAAATTGGTCACACACATGTTGATTACGACAGATTCCTTACACCTCTACGCTTTCGATATGATACTCGTTGGCTACTAGCATATCATCTGAATTAGCTGTCGTTCCAAACACGCTTTAACGTCGAACCTTTTTAAGTTCCTATGAGTATAGAGGCGTTTGCAAGAGGCCTCTTTCAAATTGACGTATACCTGTAGTCAAGTTATACCCAAGAAATTACGTACAATTGTTTGTTTATTTAAAATGATCTTTGATTCCTTTTCATTTAGTCAAAGTTGTCAACAAGTCGCTTACGACTCATGTTTTGCATAACATTTTTGTTTATAGAGTGATGTATTGGACAGACAGTGGCACTAAAGCAAAAATCGAAAAGGCTGAAATGACAGGCAGAAAACGTGTCGTTATCGTTAGCTCAGGACTGTATCGGCCAAACGGTCTCACACTTGACAGAAAGAAAAACCGCTTGTATTGGATCGATGCTGGGTACCGAAAAATAGAATATCTGGATATGAATCAAAATAAGAGGGTGGTGCTTCTAAGTTCTTACAGCCTATATTATGCCTTTGGTTTGACTCTGCTCGGAGATTACTTGTACTGGACGTCGGGTTGGTATAGTTATGGTGTTTATCGAGCCGATAAGGAGACTGGTAGCGGTGTCACCAATTTCATCAGCGGCACTGGATCGTTAAAAGGCATTTGTGGATATAACCTTAGTGAGCCGTTTCCAACAGGTAAAAATAAATTTAACGAGCAATATCGCATTTTGCACACATCTTTAAATACTAGCCCAAATTCTTCATAGGTATATAATTTTGAACTCCAGTTAATCGTTTGCATTGCTCTCAATCTTTGGTCTCTTTTGAGTTTAGGTCTCTTTTTGTTTGTCCACTCAGCAAACTAGAAGAGTCTTTGAAAGTTTTATTCCGTCGGAAGGCGTCATTGAAATTGTCGTTGCGTTACTCTTTTAAGTTCTTGAGTGACTCCTTCAGGAATTGATGGAAGCTAGTTCCCATACATGCGCTTAAGTGTTAAGGGGACGATGTTCTTACAAGTTGCAAAGCAGTCCGTAGGGAAATTGTCAGTGGATAATTCTATTGCGCATGAGCCAATCGGTATATCAAGGGCGCTCTCAGAGGAGTACAAAGTAAAGGCTATCCGGTTCGCTAACGTTTATCGCACGTTAATTTCTTGTAATTGAAGGTGGTTTCCCCATCATGAGTATATACCTAGCTTTCCTCCTTTTACTCATGTCATCTCTCTCCCGTGTTCTCTACATTTACACACGCTCAGCGTGGTTGTGAGATTGAGTTAATAAACTTTAACCTCGCACAGTGGCACTGCCTATCTATAAATGCTCTGAGAATAATCCATTTTACTTCATTTTCGAAAAGTGCATGCAAGTTCTTTGACTGTCAGGCCGCAATGTTGAACCCACATAGCTTATATTGTTGTTGCCATATCGGATAGGTATTGCTAGCTAAAGCCTGCATTCGTTGGAGCGCGCCTCAAATAATTCATGTCGATGAGGTCCCTAGTGTACCTGAGACACTAGCGATTTTTCCTTTTTAAGTGAGTGCGTACGGAATCATAATGGCCCAACTATATGAGCGAATCACGTCTTTAAAACCTAAGCGTACACACTTCATTGGAATATTATGCGATGAAGGACCGAATAGCTGGCTTTAGAATCTTGTAGGCTATCATTAAGGTCCCAAAGAATGGCTCCACGATCCTGAAAACTTCTTTTTAAAATCCAGATCGTTTCACCATCAAAACTAGTGTCTGAATGTAGTAAATTAAACGATATCTTTCTTTAAACAGAAGGAAACTCTTCTTGCCTTGGCGATTGCAGTCATATTTGTTTGTTGTCTCCTAACGGAAGTGAATGTGCATGCCCAAGTCACTCTATCCTTGGAGAAGATGGGAGGACTTGTAAACATGACGGTAATTGAATGCACCACAAACCCCTTAGGGATACAATAATCCACATTTTCTTTTTATGTCATTTTTATTAAAAGCGTCGTAAAGTTTCAAAAATCAAAATAAACATTTCAACTTTCCATTTTAATATTTGTAGCAAAGGGGGTCTCGTCCAATGAAGGCTTTTATCTTTGATAGCACGACCTAGAGTTCCAGACTGACACCTGAAATAGATGCAGGGGTGTTATGCCACAGTGCCCAACATTTTGTAGGGATTGACTAAGCTACTCCCATTAGGATTAGCTTTTAATCATTGAAATGATATAAATGCGAATGGAAAGAAGTAGGTATGTATTTGAAAAGGGAGATCACATGGTTGACTAAATGGTAAAGCCGGTCCTCCTCAACCTCTTAGCTTCTCAAATACAATTTACATTATCAAAAATTAATAAGTAAATTTTTTCTGGCGTTAAAATTTGAATTTTTTCAGCGCTTTTGTAAATCTGTTAATATTCGGTCCCTCTTGAACTAGATGGTTTGCTAAACTATTCTAAGGTTTAAGAATTTACGGTTTTTTTTTTTTTAGTACCTCAAAAGATATTACTTTTCGCCGATGGAAGTCTGAGCCAAATGTATACACTATCTCTGGACAAATCGAACACGAGCGCCAAATTGGTACCAATGGCACATATCCATCGTATGCGTCGTCCTGCGGCACTTGATTTCGACAGTACAGAAGACAGAATATATTGGACGGATACAAGCTTGAATACAATATCTAGGATGTTTATTAATGGATCGTCTCCAGAGACTATCATTTCCAGTGGAGTTTATTATCCTTATGGGCTAGCGGTTGATCCAGTGGGAGGAAATATTTACTGGACTGATCATTCTCTTAACAAAATTGAAGTTAGCAGAATGAATGGATCAATACGAAAAACCCTGATTTCTCGAGATCTAGATAATCCAAGAGATATTATCTTGGATATCGACGAAGGGTAAGATTATCATCAGGTTTGCAGTTTAGCGGGGCGGGGGAGGGGGAAGGGTGGTAATAAAGAATGAATTTGGTCAAAATTATCGAAATGTAAATCCCTAACACTGCTCAGGAACAGCTTTTTTGAAGTGCTTGTGGATCAAAAATTTTGTTTTGTCTGAAATACGAAATCTGAACTTTGGAAACCCTTAAACAGCACTTACCCTCTCTAGATTTTCTGGCTAAAGCGCGACTCATCGATCACTTGCATTGTGAATTGTCTCCACGCTTTTTATACTCCTGCCCGATATAGCTTGGTTTTCATGCACGTTTCGAATAGGTGCAAAAAATTGTCCTTTTTGTTTACTCATAGTATCACTGTAGATGTTATTTCGAGACGTTTTTTGCTGATTCATCGGTCTTCATCATGGTTTCTAAGAATGTTTAATGTTGGAATGTGTCATCTCCTAATCAAAGCTTGTTTTTATGTCGAGGGAAATAAGAGTATCTTTTGCATCTTTATTAATGATTATAAAACAAGTTTACTAAAGTTGAAGCGTGTTGTCGACTCCGTGGCGAACTTAGTCTCGTAGGTTTCACAACTTGTAATAATCGATTCCCTCTTTTGTAATTAAATACAGTTTTATGTACTGGTCCGACTGGGGTACCAGCCACAAAATTGAGGTCGCTGGCATGGATGGAAACAACAGAAGCACACTGGTTAAAAGAGGGCTTTACTGGCCTAATGGGCTGACCTTAGATGGTGTAAATAACAGGCTTTATTGGGTAGACGCATGGTTCCATATGTTGGAATACTACGACTTACAGCGTCATACGATTACAACTCTGTTACGTGATAGATATGTATTATTGAACCCATTTGGTTTGACATTGCTCAAAGATAAAATATACTGGACCGATTCAAGTTCGGGTGTTGTTTATCAGTCGCCAAAAGACTCTCCGTCAAATGCAACCGTTCTCGTCAGCGGTTTGTCACAACCATTGGATATACATGCCTATGACAGGAATCAGACTTTTCCAGGTATCAATCAGTCTTGACCATTTCTCAATTTCTCTATCTCTCTTACACATCTGCTCTTTTCAATACATATTAATGATATGAAACGATCTCCAGCAATTACGCTATTTAACATGCATGTAATGATACAACCTCTAGCTATTTCTTTATTTGTCGACTCCAGATCAGTCGCACCGGGAGACTACCGCTTGACCTTTCGTTCCTTAATAATGCAACAAAATATATTCTCCGCATAAGTTTTTGCTAGGTGTGTCCAATTTTCACGATTATTTGCTATAAATGTTGAATCGACAAATATTTCTTTTAACTCCACTTTTAGACCATCCCTGTTCCATGTCTTCTGGTGGATGTTCTCATCTCTGCCTTCTGAGACCGAAGGGATTCAAATGCGCATGCCCCGATAGTCTCGAACTGTCGAAAGATGAGAAAACCTGTGTCCCACAGACATACAGTAAGACACGTACAACATTGTATCGTACTAGTCATATTCTTGACTATTTAAACTCTTATAATGTAAATAAATAGCTTTACTATGAGAAGAAGATTTTCATCAATTTTTTCCCCGACTCTGGCTCCATTCTCATTATTTTCGTTCAAACTCATTTTATGAAGGTATTCTTGACATCAATTCTTGTATTTTCGTCAGAGTTGCCGCAATAATAAACTCTTGCGTTTCAATTTCAATTTCGTATCAGTTGCTGCAGTGAATCTAAATGATGATTTTGCCTGTATTCAGCTCGCTGAGCTAACAGCATTGTTCGTTCAGTTTTTCAGAAATTCTTACTGTTTGCTGATGCCTGGAATGCCGAAATTTACATTCTCGATTTGGATGAATCCAATTTTTTGGCCAAAGCTCTGCCGATAGGAGCCTTCATGTATCGACCAGTTGCACTTGGAATGGACATTACAGACAATAGAGTCTACTGGACAGACGTCAGCCTAAACAGTATCAGAAGGGCATTCATAAATGGGACATCACCAGAAGTTCTCGTTTCTGTAAATGTGTCTAATGCTGATGGACTTGCTGTTGACCCTGTGGGAGGAAACATCTACTGGAGTGACGTTCTCGCCAAAAGGATCGAAGTCTGCAGAATGGACGGAACCATGAGGAAAGTATTGATCGACAAGGATCTAGACAAGCCAAGGGATATAATTCTTGATCTTTCTAAAGGGTAAATACTTTTACCTAGTCATTGTCTCCTAAAAGTGATTCCTCTGTAATGCACAGCGCATCCTGCACTGCGCATCCTGCATTGCACATACTGCATTGCGCATAAAATAATTTGGTGAGTAAGCGCGCGCATTGTAAGAACATGGTATTTGTTTTTTATTTAATGGATGAGGTAAATAGGAACGATGGTCTTTTGCTCTTGAACGAGCACGTTTACCTATATTTTTTAGTACATGATCTTGTTGAACAAATTATTTAGTAATCACCTTATTTTTTGTACACTCTATAACGAAAAAAAAAGTATATTTAAAAAGAAGCTTACTACTTAAGTTCTACAGGATCATTTTGTTTTCATTATTAGTGGTCTCAGGACGGTTTCAAATACAGCCTTCTAAACAAGGGTCTCGATGGAGTTATCCATTAGCCGTTAGACGTAAAATTGACAAATTTAAATCGACAGTCGTAAAAAAAGTTAAACTTTAACATTTTTCCTTCCTACTATTTGTCATTTTGTGTCATTTTGGGTTAACCGTAGCCGTGAAATGGCCAAACTTTTAACCGTTAGCCGTAAACAGTTGGTGTGCTCCTTGCTCTTATTAGGCAAGTTTCAGCTTACGAGAGTGTGCAGAACGGTATATCAGTGCCAATTTGTTTCAAGAAAAAATTCGCACGCCGTTATGTCTTACCAAGAGACTTAACCCAACCAACTGTATAATCTCTTGGTCTCACTTTACTAATATACCACAGGAGCTGTTTAAGAGATGTCATCACAATCTCTTCTTCCTTAGCCATCAGCGCACTTTGTCGTTAAGAGGGAACATTTGCCATAGATATGCCACTTACTTGGTTTTTGCTTTGTTTAAGGTTGATGTACTGGTGTGACTGGGGTACTGTGGCTAGGATTGAAGTTGCTAACATGGACGGAAGCAGTCGGCAGATATTGGTAAAAAGAGGATTATACTGGCCAAATGGTCTCACTTTAGATGAAGCAAATAATCGGCTCTACTGGGTGGACGCATACCTTAACACCCTTGAATACTATGATTTGGAACGTCACACAATAACAACTTTGATGGAAGATAGTTCTAAATTACCACATCCGTTCGGTTTGACGCTGTTTGAAGATCACTTGTATTGGACGGATTGGTGGTTAGATGTTGTTAATCGAGCGGAAAAGAAGACACTTTCAAATATGACGGTTGTTGCCAAGGGCCTTGGTCGACCCATGGATATACATGCGTATGATAGAAATAAACCTCTCCCAGGTAAACAACTTCTAACACCCTAGCTCTATGTCTTTTTTGTCTTTTCTTAGTCACCTCCTTTAGAGCCATTTTGAAGTGATGTCTATAGTGCCGTCAACATTAAGCAATGGCTGCTTTTTTTCAGCTATCCGGAGGCTGTGAAAAAATCAATAATGGATTGCTTACTTCTGATCTACTCGACTGAAGGCGTTTTACTCAGAAACAATTCTGTGCAATTATCAGCTTTTAAAAAACAGAGAAGGAAGATGAAAAAATATATATATATTCTCCATAATTGAGAATATTTGTAGACTGATTCTCATCTTGCGCTCTACCTTGAAATAAAATCCGTAATCATACAGTTCGCGGTTAAAGCTCAACAAAAGCTTATGTTCTCTTAGTTTATACAAGTTATCATGATGGTTTGAGGCAAAGAATGAAAACTAGTAACTTAGTTTCCAATCAATGATTAACAAACACCAAACTACTGTATACATAGGTATACTAGGAGCTGGAGGTGAACTCCTACTTTTTCGTATAAATTTGGAGGAGATCAAATCAAAAGCTATCAAAAAAAGGAAACAGGTCACTTTGCATTTCTCATGGTAATGAGCGCTTGACTATGTTGAAGTTTCTTCGTCACCAGATCACCCCTGTTCTAAGTCCTATGGTGGGTGTTCTCACCTGTGCCTTTTGAGACCGGATGGATATCGGTGCTCGTGTCCAGACTACCTGCAACCCGGTGAAAATTGCTCTAGTTCTGGTAAGTGGTTTACTTGAGGATGGCCGTTTGGTTTCGACTAACTATATCGAGAATTTCAGTCAAATATACCCTTGCCAGACGTTTTCCAAGTCAGGTCCAACCAAAACAAAGCAACGACAGTTGAACAACAGCTTTCTTTACTCGACGAGTAAGCTCAGTACATACCGTCCGATTGTTAATGCCAAACACACTGTACTCGTACATTTTTTTCGGGCAAGTTTTCTTTAAGCGTCGAGTGCATAAAGTTTTTTCCTCTCATAACAAATAACGTCCATGAGAATTTCCCTCCCAAAGGAAGTTATTCTTTATTTAAAGGGGTAAGTTTCTAAAGAAACTGTGGTGTTGTGTCAGTGAGAGATTATAACAGGGTAATTTAGCATTATCTACTGAGTTGATAACTTTAATTGGCCACCGCAAAGAGTTACAAAGCTGACGTTTCGAGCGTTAGCCCTTCCTCAGATGACGAATTACTGTTATTTATGTCTAATCAGAATCTTTTTTCTCCGAAATCAGTCCACCTCTATTCTCCACCTTCTTCAAGTACGCCTGAAGCCACAACAACACAGCAGTCAGCCACCACACAGCATTCAGCCACCACACAGCACTCAGCCACCACACAGCACTCAGCCACCACACAGCACTCCGCCACCACACAGCACTCAGCCACCACACAACAGTCAGCCACCACAGAGCCGTCATCCACCAGACAGCAGTCATCCACCACACGGCAGTCATCCACCAGACAGCAGTTATCCACCAGACAGCAGTCATCCACCAAACAGCAATTATCCACCACACAGCAGTCATCCACCACACGGCAGTCATCCACCAGACGGCAGTCATCCACCAGACAGCAGTCATCCACCAGACAGAAGTCATCCACCACACAGCGGTCAGCCACCACACAGCAGTCGTCCACCGGACAACAATCAACTCCTCCAGGTCCTTATGATTGTCGTTCGAACAAGTGTAAAAATGGAGGATCTTGTGTAATCCCTGGTTATTTTTGCGAGTGTCCGAAGTATTATGTTTGGGACCTCTGCCTTGTTTACGTTGGTAAGCGTAAATCGATTAAATTGAGCTTATACTCTTGTTTATCAAGCCGATTTGGTTAAACCAGGTCATCTGTTCCCTTACACCACAGAGAATTAGTATGCGGGGAAGATGGTAGAGATGTACATGTAATCTATCTGGGCCGCGCTCTGCTGTAATCGCATTTTCGTCGTCTTTAGATCTACCGCATGCACCACAATTTTGGGCAAGAACTTATGCAGGAACAGGCCGAAAATGAGAACTTTTCAACCAAAAACGGAGTAAATTACAGGCTAGATTGTAAGAATTCCTATTCTAGAGAGGTACTAAGGATATCTTACTCCCCTTTGTGTCAGTAGTCATAAAAGATCAACTAGGGTTAGAAAACACGAGTATGGACAAAAGATGCAAATCATAACACAGGTTCTAGATCAATACAAAAGTTAGCTGCAAAACTCAAAATGAAAGTGAAGAAGCTGCCCAGAAATAAAATTAGTGCTTGTTAGAAGGACTTCATAACATCATGTGAAAGGTTTGATATCTCTCAGTAACATCATTGTAATTGCAAGAGGTACTTTTAAGAATGCTGTTCTCATTTTAGGTTCAAGCGCCGTAGAAGTAGAGGTAAATCTTCAAAACGAGGTAAGGATGCTGCGTTTTGTTTCTTGCTGACACCCTTCCCCCTCGCCCCCCCTTCCCCCCCAGCGTAATCAACCTTGCATATTTCTTTTAAGGCATAAAGCGTTCCGTAGAAAGTGCAAGAACGGTGAATCAAGTTTTCATTGGCGGAAGAAGTCAACATTTTTTATTTCTTTTCCTTTGTTATCCCGACCATCATTTTCAACAATGACTGATTCCCCATTTGGTTGACGAATATCCAGTAACCGTATGAGCTCTAGAAAAAACTGGCTACTGCTTCCTCACGAACCGCATCTAGATCTGGAAAAGATTTAGCTTTTTTAAAGTGGACTTGGAACTGAATTTCCAATGTCGGATCCTTTGCTCTGTGACCAAGTAGGTTTGTTTCGGTGGATTCGCTTTCATCTCCTCCACTTTCTACAAACAACAGCTCTAAATGAATAGCGCCGAGAGCTAAATAAACCTCAAGTTGTGTTTATCTTGAACAAACTTCTCACCAGATAGCACAATCCTATTTTCATTTTGTTGAATTCTGTTTAGGCACAATGGACAACGTATAACTTCCGAGCTGCGGTGGCAAAAGCTTGCACGGGTTTTTTTTGCGGAGATGAGGAATGTGCAAGGTAATGGTAGGATCTGATTTATGTATTTGCCCTCCTTGCATTGGAGAGTTGACCTTCTTTATTTAAAAAAAAATAGTGAAACGAATTCCTTTATCTGATTGACAAACGCTCGCATATTCGTGAATTTTACGTCAGAGGAAATTTTTGAGTCTTATTATTAATATCAACACCTTCAACACCTCCTTCAGACCAGATCAGTCAATGAGCGAATTTTTTCAAACCCCCCCCTCCCCTCCCCCTACCACCGCATTTTAGGCTTTTCCTTAAATAAGTGTGAATTAAAATTCACTTGCAGGATGTCAAAACGAGATGTTAATTCGGAAAAGAAATTCGTGGCTTCCGACGCCAAAATACTTGGACTTTCCATTAGTGGGGAAAATACTTTGAAAGTAGAAGTAGCTGTTTTATTTCCATCTGTGGAAGGCCAGGTTCCTGAACCTGTACCTCGTGCTACACTGGAACAAATACTCCAGAAAAGTGAAGAAAGTCTTGGGGCAGCCATTGGAGGCACGATCATTAGGATTGGTAATAACACTTTTAACCTTAATCGCGCTTCTCTGGAAAAAGGCGGTCAGCCAGTTTCTTTTAATAATATGAAAGCAAGACATACCATAGAGTTTGAGATCTATTGTAGGTTAATGGACGACTAGCTAGTATCTCCTCTGGGTTCCTTTGCTATGGAGAACCACACACTTCTGTCTCCAGACTCCGACTTCTACATCAATAAATGCAGAGTTTCAGAAATTTAGGTATTTCAAAGCTTGTAGCTTGGTCAATGACCGTGACAAAAGGAAGCGTTTTGGTTACAAACTGAGCTAATTCTCATAAGCCACCCCTTCAATATGTTATCATAAAAAATCGATGTAAGGCTGCCTTGAAAACTTTGCGCCGATTTAAGTCACGTTTATTTTTTCACATCTTTTTTTTTTTGGCCTCCATTTTTGAGTCATCAATTGGGTGGTTAACTTTAGCTTATTTGTGTGACCCTAATTTTCAGTCAATGTACCGAAAATTCTCGATATCTACCGGAACGTTTTAACGATTTCGAAAGAATAGATTTTCGTTTCGCCCACCCTTCCTTCACAAAGCCTATATCACAGACTTTATATGAAGTGCTCCAAGCGGTATGATTCCTTCCCTTGTACACTATATACTAACAGGTAATTTAGTGTTAACAACTGAGTTAAAAATGTAAATTGGCAATTGCAATCGCTCTGACGAAGAGCTAATGCTCGAAACGTTAGCCTTTAAACTCTTTACGGTGGCCAATTTCCGTTTTCAACTCAGTTGTTCACACTAAATTACCCCGTTATACTCTCCCACTGACGTAGTACCACAGTTTCTGTAGAAACTTGCCCCCTTTATGCACTTTACTAAGTTTGGCGACGATAATTATATAATATATCCACATTTGTGTCAAACATTGCAGGAGTTGTTTCTTTTTTTAATACCATGTTTGAGGTACATGCGGTATATGAGCTTAGATACCAGGGCCTGTGCACCAATCAAAACTTAGGACCTGATATGTATCACAGACACTTGTAAACTTTTTAACGATTATCATATTCTACCTTTTTTTCAAGGCAAAAGACAGGTAGAGAATCCAACAAATACTGAAAGGTCTACTCAGGATAAAGAGACGTTAAACGTGCCAATTGTTGCTGGGTTAGGAGGCACTGTTGTTCTGTTGGTGCTAATCGTGGTATTCTTCGTTTACCAAATGATGCGGTGAGGCTTTCAAAAGAAGTCACTTTCTTTTATTAATCAGTCAATCGACCAGTCATTTTGAAGTACGCCAACATATTTTGGCTTTGACATTTATAATCCTGCTAATCTCTTTCGTCCTTGTCATTCTCCTTCCTTTTTATATTCCATTCTGCACCTTCTTGCGCTTTGGAGTCTCAGTGTACCTTAGAAAGCTTTTCAGTATTTTATTGTTTCATTCTATTATAAATCACTTACTCCTGCTACAGAAAAAATAACACGAAACATCGCGACGTAGTCCCTTGGAGCTCGGAGACGTCCCAATAAACTGCAACTGCATTGGAAATTTCATTTATTTCTATACTTGAAAATGGAGAGAATAAACATGACAGAAGGTCATTTATGAAGAATGGCCGGCTGTTGTTGTGGTTATTGCCTTTTTTCTTAAGATATATCTGATTTGTCTTACAGGAAAAGAAATCATACAGGGAAAAGGACAGACGAAATCTATTTGGACAGTGACTTTGTGCACCCCAGAGCCAATTCTATGGTTACATTTGAAAACCCAGGGTATGTCGGGGAAAACACGACGTATGAATCCATCCACCACAGAAGTGGATCGGTGATATCCAGACAAGAGCAAGTCAACGGGGTTGGATCCTTGGACAACAACAACGCCACACAGCAAGCAACCGAAAAAACTTTTATGAGTAACCCAACCTATGGTGTGCCATTCACTAAAGATCCTACAAATATCGAAGATTCTGAAAATCGCTATGCCACCATTGAGGAGAAGAAGACAGAGCCCTAGGCGAAAGAATCCGGGTTGGCTGATAGAGTTAGTTACGTAAATCTTGTAGAATAGCACAGAAGACATTGATAGTAACATGCTGTAGCGAAAGTGAATTAGGTTTCCCTGGCAACTGCATTTTTCTTTGTTTATTTCTTAAGAGCTTTAGCTACAAAAAACATGCCGGAGTCGATGTTTCCACAACATCCCTATCGGCTTTTTTTGGGGCTCGATGTTGGAATAAAGAGAGATTCTTTCAATTCCTTTAGTCGCAAGCTTGGCACAAACGGGTTTTTTTCACTTTTTTTTTTTCATTTTCCCTCCCAAAAACCGACGAAAGTGCGTGTTTTTCCATCTACACTGCCATGGGAAACTTGTTAGTTTGAATTCACCTTTTATATTCCTTTAGTTTGCCTTGCGATCTCTCTTGAGGCAGGAAAAGGATAGGGTCACCATAAAAATCTGATTTGTATAAATTGTGGCAATAACTAAAATTTTTTTAACATTATGACGAAGCTACGCTTTAGCATCCAGTTCTTGGCGGCGGTAGAATTAAATAGATTTCTGTTGTCTTAGAAAAAGTATGCACAGCGATTTTTAACTATTAGCCTTCGCACAATTACTGCTGTTAGCATGAAGGCTCCAGTTGAAGAGAATTGGGATGGTATTACCTCTTGAATGCTTGAGAAGGATCTCCCTTGCTCTCTTTTATGCAATAGTTGTTTGTCATAAGGGCAGCAGAGAAGAAAGAATAAGGAATTAGTCACATTACTCTTACAAGTACTGACGATATTCCTAATCACAATATTAATGTTGCATGCATTTTGAAATTGTTAGATGCACCTTTCTGTTTATGTTATTATAGCAAATTAATTTGACTTTTGCTTTTTGAATGGATCACGATTGGCTTTTTTTCGTTTTAATCTACTTAGTTTTTACGTATATTCATTCCTGGTGTGAAATCCTCGTTAATTGAGCGAAATAAAGTTTCTTGAGTTATTTTAATGTCATAAAAATTAAATATTTTTTTCCATCAGTGTTATTTCAAATAATCACAGTTAGAGAGAAAAGATTAAAGATCTTGGGTTAATCATGTTTCAATGTTTACTTTGCATGTTATAATCCCTGTTGATGTTATTACCTAGCTTAATATCTTTCCTAGTTCGTTCATTATATATTTCCTATTACTCGTATTGGGTCAGTGTTTCGTTTTGCTTTCTCTTTTTTGTGTTTTCTTTGATCGCGGCCTCTGAAGGAAATCTTCTCATTCCCTATTCTGTCTCTTTCTCGCTTCCTTCTGCGCTAGGCCGATACGGCATTCCATTTTCCTTTTTTTTTTGCACTTTATTTTGCGTTATTCATCATATCTATTTGTTTTCCTTTTACCGAGTCTTTACTGCCATTTGTGTTCTTGTGTTTCTCCTTTTGCCGGCATCCTACTTCTTCCCGCCCTCCTTGAAAGAAACTTATGGAAACTCATTCCTTTTTAATAAAAATAGTCCTTCCAGAAAAAAAAAAAAAGCTTAAAGGACTGATCACTTTAAACAAATTGGGACGATGGGCTCGTCGACTCATTGTTCGGAACGTGTCCGTTAATATTGCGTGACAAGTTCGTGACAAGTTACCTCGTGTGAAAACGTTTCGGGGAAATTTACGATTTTTGGTAGCGAGCGAGCGTGACAGTTTTGTTGCTAAAACCATAATTACAGAGACCTTTTGTAGTGAGTTATTTGGTGTTACACAAACTTTTCCCATACAATTCAGTTCTCTCGCTCCACAAACCGTATAATTTGTCATGCCTTGAGCACGAGAATGTGGACTCAGAGTCTCTGCCGTCAAGTTCTTGTGTATCATTTAGACAGTCCGGAGATCTATTATGCCGAATACTTCTATGTTTTGTTTCGTCGTTGCTTTTGTGTAATATACAGCAAATGATCAATCCCCATTTCTCTAAACTAGCAGAGCATCAGCCCACCTGAGCCCCCGATTTGATATTCCAGCAGTCGTAGTTACTACTAGTAACTATTTACACTGTCATGTTTTTCTTCTTCAAAGTCTCGCAGTGTAATATGAAAATATTTTTGCAACGGTCCGTCCTTTATTTAAGCACTCCAACAAGTTTTTTTCCTTATATATTGGTTTCAGCCTTTTAATCTACTTTGTCTGTTGGATACGGGAAATGCTGAGTTTGAAATTTTGCGGATTGCTCCGATGAGTTACTAGCGGGAAATTATATGGGGTTTGTTTACATCTAACTAGGTAAGATTTAAACACACATTTATAGCATTCTTTCCCTTTAGCGCTTTTGCACTATTTATATATCAACCTTCACAGATGCACGAAGCCAACATTATTCCGGTAGTGACGATTATTTATTACATGTATTTGTAATTTCGATTAATGGGGCATTTTCTCCAACATAGGTACATGCATTCTTTCTGAGGTTAGAGATGACTAAAGAAAAGGATAATAACTAGTCGAGGTCTACAAAATGATCTCCATAAGTGTTGCAAGGGGTTTTTGATATCTGATCCATGTTAGTAATTTCAGAGGTCTTTCAATGTTTGAATTACTTCTATTTAAGTTGACTGTCACCACTAAACCAAAATTCTTCTTCCTTAGTTTGTTTTCTTTTCCTCATCAGATCAGGTTAGATTGGTCCATAATTACTGAATGGCAGACAGATGGATGGAGTGATCAACTGACTTACGGACTGACTGACTGACTGACTGACTGAGTGCTGGACTGTTTGCAGTTTAACTGGCTTACTGACTGAATGACTGACTAGAGACAGACTGACTGACTATCCAACTGACTGGCTGACTGACTGAACAGAAAATGAACAAATGAATAGATGGACTGATGGATGAACAAGCTGACTACCTAAGTATCTGAGAGACTGGCTTACTTACTGACTTATTAACTTACTGACAGACTGACTACCAGTAATTGACTTACTAACTGACTGACCAACCTCCTGGCTGAATCTTGTGGACTTTCCCATTCATTTCTTTGCTGAACCAGGTAAGAAAAACTAGTACTTGAGCCTTTAGTTGACCAGGTTCTGTACCTGACTAGGTCATTGGGGCTCTTACTTGGTGTAGAAGACACAGTATTCGTCACAGTAGAATTTCATCACAACTGGAAATAAGAAAACAATGAAAACAATAGTGTGACATATACTGTGTCTTCTACGCCAAGTAAGAGCCATCATTGCAGTGCATTCTTGGGGAAGATTCTTTACTCTCACCCTACCTCTCTCTACCCAGGAGGACAAATGGGTAGGAGCAAGCTGTCAGGAAAACCTGTTGCAATGTGAGGAGTATCCTGGGATGGGCAAGCACTCCACCCAGTGGGGATTAGCTGTACTTTCTGGTTGTTTTATGCTATGGGTACAAGGGTAAGTTACAGCCAGATGAGTGACTTGGCTTGATTGTAGGCTTTAATGTCAACCCACTTTTTTTTTTTTTTTTTTTTTTTTTTTCATGAGGGAATAAAGGTATAGGGTGGGACCCAGAAGTCTTTACAGTATCAGCTAGTCTAATTACTCCATGTTACAGTTCTGGTTATATTATGAATCTATACCTCATGGATCACTATGAATCTGGGCCATACATATTCAAATTGTCTGGAAAATGTTGCTTTGAAAAGGTTTATTCTAGGGGTTCACTACCATTCTTTGGGGGAAGAAGGCTATAATTGTTGAGGTACTTAAGGATTACATCTGCCTTAGGAATGATCTATTTTAAAAATAATGAAGATGAAAAATTCTCACAGTGAGCTACCCAATTTGTTCTTTCAAATTTCTTGGTAAGAAATATGTTTATTTTTTTTTGTTTGGGAGGTGGGGAGTTAGGGGTGAATCTCCTGCATAAATTTTTCTTCCTTTAAGAAGAAGTTTGACAGGCGAATCATGCAGATTTCATTCTTAGCTGTCACTTAGCAAGTTTTAAATCTTGTATTTGCTCTTCCTGCTGTAGATTTCCCAGTGCTCCATCACTTGTGTTTATTATTGACAAGAACTATGAACCAAATAAACCATGGTTATACAATGTTTATGATCTTTCTTTGTTTTTGTGTTTTGAAGGCCTACAACAGTCAAGCCTTACATGAGTTTTGGTTTTATTGGCATAGCAATCTACCAGCTTCACTATAATTTTAACAGGTTAGAAAGTTCTACTTCCAACTTGCACTAGATCTCTTTTGTTAACCAAGGCTGATTCTTGCAAAGCATCATCCAGCACATATTCGTTTTGAATTTGTTCCTCGTGGCTTTATTTATTACACAGACAGAGATGTTCAAATTAACTGTGCGTGTCACTCAGCTTTGAAGGAGAAACAGGAAGTAATGGTTGGGGTCTTTACCATCACTTACAGCGTAGTTTATCACTTCGTTAAAAGGGGAATGCATTACTAAACAATAAATCTATATTCAAATGGTGAAATATCCATCTATTATGAGTTGGCCTTTGATCAAATCACGAAATTTTCCTTCTGTTGTTGTTGTGTTTCAAATTAACACCCGGAAAATAGCGAAAGAGTCGCAAGTATGGAAAACATGAAACCGAAAGTAGACTTTCTGGCCAAACCCCGATGCGTCATTAGAAAAAAATTTGTTTACAGAAGACATTTCTCACACGATAAAGATGAAATATGTTTGGGCAGAGATCAAAAGTTATTGCTTGGTCAGCGTTTCTGAAAATTCTGTAATTTTGGAACCTTACAGCGTGAAATTCAATTAAATTCTGAAGTGTCAACGGTCTCATTGGATAATCGGCCGGAAAAAAGGATAATTGCAGCATATTTTAATAATTTATAGGCCGTGTAGTTACGTTTTATAGGTTAAGCAAAGTAGAGCTCATCAGAGCAGCATTGAACGTCATAGACACAATATCAGGGAAATCTTTCAAGGAGGTTGTTTGAAAGACTTAGTCATCAATCAAAGGTAAATTATTTTACTCTTTTTTGTCAGATCTCGCCAGCTTCCTATTGAAGTAAGGGGCTTCTGGTCCAATTCCAGTCGATTAAGTGTTGAATTTTCGACAACTTGTGCCATGATTTTCAACTTGCGTTTCCTTTGTCTAAGATAGCAAAATTAGGTCGTAGTTTTGGTTTATTTACATTCAGATTTCTCAAAAGTCAATATCATTACCAGAACTGTCGCTGGAACCGTAAAATTCTGCGATACGACTTCGGAATTAGCAATCTTGCATTGTTGATGCTTCGCGAGGGATCTAAAGAAGCGAAAGAGTAAAATTGTTATTTGTAAACCAAGAAAGTGAGGGAAAAAGTAACCAAGAGGAGAAGATATCATCTAGGTTAACGTGATTTCTCTCTTTTGGTCTAAGCTTTCTCAAAAGTGGATGTTTTCATTTTCCGCTCGAAATTGCAGTCGAGAGTATAATCGAAATAGATAATTCTTTTCAGCGTTTTCGAGCGGTCTTCTTTTTGGCGATAAGTAATGATAGGGCGATACATTAATAAGCCAGTGTGTTTTATTATACGTTTAATGCATTTAACGTTAATTTTTTGGTGGGTAGTCGAACACGCACTTTGAAAATATTATCTATTTTTAGTATTGTTTACATGTATGTCATAAATTTTGCGGGGATTCCCCCTTGGTTATGTTATTTGCGTCGATTTAAATCATGCGTGCAGCTTGTCAAAATAATCATTGCTAAAATTATAGCAAAATCCTTATCAGTTACAAACAATGGAAAAGTATGACTGAAAATTTCACACTACCTGCTAAACAGAAAGTAAACTTCGTGATTGCGTGATCTCGAAATTTTGATTTTCCTTTACACAGCACTTTCAGTTTCAATTTCAACGCACGTATTTCGATCAGTCGTCAGTGTTATGTTATTCTTTGGGATCCAAATAAACTGACAATTAATCCCTTACCCTTAGAAGCTCCCTAACTGTTTTTAGCGTTCCTGAGTGGTCTAAATTAGATAGATAATACTAGTCTAATCTAGTCTTACTTGTCTCACACATTTTTGATTCAGCGGCGATCCAGTACGGTTATCCCGGACTCTCTAAGTCCTGAAGTGTACTAAAATAGCTCTCATGCACTTGAAGTCATTTACAAAAGAGCCTCGTTTGCACTTTCGGTTTCAATTTTCCTTCGTTTTAAATATGAAAGTCTTAGGTCTAAATCGTCACATCCATTTTCGAATGAGAACAACTTTGTTAAACTAGAAGCCTTGTTGGTGCCCTCGTGAAGTCGAAACAGTCGGTCTGGCGCGGGTTGTGTTGTATTTTCGAACGCTGCCTCAGGGTAAATTTAAATCAAACAGTAAAGGATTTATAATCCTTGAGATGAGGCTCATACATCAGTTTGTTATTGCACGCGAACTGATTTTTAACTGATCTTTTCACCTTCGTTGCCAAAAAATTAATGAACGTATCCCCAAGCTGCCTTCAAGTCACTAAATCAGTGATGAAGGAATAAGACTGAAGAATTTAGGTAAGACAAATGAGCAAGAACAAAATTTTGCTCCTTTAACAGTATTTTGCTAAGCTATTCATCGGAACTGTGATTTATGGGGTAATACTTGCGGAATAAAGAGCAATATTACATGTTGATACTTTTATTTGAATCCTACAGTAACGATAATTCTGAATCCAGTATGATATCTCATCTTCACAAAAGTCTAAATGAGCAATCTTTTCTAACCTCGTTTAAGAAGGACGTCACTTAACATGATCATAACTTGTCGTAATGGTGTTGCGGGATATTTCTACTTGTCTGGGTCGTTATTTGTTCGCCGAAAAATAAAATTCCTTTCGAAGGCTAACAGCACGATGAAAATCACCTTCGGGTAAACTAGGCAGAATACCAACACTCCTTAATTAAATTAAAGAGACAAAAAAACCAACATGAGCCTTGTACTTATTCCTTGATCCTATTAGTAAGCATTCAGTTTTTCTTTGATGATCTCCAATCCCACCCCTGTAAGTGCTAAAGCTGACTGATATCCCTTCCCCTGAGAGTTTCGCTCTTTCATACTATCACATATCCCCTCAAAATAAATAAAAAAGGAAAAGATGAAAAATCCTCTGGCAGCTTTGGAAGAGTAAGCAAGCCCTCCACTCTCTTTCCAAATCTGGATCAAACTATCCTTTCTGTGTCTTAATTGCAGATTTTTCCGTTGGTATAGGAAGAAAAATGTTGAGACCTCTGCTCAGGAAAACTGTGCCGCTTTTGACAGGGCCGTGTCGGACAGCTGGTGTTTCAACGCTATCGCGACCTACGGTAAGTTCAGAAACAAGCATATGTCCAGAATTCATAAGTTTTGAAAACTCACCGTCCTTTTTGGGTCCTGAAAAAATCGCGCTGGGAAGCATGGGTGGGGCGGGGGGAGGGGAGGGGGAGCATGGGTGGGGTGGGGGGAGGAGGAAGCAAAATGTCCAGCGTGAAATTATTATACTGATTCTCTGACGCAACCGCGGCAGTTGTTATCTACACCTGGGAACATGACACAAGAATGAGGTGATATTATCTATGCTTTTCGAAAATCAACCAAGTCCATGATATCTGGCGTAAAATTACCGTGAATCATAGAAACAAGTCCACCGCCAGGGACGTGACCTGAGTTCGAGATTTACAGGGTAAAATTTACAATCATATACTTAATCGAAATGCACAGCTTGCGAAGTCACTAACATTCTAAACATAGAGAGTAAAAGAAGAGTAATCTTTTAAAGAAGTAACGCCGTAGAGGAGGGGTAGGATGGGTTACACTGAGGGACTAGTCATTTTTCATTCCCAGGGGGGGGGGTCGGAGGATTTTGACTGTCGCAATAAATTTTATCAACCCCTCCCTAAGGCTCTGTAGTATTCCAATGACCACCCTTTCACTGACAATTGATTTTCTATGGTTTCCACTTTTATATTCTATTAGCGACGACCGACCCCTCCGACGAAATCCATTTGATCCCCCAAAATTCTCCGACCGCCCCCCCCCCCCTTTTATTTTTTTCTTTTCAGGCGAATAAAAAATAACTGTTCCTTGGTTGTATTACAAAATTTCACGCCCAGGGATGTGTCCTCCTTTAATGATCTTTGCTCAATAACTTTTTTTTTCAGAACTTTGCTGGTCATCATAACAACCTGACACTTGGCGCTAAGCAGAGTTCCTTCGTGAAAATAAATAAGTCACTGTGGCACCGTGCATTTTCTTCCGCAGGCGGTGAGTATACCTGTTCAACTGATTCCGTCGAGTTATTTTGCAGTTACTCCCATTATTCTTAATGTACTTAATATTCCACAGGTGACTTGAGTGGAATCTGGTACAACCAGTTTGGTTCAAAGATGCAAATCATCCTTCTGGAAAACGGAGAGTTGATAGGATTTTACGTCAACTGTACACCTGGTTCTAAAGCTGCCAGAGAAAAATTGACTGGTTTTGTGGGAAAAGACGAACACGCTTCTCGATTTGGCTTTACCGTCGACTTTCAGGTAAGTAAGGAAAAATTACATTGTTTTGCAGGAGTTTTACTGGTCATGGTTAAACTTTGTAACCTCCTGGTTATCGTGCTGGACTCTTGTTTGAGAATTTTTTGTTCTGTGTCAGTGACTAAGATACTTGACCCTCACAGTGCCTCTGCCATCCTAGGAGAATACAGTGGTACAAAAGAACTGTCTAAGAAGATTAAGTAAATGTTTGAGGGGGAAAGGGGGTAGACCAGCGATGAACTTACACTCTTTTAGGAATAGTAGAAATATTTCTGGTCGGTATGAAACCGGGATAAACTCCGACAGAATGGATACTGAGCTTGTGTGTAGATTAGAACCTTTTTGCCTTTTTAATAGCGGAGCTCGCAGAGCGTAGCCCCATAATTATACAAAATAGTAGTAGTAACCCATCAAGCCGAAAAAATTTGGATGTACGACCGTACGGCCGTACAAGGTGCTACTTTTGACATGCGTGGTCAACTGTACCGCGGGTACGCCAACGCCACGGCTTTGTCCAGTAGTCCAGTAGTCCAGTGATCAGTGCACTGGGCTCCGAGTCGGACGACTCGGGTCCTAGTCCTGGCCGGGGCAAGGCGTTGTGCCCTTGAGACGTGCGGGAAAAAAAAATGCAAGCTCCGCTTTTAGGCTTGGCTAAATCTATATATTGCTTGGTCCGAACAGCATTGAGGGGCGGAAGTAAATTGCTGAGCACTGCATTTCTCCTCACCAACAATCTGTTAGAGAAACCTGGCAGATAAAATTTAAACATGAGATGCAACTGAAACTTAAGTGTGAGTTACTACTGTATAAACCTGGCTGACCTAGCGAACACATGTATTGTTATTTTTCTGCCCATGATCGAAGGAATAACAAACGAGGAAAATGCTGACTTAGGAAGTCTTTTGTGATATAGTTTGGCTGGCCACGGCTTTCTCTTTGGGGCTCTTTGTTTTCCGTTATTATGATGCTTACAGATCACACTATCGAGAATTTGACGTTAATATCTCATTAGTTTGACTAAGCTAGAGGTTAACACGTCATGTTCATGACCATTGAAGTAGGAATCGACTACATTTTTAAAAAAATTTTGCTGTGTAGAATGGACGGTATACCGCGACCTGGACCGGACGTTGCATCAAAGAAGGAGGCGCCGATGGTGAACAAGTTCTGTTGACTAACTGGATTATGACCCCCAACCCGGAAGATGGTGCGCAACACTTGGAATCCATTCATATCGGCCAGGATCGCTTTACAAGGAAGCCTCAGACCCCTGAGAAGTTGCCGTCTTTTGACGATTCGCAACCGGAGTCTAAGGGCTGGATGCTATGCTACTAAGCGTACCCTATTTGAGTAGTCCTTCTCACTGGATTGTGCACTCGGGTCCTCTCGCTTAACGCAGCTCAACTCTTTACAGGGCTCCTGTCTCACAGGGCTCCTGTCTCACAGAGCTCCTGTCTCACAGGGCTCTTGTCTCACAGGGCTCGAACTGGCTAAAATAATACAACAGAACAGTTTCTTTAGACACGACACCCTCAGTGTTCACCACTCTTTTCGATTTGTTGTAGTTAATGTGGCATGGTCCTTAATCGCAAATTCCTCGTTCATCATTTAAACTCTAGTTCTTGAAACAGTTTGGAGCAATTCAGTGAGTGAAGTACAAAGTCAGGCATGGGAAGCTTCAAAAGCAACAGCCAATCCTGAAAACTGGGAAATTACTCAGACATTTTAACTTAAAACGCCCGTATTATTTGCTCAGAAATATACATTGTACCTAGTTTTGAAACTATTCTTAACGGCATGTATTCCATATAGTGCATTTGCGACCCCCCTTTGTGAGAAACTAGCAATGGCTCTGGTATCCAGCCTTGATTAATTCAAGTAAACATCAGGAAAGTGGATATGTATTGAAGGTTACTAAGCCTGTGCTATGTTATATGCCTTAAGGTTTTATTTTACACGCTTAGAAATATTACTTAAGTGTATACGATGTAGGTAGGTTTGAAGCCGTATGCCCAACGGCATATTCTTTCGGGCACCAAGTCCTCCATTTGTGCAAAACTAACAGTACGCTAGTTCCGACCAAACTATACAGCCTTAATTCATTCAAGCAAACATGTGACTGTGTAATGTTTTGGGCTAAAAAAATTTTGTTGTACAGTAGATAGCTTTTTAAATTTATTTTGATAAGATTTTTACCGGTATATTATTTTTTGATTTGAAATATTTTTGCACTTTATAATTTTTTTTTGTGAAATTATGAGTTTCTTCAATTAGTTTCATTAAATTGATTATATTGACGTGCACTTTAATAGAGTTGTTTTTATACAGTCTCCTGTAATGGTCGATATCAATAACAGCCGCTCCTGAAGGGTAAAATTTTACACTGACACGGGGTCCTATTGGACCACTGTTTTTTCCGGGGGAACTAATTTGATTATTTTGCATGGGAAAAAGATCCTCTGGGATAAAAATGGAGAAACCGCTATTAAATGGATTTAAGTCGCTAAAATAGGTGAACAATGAGCAAGAACATGGGTGAAATCGTCATTTAGCTGTAATTCTAAACTGTGCGTTCAAAGTTTTCCTTGAAATATGCCAAAACATTCCACAGGACCTTAGATGTTTCAAAAAATCCCTGTATTTTCAATCCATTTATACCCAGGAAATCCCTCTAAAGAGTGTCTTGGCCAATGCATGTTCTGGCTCCTTTCTCTCACCCATCAGACATTGATCCATAAGATTAATAGGAAGCATCGGAAAATGGAGAAACCTGCAAGAATGGACTTCCGTCACCGATAGCTGAACAGTGGGCTTGAATATGGGTGAACTTGCTATGAAGCTGTATTTCTTAATTCTTTGTTCAAAGACGTACAACAGGTTTTCTTGAAAATCGTGCACGGGATCTGCTCCGTGCAGTCGAACAGTGGACAGCGATCTATAATTATCTACTTTTAGAGTTTTAGTGTACCATTGAAATTCATGGCACCGTAATACGCGCCATCGTCTAGTAGGCTGAGTGTAGGGAAAGTTTTTATCCATCGGCATGGTTACAGCGTAGAGAAAGTCAGGAAATAGAGATCGCTTTCTGGCCAATCCGTCAACTTCTAAGGAAAATATTGAGTAAGGAAACTCTAAACAGGAAATACTGAACCAAACAGTGAGAACAACTTGCCTAACCTCCTCTTAAAGGAATGCAAAACCTGCTGAGACATTCAGAAGGTTTTTCGAGAAATTTTTCGCAATTGACTGTTAACTGTCAATTGTTACACATACATACATACATATACTATTTGTTAAGGCAGGTCGGTTTGCGGCAACCTAAAGGCTGGTGTGGACCTGCCGACAATTTAATTAAAAAAAAAAAAAAAAAAATATATATATATATATATATATATATACTAATATATAAATTAAATTAATAAATTAATTAAAATTTAAAAACTAAAAATATAAGAAATCTGATCGTTTTGATGTTATCAGACAGGCCTCTTTTTCGAATTGGAGTTGCTCCAGTATCTTGGAGGCTTGTCTAAGTTTTTGTTTAAAAAGTTGATAGGAGGAAGCGTCCTTGATGGCTCTAGGGATTAAATTCCAATCGATGGGTCCTCTATATCTTACACTATTTCTGCCAATGTTGCTATTGTACTGTACATGCGAGAAGTGATTTGTGCGCCTTAAATTATGATTAGTATTAGTGTTGCAAGTTTCGAAGAGGGCTGTGAGTTGATCAGGTAAGCTATTATGATAGAGCTGGTACATTATAGAAGCGAGCCTACGCTTGTAAATATAGACTAGAGGTTTCCATTTTCGGTAGGGAGTTTGTGAACTAGTTTGGCTGCTTTCAGGTGCAGATGTTCTAAAATATAGAATGTAGATGGTGAGCAGGATCCCCAAATAGCGATGCAGTAAGTGATGCTCGGGACAATCCCTTTAAAATATATTTCCTCTAAAACACTTGAGGGAAGGGCTTCAAAATTTTTCCAGAATTTTAGCTTTCCTCCAAACTTAGTGTGCAGTGCTTTTACGTGGGGTTTCCAGTTCAGTTTATAGTCGATTTCAACCCCTAAGCAAGTGGCTTTAGTAGTGAAGTGAATGTAAGAATTTCCGAACATAACAGGTCTCAATGGACCAACAAAAGAATGATTGGAAATCAGCATAGCCTCAATCTTTCCAGTGTGAACAGTCAGATGATTGTTGCAGCACCATACTCTGAAGTCGTTTAAGATGTGGTTTAACGCATCAATAATTTCTTCGACTTCTTTCCCAATATAGTAGATAGTAGTGTCATCTGCAAACATATGGATACATCCGGTTTCGGACGAATTTGGTAAATCGTAGACATATATTGAAAAGAGTCTGGGTCCCAGTAGAGATCCTTGGGGAACACCGATGGGAATTTGTCGTAGCTTTGATATTGCGTCGTTGACTTTGACGTATTGCGATCTTTCATGAAGGTAGCTTGCATTCCACTCGTGGAATACACCAGAGACTCTTAAAACTGACAATTTAGATTTAAGGATGGTATGATCAACGGTGTCGAACGCCTTCTTAAAGTCGACAAAAAGAACTCCAACTTTGTAGCCATCGTCAATTGCCTTTTCAATTGTTCTTTTAAAGTTTCCTGACAGTGATATCGATGTGTCTGCGCAGTTATGTTCCCTCCATGTTTTAAGAAGTTCTGGAGCCGACAGAGTGAGTGAATTGTACGTTGTTGTCACTAACCTCGTGTTGCCGCGTTATTTCGCGAGTTGTCTACTCGCAGAGCGTGATGCATTTGCTTTGTTAGTCGAAAAGTACTGGGAATTAGTTTCAAGAAAACCCGACATGGCGTCGTAAACAATGAAACGAACCGCCGATTTTGATACCATAATAGTTGAAAAAAACGGTATTTTACGAATCACATGCCTTTCAGTACATGTAAGCACTTGTCTGATGACGTTTACATTGAAGAAATGGCGTTACAGCGGCTGGAAGACTTTGAAATGGAGACCACGTGTGACATTCAAATCAAGTGTCAAAGGTAATTACGGAATTAGTCAAATAGCACTGCTTGAAGTGTATTTTTCTTTCAATTTCCGCTTCCTAACATTTTCTAGTTGCAAAGTAAGCTAGTATTCGTACTATAGTCTCTGTATCATAATTAAAGGAACTGGGAATGTGTATCGTATTACTTCCGCTGGATGGGATGCTTGTCCACTGCAGGTTACCCACCCTACCCCCCTAAGCAATTCATCAGTCACTTGTGACCATTTCTACTCCTGGATGTAGAGAGTAATAAACATTGCTACTCCTGGGTGTAGAGAGTAAGAGCCCAAAACACAATGCAATAACCTGGCCAGGTCTTAAGCCTGGAAACCTTAACCCAGAGTCTAGCATTCTGAAATTAAGGGTGCTCATCTAACCCACATCTTTTGTGGCCACTCTGAAATTTCGATTTTTGAATTTATAAGTTTTTCAACTTCTGATTTAAGGTAGTGGACCTGATTCTTATATTTAGAATGAGAATTTTGTTCTTTTTTGAACAAGGCCACAGAATTAAGAAAAAATATATTTTGCCAATTTACCTCATTAATTAGTTTTTTCTTTAAATGAGAAAAAAAAAATTTTAATTTTTTTACATCAAAATTGACTGAATTTTTGAAAAGTGGGTTTCCTGACCTTCACAAGACCAGGGAGGGAAATGGCAGGGAATTTTTTTGAGGCACAGTTGGATAAAAAGCCTGCATACAGTTACTTCTGCAAATTAATACTAGAGAGTTTGTACAGTGCTTGAAATTTTAGTGCTTTGTCAAAATGACTCTTGAAACTAGATTGAGTAGGAGGTATTCAGCAAGCTCTGCATTGTGGCAGCTTATGAAACTTGGCAATTGTTTCCCTATTTTCATAAACACAGTTTCATAAAATGCATTGAATGCTGTGGTTCAATGTGATTGTTCCATGATCTGGGAGTGTGTCTGAGGCGAAAAAGCTTACACCAAGGTGTTTATACCAGTGGTATTTTTTGTGCCCCTCCCCTTTTGCAGTCACCTGACATGCTTGTTCCTGTCCATCTTACAAATTCAGAAAAGTGAGTCCTGTTCTGCAGGCAAGGCTAGTAGAGTCCTTGTATTAGAAAGTGTAACCAGGGGTATGCATGTTTTTGCAGCTGAATGCAGATGATGCCACCACTGTCAAAAGGATGCTGGTGCAAACAAGAATTATAGAGCCTGGTAAGAGATTATTTTTTGAGTCAATGTGATGCTCCAAGGAAATTTGAGACCTCAAATTCCAAGGTAATAGCTTAGTTGGCAGTACACCCTTTATTTCTTTTAGAGTTTCTTTTGGTGTGCTTAATATCATGCCTATATGTAGCATGCAGTGGTTGATCAGGAGTAATTGCTCAGTAACTATGCAAATTCAACAAAGTCAAAAAAACCCATAACATTTTGGGAGAACCATCTAAGAAAGAGGACAATTTGGTATTATCAACTGAGTTGATAGCGTAAGTTGGCCACAGTACAGATTTGAAAAGCTAACCTCTTTATGGTGGCTAATTTAGATTATCAACTCAGTTGATAATACCAAATTACCCTGTTACTTTCTCCCACTGATGCAGTTTCCTTAGAAACTTACCCCCTTTATTCATTCATCTAAGAAAAAGTTCTTGTTCATATTAATCACAAAGTTAACACCTCTGGACATTAATGTCTATCTTATAAATTATTGTTGTACTAAGTTCTTGCTCTAGTGCTCCAGTCTTATAGAATTAGTTTTTTGATCATCTCGACTAAAAAGTTGTGATGTTCCTCTTCTTCTCCTTGCTATTTGTCAATTTCTCTGTTTGATATGAAAAAACTGTTACAATAGGTTTAAAATGGTATGAAATACTGCTATAAGTGTTAAATCCATTGCCCATCCAGTAGGGCAGGGGTCAATCAAAAAGTAATAAAAGTTAGATAAATTGATCAAAGGGTAAGGTGAAATTTACATTTTCCTTCAGCCAAGTCATAGAAGAAAGTCTATTTGGGGAGTAGCTTTGAGGGTTGGTGTTTGATTTTTTCCAATTTTGAGGGTACATGCCTAATTAATGGTTGATGTTTATCAGGAAGATACTTCATTAGTTGTGTGAGTTTAAATCAAAATCAAGTTGTTTTGTTTTTATTTATCAGTTAACATTTATCTTCAGAACTTCTCAGTCTTCCTCCTCTATGCAGTAGTAGTTAAGTGAAGCATAATTCTAGATAGCCTAGGACCCCTCTAGCTAGCAATAATTGACTATTGATTTTCCTGTTTTTAGAGAAGCAAACAACAATTAATAACTGAAAACAGAACTTTGCACAACAGTTTCTTCTGACTGGTCTTGAGCATCATGCATGTTCAAAGTGTGTACTAAATAAGAACAACCTGGGATTTAATGAACCTGAACTTGAGTGCTTGCTTCACACCCTCTTATTTAATGAACTAAGTGGTCTGAAATTATACGGGTCATTTCAAAATCAAACGAGCATGCAATGCAAGTTTGATTTGAAACCACAAGGGAGTCTTGGTATGATTTTAGGCCCATATAGCGAAACATAAAGTTCAATTACCACTTTACTACATCCATTTTGAAATCACAAAATTTAATCACTCAGGTACATGATTTTTAGTCTGTACTAATATCGGATGTTGAACTGTGTACAAGAGATGGTGACTAATAGCTGACCCGCGATGGGGTCAGCTTCATTCATGAAGTCTCTTCCTCAGTCTTGATCTGTGATGCTTAGACCTGGTCCACCAAAAAACAAAGAGAAGAGAGTGAAAACTGTTTTGGACACTGGATTGTCTTGCTGCACTGTACAGATCTTAAACTGTGTACAGGAGATGGGTAACTAATAGCTGACCCGCAATGGGGTCAGCTTCATCCATGAAGTCTCTTCCTCAGTCTTGATCTGTGATGCTAAGACCTGGTCCACCAAAAAACAAAGAGAAGAGTGTGAAAACTGTTTTGGAAACTGGACTGTCTTGCTGTACTGAATGGATCTTAAACTGTGCTCAAGAGATGGGTGACTAATAGCACACCCAAAATGGAGTCAGCTTTACCCACAAAGTCTCTTCCTCAGTCTTGATCTAGGGTGCTAAGACGTGGTCCACCAAAAAACAAAGAGAAGAGTGTGAAAACTGTTTTGAAAAATTGGACTGTCTTGCTGTACTGTATGGATCTTAAACTGTGCTCAAGAGATGGGTGACTAATAGCAGACCCAAAATGGAGTCAACTTTACCCACAAAGTCTCTTCCTCAGTCTTGATCTAGGGTGCTAAGACTTGGTCCACCAAAAAACAAAGAGAAGAGTATGAAAACTGTTTCGGAACTGGACCGTCATGCTGAGCTGTACGGATTTTGAATTGTGTACAAGAGATGGGTGCCAAATGGTTGACTCAAATTGGAGTCGGCTTCACCCATAAAGTCTCTTCCACAGTCTTGATCTGTGATGCTAAGACATGGTCCACCAAAAAAACAAAGAGAAGAGTGTGAAAACTGTTTCGGAACTGGACTGTCATGCTGAGCTGTAGGTTTCTTGAATTGTGTACAAGAGATGATAAACGGGCTACTCATACTGGATAATTTAGTGTTAACAACTGGGTTGAAAACGTAAATTAGCCACCGTAAAGGGTAAAAAAGCTGACGTTTCGAGCGTTAGCCCTTCGTCAGAGCGATTCAACTCAGTTGTTAACACTAAATTACCTGCTATACTCTCCCACCGACGCAGCACCACAGTTTCTTTAGAAACTTACCCCTTTACTCATACTGGAGTCGGCTTCACCCGTTAAGTCTCTTCCACAGTCTTGACCTGTGATGCTAAGACCTTGAACACCAAAAGAACATAGAGAAGAGTGTGAAAACTGTTTCGGAAACTGGACTGTTGTGCAACGCTGTATATTCTTGAACTTTGTGCAAGACATGGGTGACTAATTGTTGACCCGTATTGGAGTGGGTTTCACCCATTAAGGCCCTTCCTAAGTTTTTTTCTGAGATGCTAAGTTTCGGTTTAACAAAAAAAAAACCAAAGAGAAGAGTGTGAATAAACAGTTTTGAAACTTGATTGACGAGCAACGCAAAAGGATCTCGAACTGTGTACAAGAGATGGGTGACTAAAAGCTGACCCGCAATGGATTCGGCTTCACCTGCAAAGTCTAACTAAAAAAAGATGGGTTACTAGTAGCTGCTCCTCAATGGAGTCAGTTTCGCCCGCAAAGTCTCTTCCTCAGTCTTGATATAGGATGCTAAGACCTGGTCCACCTAAAAACAAAGAGGAGAGTGTGAAAACTGTTTCGAAAACTGGACTGTCTAGCTGCACTGTACAGATCTTAAACTGTGTACAAGAGATGGGTGACTAATAGCTGACCCGCAATGGGGTCGGCTTCACTCATGAATTATCTCCCTCAGTCTTGATATAGGATGCTAAGACCTGGTCCACCTAAAAACAAAGACGAGAGTGTGAAAACTGTTTCGAAAACTGGACTGTCTAGCTGCACTGTACTGATCTTAAACTGTGTACAAGAGATGGCTGACTAATAGCTGACCCAGATGGAGTTGGCTTCACCCGCGAAGTCTCTTCCTCAGTCTTGCTCTAGAATGTTAACACGTGGTCCACCAAAAAACGAAGAGAAGAGTTTGAAAACTGTTTCGGAAACTGGACTGTCGTGCTGAGCTGTACGAAATTGTGTACAAGAGATGGGTGGCAAATGTCTGACTCAAATGTCTGAGATGGGTTACTAGTAGCTGCTCCTCAATGGAGTCAGTTTCGCCCGCAAAGTCTCTTCCACAGTCTTGATCTGTGATGCTAAGAACTGGTCCACCAAAAAACAAAGAGAAGAGTGTGAAAACTGTTTCGGAAACTGGACTGTCTTGCTGCGCTGTACGGATCTAGAAATGTGTACAAGAGTGACTAATAGCTGACCCGCAATGGAGTCGAGTTCAACCATAAAGTCTCTTCCTCAGTCTTGATCTGAAATGCTAAGACTTGGTCTACCGAAAAACAAAAAGAAAAGTATGAAAACTGTTCTGGAAACTGGACTGTCTTGTTGCGATGTACAGATCTTTAGTGGTGTACAAGAGATATGCGGTAAATAGCTGATTGGCATCGGAGCCATTCTAACTTATTAAGCATCTTCCTGTTATATTGGATGTGTGTGGTGGTTTAGGAAATTCGTGTGAAATGAAAATGTCGTTCTTTTCACGGAATAGGCTTGCGTGTGACCAGTGAGGCTCTTTCTGTAAATATCATGATAAATGAGCACTTCGAGTAATATTATGGGTCGAAAACTTACGCGACCGTGATCACTGTTTATAAAGCAGTAGAATGTTTTTTGCTATAAGAAAGGTTAAGGATGTCTGTGTTTGTGGTACATGTATATGAGTACGCATGCACTTTCGTGTTTTATTTTCAAGTATAGAGTATTTGGCACGAAATGTTCGAATTGGTTCTTTGATGCTATCTCGTTTTCCTTTGCAGAGGTAGTGAGGAATGACAATTTGAAGCAGTAAACCACAGAAAATTTTTAACCTTGGAAAGAAGCAAGAATTGGGGGTCCAACCGCAAGTTAAAAAGTTCACAGAGACCAGGATACTTAATGTTTTGGTGAGTGTAACTGCTGTGGTATAGTTGTACGGAAGATTGTAATTTTCAAATGAAGCCATCTGTAATTATGTTAAAGAAAGTGAGTAATTTTGTTTATTTCTCTGTATTTCGCAGGTGTTTCAACCCCAACAAACCGAAAATTTTAACTTCGAAAGGAGGTGTAAATTTGGAGTATAAAAACCTCCGCCAGCTTCTTTGTGGTTCACTTAGGTAACGTACAGTGGGGACAGATACCATTTGAAGCTCTCTCTACCTTACTTTAAGATTTCATGATAAATGACCAAGGAAAAAAGTGTCAACCGTGGAAGGAAGGAAAAATCGGGGGTCGATCCGCCACCGTCCCCCACCACACCCGCCTCTTATAGACAGTTGTTTTGTAATTTGAGACAAGTTTAACATTGTGGTATGACATATCGTAAAAAGCATGCGTCTTATTACACGCATGTGTTTTATGATGTAGTCTTACCACAATGTTAAACTTGTCTCAAATTACAAAACAACTGTCTATAAGAGGCGGGTGTGGTGGGGGACGGTGGCGGATCGACCCCCGATTTCTGCTTTCTTTCCGAGGTTGAAAATGGCCTTTTCTCGCAACCTCTACAAAGATTAGGAACCCCTAAGGTTTGCTTATTCTTCCGAGCTCGATATTTTTGCTTGAGATGGTTGTTCCTCCTGACGCCTATTGCTGCGGTATATAGAATACACAAGTCAATATTTTTTTTCTTTCTTTTATTTTGTAAAATTCAAATCACAGCACATCAATAAAATATTTACATTGAAACCACTTACAGTGTTCCGTGAAGTTCATAATGGTAATGTACCTCAAACTAAAAAAAGGGAAAATTAAAAATGTACTACAATGCTGAACTCCTAATAACAACTAAAAGTTGTCTGGAAGTAAAATTCCTAAATTGTTACAATACGCCAACATCGTTCCCTCTAAGACTGATAATCACTAGTAAGAGTATTCTCATCTTCTCTCACCATCTTTCTAAACTTGGAATATTTCCGATATCTGAAATAGTATAGTGAGCGAGCAAATTTGTATCTAATAAGTTAGCATTCCTGAGTAAGATGCTACTCAAAGAGAAAGAAAATATTTTATTACGCAAATTTCCGAAGGTGGTAATCTGATTAAGATAACACAGATTTCAGTTTAAGAAGTTCAGCAATAACACATCATACTCACCAAATTGCAAAATAGTTTCTTCTCTCTTGCCCTTGTTTTTTTAACTGGCAATCTTTGCAGTACCTGGTACAGGAAAAGTAACCCTTGAAATAATGAAGAATTTAACACTTCTGGTTCCACTCGAAAATGATTTACTGCACAATGACATTTAGAATATTTGTGGGTGCAAATTTCCGAGGTGGAAAATTTCTACTCTGTAACATAGAATTCCCTTTCAGGTTCAACATTTCTGGGGCCCAGGCCTGTATTCGAAGGTCCCGTCACTCGATGGGTACGTAAGGCTGTTCTCTTTTGATTCAAGATGGGGTTTTAAAAGTTTTTAAAACTAAAAACCAGCTCATCTGTTCGTTAAATTTTCTTTTAAAGCAATTATGGCTTCGGGCCCGCTATGTTACCGGAACTTCGAGAATCGGTTCCCTGTTTGCAGTGAAAATGATTTATTGCGCATAACACTGAAAATATTTGCGGGTGCAAATTTTCGAGTGTGGAACTTCTATCGACTAGCGAGGACTTGAGCTCTAGGGGTTCAACGATGAACTTTGCTCACCAGAAAAATTGTATTATCGTCTTCCTTGACCCTTCGTCTTTACTGGAAGGGAAAATTTAACCGAGAAATACTGCAGAATTACACGTTTTTGGTTCCAGTTAAAATATTTTGCTCCATAATAACATTGAAAATAATTACAAATGCAAAAATTTGCATGTGGACACTTCTAAGGAATTAAATAATTCAGTACAAGCGGTTTAACCACAACACATCACTTTCACTCACCAAAATAGAACGTATCCTCGACTTGGACTCGTAACTTTAGAAGTTACCTGAAGAAGGAAAGAAACGAGAAAATTACTAACGTACATTTTTGACACTTCTGATTCAACTATAAAAGAATCATAGTGTAACAATGCTATTCACCACTGTAGCATTGTTTTAATCAGTACGATGGTCAGTTAGTCAGTAGGCCAATCAGTCAGCCAGCCAGTCAGTTATTTAGCTGGCCAGCCGGTTAATAAGTCACATTGCTGGTGAGTAATTTTTCAGATAGCCAGTCCATCCGCCATTCAGTCACTAGGTCAGGAGATGAGCCAGTCAGCAAGTAAGTTGTCAAGACACATTCAGCAAGTCAGTAAGACAGCCAAACAGTCAATCAGCCAGCCAGTCAGTCAGTCAGCCAGCCAGCCAGCCAGTCAGTAAGTCAATCAACAAGTCTGTTGGCTAGCCACTCATTCAGCCAGTCAGTTGGTCAGGCAGTAATTCAGTCGAAAACAAAACAGTTAGCCAAACAGCCACTCAGAAAGTCATTCAGTCATTCAGTCGGTCAGCTGACCAGCCAGCCAATCAGTTAGTCAACCACCAAGCCAGTCAAAGAGTCACTCAGCCAGTAGGTCAGTCATTCTGCACACCATTCAGTCAGTCAGTCAGTCAGTCAGTAAGCCAGCCAATCAGCCACTCAGTCAGCCAACCACTCAGACAGCCTGTCAGCCCTTCTAAAAGCCATTCAGTCAGTCAACCAATTTGTTCATCAGCTAGCCATTCAGTCGGTTGGTCAGTTAACCAGCCAGTCAGTCAATCAGTTAGCTAGCTAACCAGTCAATCAGAGAGTCAGCTACTCAGTCAGTCACAAAATCAGTCAACCAGCCAGTAAGATAGACAGGAAGTCATGCAGCTAGCCAATTAGTCAGCCAACCAGTCTGCCAGTCAGTCGCTCCATTACCCAGCAAGTCAGCTAGACTGTAAGTCCACCCCCAGTCAGCCTTTCAGTCAGTCAGTCAGCTAGCCAGCCAGCCAGTCAGTTAGTCAGTCAGTCTGTCTGTTGGCCTCTTGGAGGATCATTTAGTAATTCAATCAGCTTTTCATTTGGTCATTTAGTTCATCAGTCAGTCAGTAAATCAGTAAGGCCAGAACACCAGCACCCTGCCATTCACTCACATATTCATCCACTCACCTACTCAATTCCATACTCAATCAGCAAGCCACTTCTCAGTCAGTCAACAAGCCACTAACAAGTTAGCAAGCTTGTCAGTAAGTAAATTCATCAGACAGTCATTGAGCCAGTAAGTGACTTATTCTACAGTTTTAAGGTGGACTGAACATACAGTCTGTTAATTAGGCAAGCCCTTAACCAGTCAGTTGGTCAGTCAGCCATTATGCAAGGCACTCAGCTACTCCGACAGCTGGTCATTCAGTAAGTCATACTGTCAGTCAGACAGCAGGCCAACAAGTCAATCAGAAAGCCAGTCAGTCTCTCAGTCAATGCATAAAGGCTTAATGTTCTAATGAAACTGTGATGCTGCATTGGTGGGGGGTATAACTATTAGATAATTTGGTTTGATCAAATGAGTTGATGATGTGAAATGGTCACCACAGAAAGATGCTAAAGCTGACTTTTAACTAACACTTTAAACATCACCTTTAGTTTCTCTTGAAAGTGACCATTTCACATTATCAAATCAGTTGATGAAACCAAATCAGTCCATCAGTTAGTCAATTTGTCAGGCAGTCAGTCAGTCAAAAAGTAAAATGAATAAAAGGGGTACATTTCTAAAGAAACTGTGGTACTGCATTGGTGGAAGAGTATAACAAGGTAATTTGGTATTATCAACTGAGTTGATAATGTAGATCAGCTTCTGTAAAGAGTTTCAAAGCTGATGTTTTGAGCATATGCCCTTACCTTGGTCAGAGCAAAAGACAAAGGGCTAAAGCTCAACACATCAGCTTTGAAACTCTTTATGGAGGCCAATCTATGTTATCAACTCAGTTGACAACACCAAATTACCAAGTCAAAAAGTCAGGCCAGCACACAAGCAGTCAGACAACCAGTACATTACACATTTATTCGCTCATTCACCCACTCCCCAGCTCATTCAGTCACTGAGTCAACAAGCCAGACAGTTAGTTGGTCAGCCAGCTTGCAAGTCGTAAACTCTACAGACAGTCAGTGACCCCAGGTAGTCAGTCAGCCAGTAGTAACATACAGTGCAGTTACTAGGTGGACTGGGCATGCATTCTGCCTGTTTCTTTATAGGGTATGCTCCTAACAAACCAATCTGTTGGTCAGTCAGCAAAACATATCACTTTAAATAAGTCAATAAAGGGAGGGGAGAGAGAGCAAAATACCTATAATAAAAGTTTTGTGAATGAAAGTGATCATCATAGTAATGTGCACTACTTAGGCAGTAGTGAAAATAAGGCCTGAAAAAAATTCAGGCCTGTACTGGATTTGAACCCATGACCTCTGCGATACCAGTGCAGCGCTCTACCAATTATTTTCACTACTGCCTAAGTAGTGCACATTACTGCGAGGATCACTTTCATTCACGTCTTTATCCGCAGTTCAAATATATGACTTTCATATATTCTTAACCATTTATTCATCACTTCACGGGTTTATTTAGAACCAACTTCATGACCAGCTCCCAGTTGGCTTGTTAGCTCAATTGGTAGAGCGCTGCACCGGTATCGCAGAGGTCATGGGTTCAAATCACGTACAGGCCTGAATTTTTTTCTGGCCTTATTTTCACTACTGCCTAAGTAGTGCACATTACTGCGAGGATCACTTTCATTCACGTCTTTATCCACAGTTCAAATATATGACTTTCATATATTCTAAACCAATAAAAGTTTTGCATTCTCTTTTTCCCTCCTCCCAAGTTTCTTTTTATTGTCATGGTTAGCTATTTGCATAGTCTTCTTTGCAACAGTTCTTTGGGATGTCATGCAATGTCCTCCCCCCTAAAAATAAAGCTTCTTCTAAAAGGGAGGGTTTACTAAATGGCATCCAAAAAGAATGCTGTGATAGTAGTCTTTCAAATACCATAATCATACATCAGGTATTTGTCACTAGTGGACTGAAAAGTTAAGCATTTGTCCTTAATATGCAATTTACTAGAACTATATCAATAGACAGGTATCCCTGCATAGAATAAGCAATTATAGAAAGAATTCTGTGAGTATGCATATGTAATAAACATACCATAGACATTTTTGGTGATTAACCATCAAATACTTTGGTCAGGAGGTTCTTCTTCAAAGTTACCCAACTCGTGATGAGTCTGTGTTGCCAGTGGTGACTCCTTTTACACTTATATCTCCCAGTGCTAGACTGGGGCTCTGTACATGTCAAAAACCTACCATGTAGGATGGGAACAAAAACAATAATTGAAATACTCATTTCATAGAACAAGAAATCCAAGGGGCGAGAGGTTTACTGCTAAACGATGAGGCAGAAAATATGAACGGCAAAGAAAGAAACCCTACTGTGATGCCCTCAAATGGGCAACCTCTCACTGATTAGTACATATCCACCTTAATTAAATTAAGCAGTTATACTGTACTGTAACTGTCTAAATAAAAATCCTGGTCGAGATATGGAACTCATCTGTCAGCACAACTACTCCCTATCCCAACCCTTACAATTTTTTAATTCACACAATAAATAAATTTTAGGAACAGAATATGTGAGAGTCCTGCCCTTTAAAAGAATCTAAAAATATTGTTGTTTGGACCTCAGAATGCATTAATAAGACTTAAAAGACGGATCTTTACCCTTTGACCAGTTTGGAATGGGTTACCCAAGCAGGAGTGCTAGACTCCTGTTGATCTAGCTTCTCCCTCATTGGAGTGATGAACCCTTTTTACAACACGATTAAAAGGAATTGCCTTTTATATTTTGAGTCAAAGTACATGTATATTTACCTCTGGGTGTGTGCTAATATCTTCAACCAGCAGGTTTGTCTACTTTCATGATCCAGACAGTAAAAAATGACAAACAAACAAAATAATGAAATTCTAGAACCCTTTCCTGGAAGAAACTTGTAACTTTCTTCATTATTTTGTAATAAAAATCCGGCAATCATAAAAAAGTTGACCCATCAGTTATCCACAAATTAAATAGAACTTTTTAACTTCATACATCATTTTACAGCTAAACGATGAGGCAGAAAATATGAACGGCAAAGAAAGAAACCCTACTGTGATGCCCTCAAATGGGCAACCTCTCACTGATTAGTACATAATCACCTTAATTAAATTAAGCAGTTATACTGTACTGTAACTGTCTAAATAAAAATCTTGGTCGAGATATGGAACTCATCTGTCAGCACAACTACTCCCTATCCCAACCCTTACAATTTTTGAATTCACACAATAAATAAATTTTAGGAACAGAATATGTGAGAGTCCTGCCCTTTAAAAGAATCTAAAAATATTGTTGTTTGGACCTCAGAATGCATTGATAAGAGTTAAAAGACGGATCTTTACCCTTTGACCAGTTTGGAATGGGTTACCCAAGCAGGAGTACTAGACTCCTGTTGATCTAGCTTCTCCCTCGTTGGAGTGATGAACCCTTTCTACAACACGATTAAAAGGAATTGCCTTTTATATTTTGAGTCAAAGTACATGCATATTTACCTCTGAGTGTGTGCTAATATCTTCAACCAGCAGGTTTTTCTACTTTCATGATCCAGACAGTAAAAAATGACAAACAAACAAAATAATGAAATTCTAGAACCCTTTCCTGGAAGAAACTTGTAACTTTCTTCATTATTTTGTAATAAAAATCCGGCAATCATAAAAAAGTTGACCCATCAGTTATCCACAAATTAAATAGAACTTTTTAGCTTCATACATCATAGATAAGTCACTTGGTCCAAAATAGGCAAACAACAGTTGCTGTCATAACAAATTTAAATGCAAATCATAAGGAATGATTGACTATTGCTGCACCTGTAACTGCTACACTATTTCCACAAAGTTGGATTTGTATTTTCTTTATTATGTGCTAAGGATCCTAAGCTTTAGAAGTTAAGTATCCATGCTTTATTTCTTCAAGTACCAGTTGCACAAACTGAATTTGTGTTTTAATCTTCATGAGTAAATGGTCAGAAAAATAACTCTGTCTTGTCTCAATTTTTAAATGTTGTGGTTGTGTTTCAGTTTCTTTTAAAACAGATAAGGAATTTAGATAAAAAAAAAAGATCAAAATAAATACTTAAGAGTATCTAGTACCAAAGTGTGTTCTCAACATTTTGAAGACAATGATTTTAAGTTTGTATACAGCCGAACTAGAAGATTGAGAGATGGCACCTGTCCTTCTTGCTTTCAACAGGAGGCTATTTCAAAAAAACATTTGTGTTTTTTTCCATCACAAATTGTAATTGTTTCAAAGTTTGCTTGGAAGAGTTTCAAATAAGTTTTACATTCATATGAACCCATATTGAGATAAAATATTTTCCTGAAGCTTCCCTCGTTAATCTGCATTACTTCTGTTTTCTATACTACCTACTTGCTAAAAAATGTTGTTTATGGAGAATCTTGCCAAAATTACAACTCTAAATTGTTGTGGTTCATTTTGAATGCATTTCTTTAAGTTTCAGGGAAAAAAGAGAAAAATGCAATTCACCAGCCTGGGTCTGTCTGTATTGGGAAAAACTGCGCCCTCAGTCTTGAGTACTGCCCAAGGCTGTGTTATCTAAGACCTGGGGCACAGTTTTTTCCAATGCAGACCTCCCGCCTGGCAAATAACATATATTTATTGTATAAACTGCTGTGTTGTGCAAGAATGTCCAACCCTAAGAACAGTCATAACAGCACACTTGTAAAATTACCATATTTTTTTTACATGTTTAATATCACCAATCAGTTGCTGACACATCAATCGTTTTTTGCGCGGATCCATAAGGTTGATGAATGAACCTGGCTAAGCATTCACCATATCTCAACACTGTAAATTCAAATTTCTTACAGAGAGTGACATTCAAGATTTCATAGAAGCAGAAAAAAACCAAAGAACAAAAAACAAAAGTTACTTGGCTTTGGTTATGGCATTTCTTGCAGCTAAGTTACAAGGTAGTCTGTCAGAGCTTTCTCTAATTATAGCAGCTAAAACATTAAAAAAAACCTATATTGCTCACGGACAGTAACATTCAAACTCTCCTAGAAGAGGAAAAACCAACATACGAAAAAGAAAAACTGAAAATTACATATTCAGTTGCTTTGGTAATGACATTTCTTGTGGCTGAGAACAAAAAATTATAACTGGAAGATTTCCTACAGGCCAATTTTGGCCATTTACCTGCAGATTTTTTCTGTCGGTAAGGACAAAGTCAATAAATGAGAATTTCGTAAATTGAAAATTACACCCATTGTTGTTTTTGTTATCATGATTCAACCCATTTTTCCATCTTGAGCCTTAGTACCAACGCTCTGTACAACTGAAGATTCTTTAATTTTCATCCATTAATGAAGTTGGCTTTTCTTATCATCAAAAGGCTATTGTGTTTATATGAAAAAAAATAATTCATAGTTACTTGTAGATATGCAATTTCTCTTCTCATGTTCAACTTGACATCTCATGCATTTGCTGCCCTCACTCATGAGCTATTGAGTTGAAAACTTGAAGAGAAATTCCATATCAACACCTGTCCATGAATTATTCTCTGTATGTTTTACCCAATCAATGTTGCACTTTGTTATGTGCGTAAAAGGATGGAGGGGAGGGGAGGGAGAGGGGGAGGAGAGGGGGAGGAGAGGGAGAGGAGAGGGGGAAAAAATTTGGGAAGTTCTGAGATAATAAGTATTGAAAACAGCATGTCTCTTCAAATGAAAAATATCCACTCATTGTGGCCAGCATTACTACGTTGTATCTGAACCTGGGTTACCCCACCTAGGCGGGTTACCTTACTTACCTGGAGTCCCCCACCTCCATGTAAACAGGCCCTAAACTTACATGCGCAATTACAGCTTGGAGGGCCACTTTGATTACATCTCACGGATTACTCTTTGTTCAACATGATGTATGAACTTTAAAGACAATAAAAATAAATACAGCTTGCTTTAAACAAGTATTTCGTGAGCAGGAAACCTTACCTTTGGCTTACTGTATCTATGAATGCTCCATAGTGGTTTGGTGCACGTGTGTGTTGACACGTTATCCTCATTTCTCTATTTTAGTAGCCTTTAACGTCGCGTTTTCTTCTTCACATAACGAAAAAAGAGTGAAATACACTCTCACGTCATGGAACACTTAAGCTTCTGTTTTCCTTGCAAATAACATAGTACAACAGAAGAGTAACAAGCCCTCTTCTCCTGTCCATCTTCCGCCGCCATGTTTGATTTATTATTTGTTCCCAGTCTCTGAGCACATCAAATTACAAGAAATAAAACGCGGGAAGCACTGCGCAGATTGACGTGTTTTCTTTTAATGGCTCTTTTAAACCACAAAAATTTGCCAACAAACAAGTAAAAATCCAAGCACTCGATCAGTTTAGGTTTGCTTTATAAAGAATGAAAGCTGTATGCAGTTCATGGCAAACTTCTGTTAGGTGAGACTCATTTGCGATCTACAGTCGTGGCGGTTCGTATTATTGTCAACCTGCGACTGATGTACCGGTAACTCGAAGAAGGGGGAGGGGGATGGGTGAGATTATCGCGTCACAGGTGGTGCTATGCACTTGAGCTGACACTAGCTTACCTTGAAATCTTTACACTAAAATCAACCCTTAATCTGAGAAAAAAATCGCTCCAACATCTGAGTGAAGTGGTTTGACATTTTATTGTCGACATATAAGCATGGCGCTGAAAACAGGACTAACAACTCACTCGTGTAATGTCCTTTCCGCATTTCATTCGATTCACTTCTCACAAATAAAATAATAGGGATCAATGTCAGTATTTGAGCAACTGCGCACCTACTCCTCCCTTAAACCAACATTTATCATACCTGGTTAGTAATTTTTCGTTGTTGGGTTAGGGGAGGTGTGGGTACACAATTGTTCAGACACTGACTTTGATCTAACACTAGACTTATCGACTCTACATCATTTGCGTTGCGTCGCAAACGTTAGGCCACTTCAGACTACAATTGCTCTTTGAAAATAAAACCAGTTATCGGTGACGTATCAAACTGATAATAAGATGCCGTTGTTAAAAGCCAACAACCTACTTCCGTATATAGTTAAACATGAAAATCCTAGCACAGGATTAAAAAATAATAAGCCCGTCCAGATTGCTGGACTGGTCGATAAATTTTCATGGCTCCATTACCTATCAACTGAGGAAAAGAGAGGTTATCTTTCTCACCAGAGGCCTTACAGATAAATAAACATTGTCCACGTGATTTAACATTTCCTAAAGGAGGGTCTCAATGGGGTGATGGCTTTTATGGCTAACAGTAAAATGTTTTGGCCATTTTACGGCTAACGGTTGATATCATCCCGCTGTTGTCACCTGAAAATTTTTTAACCGTTAACTTTTTTTACGACTGTCGCTTGAAATTTGTCAATTTTTACGGCTAACGGCTACATTTCTTGGCTATTTTACGGCGATCAGTCAACCCCATTGAGACCCTCGTACAAAGGACTGGTTTTTTCTGGACCTTGCAAACATTTCTGAAATCAGAAGCAATCTCAAGAGACCTAAAAATGATCAGTGAAATATGATTTTATCATAAGAATCATAAAAAATTTCGATTTGTATGTTTTACCCAAAAGATAAACAAAAAAAGTTAGACTCCTTGCATTTTAGAAGGTTTCTATCACGTGCGGCTATGCGGAGTGTGAACAGAACTGGCTATGGAATTGAAAATTTTAATTTCTTACATCAAAATATACTTCTATCGTTCTCTTTCTCGTTTGATATGACTTAATTGTATAAAAATGCAAATCTTAACAAAAGGAAGTGATGTCAAAGAAATGCTAAAATACTGTTGAACTGAACATGATCATCTTCTTGATGTACAAAGTTGCTTTAAAAAATGGTATAACCGGCCAAAACACCTTTAGTTTTCAGTTTTTAGAGCTAAGATAAAGCTAAGGATATCATTTACATTATAATTCTTAAACCTCTGTGGTCAAGAATTAACACCATATGTAAAAAAAAATTGAGCTTTTGTTCTATTTTGGTTTTTAGAACGGTTTAAAAGGCACAAAATAAATTCAGATATTAATGTCACTCCGGCCACGTTCTTGGTGACTGAGAAGAAAACTAAGCAAATAAAATAAATATTTCAACTTGGCAGACTCAGTTTCGAGCGCCCTAAGCACTGTAAAGTACAAAGTGGTGCTTTCACATGGCTGTACCTCATCGCTGTAGCACAAGGTCTATGACTTAGGGATGATCATGTCCATGTTTGTCCTCTTGCATGATTACCTAAGAATCATAAACATATGAAAAGATCTTAAATTTCTATCAAAGTTTATACAGGGGGCGCTTTTATTAGAAAGAAAAGAAAATTGCTTGCAGGACAAAAACAACAACATTTTGGGACAAGAAACTCATACGTCAGTAAACAGGCATGGCAATTCAATTAAATTCAGGAAAAATTGATTGACACCGCGGGCTGGACGGCCTATATGAACAAAAAATAAAACCATTTTTAAATTTGAGGTAGAGTAGCTGGGAGGTCTAAGCCCTGTTTTCACAACTGATGGTCTCAAGTTTGAGTCCCAGGCAAACACCACTGACAATAATCCAACTGATTTAACTCCTGGTAGTTGCGATTTTGAAATCTGTCATCTATATTCGAATATTTTTTCAGATCTTATTTCGTCGGTCCACTAACGAGGAAACCTGTCAGGAGTGAAACATGTAGTTTAGCTAGCTTTATTGGTCCTCTTAATCGGGTACTTAAAGATTGAAATCGACTGATGCCTTCCGTCTTACTTACCTTAAAATGTGAGAGTTACATTGTCACCAAGTAAGACAAATGGAGCCCAGTGCTCCCTATCAGAGTACAGTACTGACTCTCTCATTTTTTTCATGGTCAAGTGAAGAGATTCGCTTGCACTGAGTTTCTCGCGGATTAAGAACTTGTAGAATATGTTCATGAATGCTTTGGTAGCCCCATCATCGACAGCCCACAATGACATCAGAACTGAACGAGCACCAGATCCTAAGAAAGCTCGAGCAATTCCAACAATCCCTTCGGCTTTTAATGCCTTACCACGAGCACTGTGACAACAGCTGAGTACCACCAGCTTGGCTCTGATACCAACTCGAGCTATGTCGTTCATTGTTAGCAAGACGTCGCCGATCTTAGGAACTCCAACGACAGACCTGTTGGGAGCAAGAGCTATTTCCCCGGTGGTTTCATCACCATGGGCAGCAATGTGCACTAAGCTCACTTCTTGGATTCTTTTCAAGACTTCCTCCTTTGTGGCTTCCTCTCCTATCAAACAGCGCACTCCTACCAATCTTGACACCATCTGCGCTTCTTCTCTGGCTTTAGGCAATGGATCTAGAGTCTTTACACTTCCATTTATCTCTACAGGGCCAACCGCTGGATCTCCGACGATCAAAGCTCCACTTTGAGAGTGATAGCTGGCTGCCGAGTCGTGAATGAGCTTCAGTGTCGTTATAGACGGGATGAGGCGGACTCTCACAGTTTCAGAAAGGTACTTTCCATTTTCATCCTTTAACGATGCAAATGGCGTCAAAAAAAGGCCGGGTTCTGGGGATATGATGATCTCCGGGCTGTCTATGAGGTCAAATATAGGAGCAATAAAGGCAGCGTACGACTTGACCGTATAGGAAAGGCCAATGTATGATTTGCTTCCGATTTGTTTCACTTGCATTTGCACAGAACCTTTGTTTGGTTTTAACTGTTGTTCCTGTGAAGCAAATGGATAATTTTCATACAGCAGAGCCAATGAACGATCTTCGCAGTGTGGATCATCCAAAGTCGATGAAGAGGCATCCATTTCAGGCTCTTTGGTGGCACTACTTTCTTTGAATAACTCTGTTTCTAAGTCTATTTTTACCAGTTTGAATTTTACACTTCCGCCTTTGTCAACGAACCACAGGGCGAAATCGCTATTCATTTGAAAAGTTGCTATAAAGAGGAAGTTCCTTTGCTGTTCTTTAAAAAAGTTTTGGAGGGCATCTGGAGTTACTTCGTTATGAACAAGTCTCCTTTTGATTCCGTAACTCTCCGACATTAGATCAACAAGGGCACGACTTCGTCCGAGCTCCAGGGTGAAAAGGGCTTGGTTGAGATTCCCCTCGCGAAGAAGCAGCCACGAAAGAGATTTATAACAAGAATAGTTCTTACCATCCAATGAAATCTTGTCTGTTTCATCTTTGAGGAAAGATCGAGTTCTTTTGTGGATTTTAATGCTTTCGTGCAAGTTTTCACATGCTTTCGAAAAGTTGCCTTCAGAGGAATATACTTCCCCTAAAGTGTTACGAAGATAGATTTGCGACTGATCTTCCATTCCAATTTCCTTCTTCAACTCTAGTGCTTTGCTCTGATACCAGATTGCTTTCTCGTTGTGACCTTGAGCAAAATAAACATTACCAAGAAGAACGTAACAAGACACCTCTCTTTGTTTTTCATCAATCCCTTTCACGATTTTAAGTGCATTCTTAGCATGCTCAATGGCTTGCTCATATTTTCCAAGAGCAAAATTCAAGGCGGCAAAACTAATTAAAACTGATGTCTTTAATTGTATGTGTCCGACTTCTTCACTGACTTTCAGAGCTTTCTGTAAATATTCGCATGCTTTCTGATATTGACCAGTAGAAATATAAATATCACTGATATTAGCAAATGTCATGGCAAGATCCACTTTGTTTCCAGTTTTTTCGAGAACATCAATAGCCTTTTCTAAATAGCTCTTGGCTTTCTCATCATCACCAAGATAACTGGGAAGTTTGCTGGCATTTTTATAGCATATTCCCATGATTTCAAGATCCCCTTTTTCCTCGCAGAGTTTAATGGCTTTTTGGTGATATTGTCTTGCCTTCTCATAATCACCGAAGGACATATAAAGATTTCCAAGGTCAGTGAGGTTTCCAGCCTTTTTGACACCTGCGTCTGATTTGAGTTGAAGGGCTCTTTCAAGATATTCTAGGGCTTTTCGAAACTGACCGAGTTTCATTGAAACTTTTCCAATAAAGTACAGATTTGCTGCCTCCAACACTCTGTCTTCGATGTCTACACTAAGTTTAAGGCTTTTTTCGTAATATTCAAGTGCCTTTTTGAAGTCACCACGTGCCTCATACACTCCACCAATGTTGTTGTAGGATGTTCCTTCATCTTTTCTGCGTCCAAGTCTTTTACGAATCTCGAGTGCTTTTTCGTGGAAATCAAGTGCTGCCTCAAGATTGCCCAGGTAGTTATGATTCATTACTCCCATGTTGTTGTAGTATATCGCTTGCTGTATCTCATTTCCAATTTCCTTATTTATTTTAAATGCTTTCTCATAATAGTGACGAGCCTTTTCATAATTTCCACGCACATTATATACCTCACCAATGTTGTTGTAAACCCTTCCCTCGAGTTCTTGTTTCTCATGTCTTGATAGTCCACTTACATCAAGAGCCTTTTGATAATGCTCCATAGCTCTTTCATACTGGCTCGCAATGTGAAGCGATCTACCCAAGTGGCAGTGACACCACGCCTCACTCAATCTAGGACCAGCTTTTTCGTAGATGCACAATGCCTTTTTTAGGCAGCTGATTGATTCTTTGATCCGACCGAGGTCATAGAATTTAAGACCACGTTCCTCGAGTAACAGAACTGCCCTCATAAACTTTTGGCGTATCACATATTCGATCAGTGTCAGTACGGAAGAGGGTTTGCTCACTGACAGTTGATTCAATAATACCAAGCACTCAAAATACAAGCCAATGGATTCAGCCCAGCGATTTGTGTTGGTTAGAAATACCGCCACAGCATACCCAATGAGGAAAGCTTTCACCGCTGGTATTTTGTCCATCTTTCTGCTGTTCCCCAATAGATTACTAAAAAAACAAACAGAAACAATAACCAAGATGTCAATATATTTGTATCTAACAGGAACATCAGCTAAGCGTGGATACCTTTGTTCTTTTAGGCTAGAATATATCCTATAATCCCAACAAAGTGGTCAAACGTCACACTCCCCTCGTCAATTGTAACGTCACCTTTGTGCGAAGTTGGCAAATCTTTTTCACTGCTACGGGGTTGCGTGGTTTTGGATCTCCTCGGCGATATATCGGCTGTTGATTCGTGATTATGCAAAGGTAGCCCAAGCTCGCAAAATGAGCCTTCGTAAGTATGTAAATATGTCATGAGTTGCGCTACGGACGAAATATAATTATTTTCATGGGAATAAATAGAGCTCTCTCGACGTAAAAAATCTGAACTTGTTTTGAATATAAATAAACTTATTTAAAAAAGAACAACGTGGATTTACTAAAGCAGGGTTTAATGGCCCCAGATCATTCCGAAAAAATCATATGATCCGGTAAATTTGTTTTTATTTAAAACTAGGCTCATTTTGCGAGCTCAAACCGACAGCCTTCGTATGGAAAAACAACAACTGTGCGGGTGCTTTAACACCTGGTGTCACATAACAGAGGATGTAGTCCGCACAAAAGACGTAATTTTGGCCAGCGAGTGCTCATATTGTCTTGGTGAAAATTATAGCTGCAATCTTTGATTTTTAGGGCGAGGGAAGGCTGGGAAGAGAAAGTAATAGTGGTAAGGGGGCGAGTGACATGGCCAGTTGCGAGCTTGTAACGTTGACTCGCCCTAATAAGACGCCTGCCCTGAGAAGAAGCCTGCACAATATGCAGGTTAGAGAGGATGAGGACTTCACTCTCTCTTGTTACGGCTGTAAAGAAATATCGACCACCATGACAAAGGGTAGTAAATGGTTTCTTGGTCGCCTTGTCTACGTCATGCGAAGTATCGATTACAGATGGCTTCATTTACAATACGAGGAGATCTATCAAAGTGAAAACTTGAAAAAAGGTTTATCTTGCAAGTTGTTTGTTAGAAAAAAACATAATGCGAAAACTGAGTAAACGGCGGCAAAGACCTAAAGTGGCCCCTAAGTCACGAGACCAATCTCATTGTCAAGTCTGTTCGGGCGTAAGGTTCGCGTCGACCATAATCCTTTAACCCCCATGAGTGACCAAGAAAGAATTTCTCCTTACAATATCAATACAATATCAAGCAGGCAAGTGACGAGAATAATGAAAAATATTAATTAGGGGATAATTAGTCGATCCAATACCAAATTCTCCAAATTAACATCACGAGAACTTTATGGCAGACAGTAAGGAGAATTACTAATGAGATCTTGGGAGTTTAAGGGTCAACACCATACTTCCGCTGAAAACTAATTAACGGTGTGTATGATCTAGTGAGCCTATTCTGGTAATTCTGCTGATGGCTCTAATTTTCTCGCTGTTTCAACACGAATGCATAAATATTACTAGTAATAAGATAACTGAAGTGCATACCATTTAGGGCTTGGTTGTTTAAAGCTGGGTTAGGTAACCCAAAGTTAGTGTGAAATTTTATTTAATAGCACATATTCTTTTGTCAAGAATTTGATTTTTTGGATGCTCTTAATCAAATTGAGAAAATTATCCGAAAGAGGCTTTTGAAAAAAGTAATAAAGAAACCTGGATTAAAATTTAACCATGGGTTTGCTCTAATCGGCCATCGTACAACTGGGCACAGAGCTTTTAGAAGGGTGTTACTAACTGTGGATCAGCAGAACGCGGATCCTCTGGAACCAGCAGAACTTGCGGAACCATTCATTTTTTGTAGAAAAAAAATAATAATGAAATAACATGAGAACTTAAAATACCTTAACAATGTTCGAGATTTCTTTTTCGGGCATAAAGAAGATAGCGTTTAAAGAGAAATATATATATTTTCTTAATCTACCTTGACGTCCAACCATATTGCGCCCAAGCTCACACAAAGCGCCCAAGCTCACACAGTGAGCGTCTGTGAATAGGCAAGTATGTTCATGTTGTGCAATTAGTGAAATTAAAGAGTTTGCATGGAAATAAACAGTCGCGCCCTCAACCTTAAAAATTGTCGAACTATTTTTGAATAGGAGCAAATTTTCCCAGCTCAAGTGGTTATTCTTTTGCATCGTGAGTTCACTCAATTATATCCGCCGTCAATTCCTTTCACCCGGCTCTGAAATATACTTGGGAAATTTCTGACACTTCTTTGGCTTTTGTAGACAGAAAAATTTCAGTTGAGGGCAACGTGCTATGCACTAATGTTAACTAAAAACCTACAGATTGACATAGTTACTTCAGTTCATTTTCGCAGCCATCACGCGTCAAAAATTCCATACCTTTTACACAGTTTCTCAGACTTTGTCGTTTATGTAGTGACCAATCTGATTTTCCCAAAAAATCAGAGGTGTGTGCCAGTTTTTCGATAAACGTGGCTATCCTGTTTCTGTCGTTCAAGAGGGCCACCACCGTACCCAACTAATTGATCGACAGTCAGCACCACAAGCGGCTCTTAAGGAAAATACCGATTGCACTCCATTCACTCTCACATTTCACCCGGCCCTCACAACCACGCAGTTAAATCTATCATTCTTAAAAAATTTAAATTATTTCAAAACGATTCAGAGACTGTTATTATCTTTTCGCAACCCCCACTAATTTCATTCAAACGCGACAAAAAATGACCAATGACCAATGACCAACCTATAACTTTCAAATGCGCTCGCTCACGATGCAAAACTTGTTGTATGGACTCAAGAGATCCATTAAGATCACTGTTCACTTCAAGTGTACCTCCGCCAATGTTATCTATTGCATAACTCGCACATATTCCGTGGGATACGGTGGCCCATTGTTACATAGAAGACACTCTATCTGCTTTTTAAATTCAATTTTATCGCGCAGTAAATGAAAAATTATCGCGCGAGAAATGGGAAATTTGTTGGGTCGCACAAGATCGGCTGTCATACACGTTGTTTCTGTGGCTGCAACAGTTGAGGAGGTATGCTTTGAGGTCGGTAGTTCGTTTTATTTTCGTGAAAAGATCATTGAGCAGTACTTTGCAATACTTCCACTACACAGCTTTGTGAATCAATTCAGTAAACCTTGATTTTGCGAAATCTTACGAGACACTTTCAGAGATGGCTGTCAGTCGAGTGTCTCAGAACAAGTGTGGATTATCTAATCTTTCTGATTATAGTGCAGGTTTGAAAATTTCTAGATGTCACTTCTGCGTCGCCAACCCCGTTAAGAAAGAACTTTCCAACTGTTGCAGCCACTGTCGTCTCGTCCACGGAAACAACGTGAGTGACAGCCGATCACGTGCGACCTGACAAGTTTCCCATTTATCGCGCGATAATTTATCATTTATACCGCATTTTTCTTGGCGCGATAATTTATCATTTATACCACATTTTTCATCGCGCTGTAAATGAGGAAATTGAATTTAAAAAAGTGGATGGCGTGTCCTCAACAGGCTACCGTAGTACAGGGTCGTAACGAGGTATATTTTTTCGTCGCTGATCCCGTATTTTTACGCAAATTTTTAATCCCTGATCCCAAAAGTGATGAAAATTTTGATCCCTGATCCCACAAAATCTAGACGCCTGATCCTTGAGCCCATGGAAAACACGCTGATCCCGATCCCGAGGGCTTTGATCCCGGATCCGAGGCTGTGATCCCTGATCCCACCCTTTTTTAGGCCCGTTGATCCCTGATCCCATATACCTCGTTACGACCCCTGTAGTAGGATGCCTGAGGCATACCAGGTAAAACCAGCTGGTTACTTCTTCATTGCATGGACAAATTGCAAAGCAAGTCAATAGGAATGCGTAAAATCTTTATCGATTTTCATCCTATGAAAACATTGGCGGATGGATTGATCAAAAGCGGACAAAAATAATCCTGTGCTTTTCTGACAAAAGAAACCTGTGGAATTCATTTCCGCTTATATTTAATTTCACTCAGTGACCGAATCCGAGAACACCTTCGAAACGGAGAAAGAAATGATACGACCCATCCAAACCAGTCGCTAGACACTTCAATCTCTCTATCATTCTGAGCAGTACACGGCAGTTTGCGGCCTTTCCCTACATCTAGGCAGTTCGCAAGGCCGCAAAACTCTAAAACTAAAATTTATCTTTCAAATCGGCACTCTTCAACCCCACCGTATCAACGAGCGCTTTTTCATTAAACTAATTACGCTATCGACATTGCTGATCCTAGCAGTATGCAGGACGCGTACTGTGGAATCTCTGTGGCTCAGTGGTTACAGCATCAATACAGTTAATAGGAATGCTTAAAATCTTTATCGATTTTCATCCTATGAAAACATTGGCGGCTGGATTGATCAAAAGCGGACATAAAAATAATCCTGTGCTTTTGTGACAAAAGAAACCTGTGGAATTCATTTCGGCATATCTTTAATTTCACTCAGTGACCAAATCCGAGAACACCATCGCAACGTAGGAAGAAATGATACGACGCATCCAAACCAGTCGCTAGACACTTCAATCTCCCTATCATTCTGAGCAGTACACGGCAGTTTGCAGCCTTTCCTTACATCTAGGCAGTTCGCAAAGCCGCAAAACTCTAAAACTAAAATTTATCTTTCAAATTGGCACTCTTCAACCCCACTGTATCAACGAGCGCTTTTTCATTAAACTAATTACGCTATCGACATTGCTGATCCTAGCAGTCTGCAGAACGCGTGTCATATGAACTTCGTAAAAGACATCGCTCACCGTGGAGTCTTTGTGGCTCAGTGGTTAGACCATCGGAGCGTAGAGTCCGAAGGTTTTAGGATCGATTCCTTATGGGGACTCCAAATTTTTCTTTGTCTCACGCTCGTGACGAGACGAAAAAAACATCTTTCTCTAATTAATTCTTATTTTTCCGTCACCATAATCCCACCAATAGTGTAGCCCCATTTTCTGCATGTAAACACACACGTCCCTCAATTCCTCAAATCGCTCTGGCGAAGGGCTAATGCTCGCAACGTCAGCTTTGAAACTCTCTGTCGAAAACGCACCAAAGACACGTTCCCTGATTAATCAACTCTTTTAATCGACGAATACAATCCAGGTATAACTAAAGCATCAACAACGTGATGCAACGTGACATCAACAATCCGCGTGCAGGATTTCTCAACCAACTAGAAAAGAAACGTGATACCTCGGAGCACAAAGTACATTCTGGGAAATTGATTGATTGGAGACATTTCCGGTCATGACAAAAACAACAATAGCGAAACTAAAAACGACTTAAGGCATTGTTCACGGTTCCCGACACTCTCTACGGTGGCCTATTTACGCTATCAACTCAGTCGATAATAATAATTACCCAACTATCTATAAAAAAAAATATGCAGTCTTCGCAAACTGCTCCAGCAATAACCATATTTAATTTAGTGTAACCATCATGAAATTAAATCTTTCCTGACTGATTTCTTTATTGACCGTTTGAATAAGAAATGATATTTAATTTCAATTCCAGGTTCTGTCTTCTTTGCCATGGTAACCGGCTATGAGAAGAAATGGAGGTCATCTGGAATGTCAGTTTAAGATGGCAATAAATTCGTGAAACCGATCGGATTGCAAAGCAATAAAGGGGTAAGTTTCTAAAGAAACTGTGGTGCTGCGTCGGTGGGAGAGTATAACAGGTAATTTAGTGTTAACAACTGGGTTGAAAACGTTAATTTACGTTTACCTACATTTACGTAATTTACGTTTTCAACCCGGATTGCAAAGCAGTTCATAACCGTAGTACAATCTCATAAAAACCCGGGAGTACAACTAGATAAATGCGTTTCGTTTCGTCGAATGCAAAAATAAATCGGGAAAGGGAGAAATGATTATTACTATAATAATCCTATGCGTGCCATTCCACGAAATCCCCAGTTGTCAAGACAGGAAGGCACATCAACTCTAAACATTGGATCGAGTTTGAATTGGAATAAAAAGTGATTCTAAACCAGCTCATCTTCCAGAAGCGTAACTCAAAGCTCATTGAGATACACAAATACTAAATATTACTGCAGGTATACTGCATTTGTAAATGCGTCTTACCTCTAGTTTAGATTAGTGTCTCTCGAAGTTCGGTGATTACGTCGCAGTCAGTTATCAAATTTCTATAACCAGAAGCCCAAATTACGCTTGAGAACACATAGGAAACATAAGAAACAGGAGAGGTCTACGACCGTTTCGAAGATACAATCTCTTGAGGAAGCCTGCTTATGTGTACATTTAATAACATTAGCCCTGTATCTGTTACCAAGTGACCTTGACCGGAACTCTTCCGCGCCAGTAGTTAGCGTGACTTTGCACATTCAATATTGTGTGACAAGATCATTATCCCGTTACACCCTAACATTCTCCACACTTTCCTCTTTGCGCCTCCTATGGTACTGACAAAGTGAATTTATTTGACAATTGAAAGTTTCTAAAATTAACGATTTCCTTTTTTTTTCATGACCTCACCATTTGATCCAAGAGTGATACCGCAAATCGATGCGATTTTTTTAAGACTCCTCTTGAAACTGTTTCCAAAAGTCTCCATCTTCACTAACTTTCCTTTGAGTATTTTGGTGGGTATGAAAAACAAAGACAAACAAGACAAAAAAGGAAACCACAGTGTTTCAAAAAAGCATTCGGCGTATATGGGGCTTTGGCCACAGAACAAAGATGTCGTGAAAATTCTACCACAGAGGCGGATGATTTTCTTTACTAAATGATGTTTTTCTCTTTCATCGGTTCGTTCCTCAATACACGTTCGTAACCAAGTACCGAAAGATCAATTGTCTGAAAACCGCCGTCCAATATCAACTCACTGACGGCTCGCCCTGCTGCGGGAGACTGCTGGGTACCATAACCGCTAAAGTCGTTTACGAAAATAAGATTCCTTATTTGGGGATGACGTCCTATTGTGCAATTCTGATCCAGTGTGTTGTATTCATAGTGACCAGCCCAGGTGCTTTGACCCTATATCATGAATCAGAGAATTATAACAGTTACCAAACATTTAAGGTAGAGCAAAAGCTAAACAACTACTGAAGCTTGGGCACAAACTCTTAACCAAAAGCGTCTCAAAAAAGTCTTTTTTAACCCCAAAGTATTTACATCGCAGACGCTTGACGGATTTTGGTTATTTACAAAGGGGTACTAATTTTTTCAAAGCAGGTTTATGTTTAAGGGCCTGGCCGTTTGTAACCCGTCGATTGGGAATTATCTCTGTTTACTTTATGAAAAACCTATTCCACCTCCACTTCCGCTTGAAAAAAATAAATAAATAAAACGAAAACGAACAAAAAATAAAAAATGTTACCACAATGTTAAACTTGTCTCAAATTACAAAACAACTGTCTATAAGAGGTGGGTGTGGTAGGGGACGGTGGTGGATCGACCCCCGATTTCTGCTTTCTTTCCAAGGTTGGAAAACTTTCCTTGTTCTCTTACTTATAATGGCCTTTTCTCGCTACCTCTACAAAGATTAAAAACCCCTAAGGTTTGCTTATTCTTCCGGGCTCGATATTTTGCTTGAGATGGTTGTTCCTCCTAACGCCTATTGCTGCGGTATATAGAATACACAAGTCATATATTTTGCATTCTTTTATTTTGTAAAATTTAATCAAAGTACTTCAATAAAATATTTACATTGAAACCACTTATATTGTTCCGTGAAGTTCATAATGGTAATGTACCTCAAACTTAAAAAAAAATAGGAAAATTACAAATGTACTGCAATGCTGAACTCCTAATAACAACTAAAAGTTGACTGGAAGTAAAATATCTTAATTGTTAAAATACGCCAACATTGTTCCCTCTAAGACCGATAATCACCAAAGTATTTTCATCCTCTCTCACCATCTTTCTAAATTTGAAATATTTCCGGTATCTGGAATAGTATAGTAAGCAAGCAAATTTATATCTAATAAGTTAGCATTCCTGGTTCAATTCAAAGATGCTACTCAAAGAGAAAGAAAATATTTTATTACGCAAATTTCCGAAGATGGTAATCTCATTAAAATAACAGATTTCAGTTCAAGAAGTTCAGCAATAACACATCATTTATACTCACCAAATTACAAAATAGTTTCTTCTCTCTTGCTCTTGTTTTTTAACTAGCAATCTTTGCAGTACCTGGGACAGGAAAAGTAACCCTTGAAATAATGAAGAATTTAACACTTCTGGGTCCACTCGAAAGTGATTTACAGCACAACGACATTTAAAATATTTGTGGGTACAAATTTCCGAGGTGGAAACTTTCTACTCTGTAACATAGAATTCACTTTAAAAGGTTCGACGTTTCTGGGGCCCAGGCCTGTACTCGAAGGTCCCGTTACTCGACAGGTACGTAAGGCTGTCCTGTTTTGATTCAGGATGGGGGTTTTAAAAGTTTTAAAACTTAAAACCAGCTCATATTTTCGTTAAATTTTCTTTTAAAATATGGCTTTGGGCCCGCTATGTTACCGGAACTTTCGAGAATCGGGTCCCTGTTTCCAGTGAAAATGATTTATTGCGCATAACACTGAAAATATTTGCGGGTGCAAATTGTGGAAATGTGGAAACTTATATTGAATAGCAAGGACTTGAGTTCAAGGGGCGCAACGATGAACTTTGCTCACCAGGAAAAAAAGTATTATCGTCTTCCTTGACCCTTCGTCTTTACTGGAAGGGAAAATTTAATCGAGAAATACTGAAGAATTACACGTTTTTGGTTCCAGTTAAAATATTTTGCTCCATAATAACATTGAAAATAATTACAAATGCAAAATTTTGCATGCGGAAACTTCTAAGGAATTAAATAATTCAGTACAGGCGGTTTAACCACAACACATCACTTTTACTCACCAAAATAGAACGTATCCTCGACTTGGACTCGTAACTTTAGAAGTTACCTGAAGAAGGAAAGAAACGAGAAAATTACTAACGTACATTTTTGACACTTCTGATTCAACTATAAAAGAATCATAGTGTAACAATGCTATTCACCACAGTAGCATTGTTTTAATCTGTACGATGGTCAGTTAGTCAGTAGGCCAATCAGTCAGCCAGCCAGTCAGTTATTTAGCTGGCCAGCCGGTTAATAAGTCACATTGCTGGTGAGTAATTTTCAGATTACCATTCAGTCGCCATTCAGTCACTAGGTCAGGAGATGAGCCAGTCAGCAAGTAAGTTGTCAAGACACATTCAGCAAGTCAGTAAGACAGCCAAACAGTCAATCAGCCAGCCAGTCAGTCAGTCAGCCAGCCAGCCAGCCAGTCAGTAAGTCAATGAATAAGTCTGTTGGCTAGCCACTCATTCAGCCAGTCAGTTGGTCAGGCAGTAATTCAGTTGAAAACAAACAGATAGCCAAAGAGCCACTCACAAAGTCATTCAGTCAGTCAACTGACCAGCCAGCCAATCAGTTAGTCAACCACCAAGCCAGTCAAAGAGTCACTCAGCCAGTAGATCAGTCAGTCAGTCTGCACACCATTCAGTCAGTCAGTCAGTCAGTCAGTAAGCCAGCCAATCAGCCACTCAGTCAGAAAACCACTCAGACAGCCTGTCAGCCCATTAAAAAGCTATTCAGTCAGTCAACCAATTTGTTCATCAGCTAGTCGGTTGGTCAGCCAACCAGCCAGTCAGTCCATCAGTCAATCAGTTAGCTAGCTAACCAGTCAATCAGAGTGTCAGCTACTCAGTCAGTCACAAAATCAGTCAACCAGCCAGTAAGATAGACAGGAAGTCATGCAGCCAGCCAATTAGTCCGCCAACAAGTCTGCCAGTCAGTCGCTCCATTACCAAGCAAGTCAGTTAGACTGTAAGTCCACCCCCAGTCAGCCTCTCAGTCAGTCAGTCTGCTAGCCAGCCAGTCATTTAGTAATTCAATCAGCTTTTCATTTGGTCATTTAGTTCATCAGTCAGTCAGTAAATCAGTAAGGCCAGAACACCAGCACCCCGCCATTCACTCACATATTCATCCACTCACCTACTCAATCCCATACTCAATCAGCAAGCCACTTCTCAGTCGATCAACAAGCCACTGACAAGTTAGCAAGCTTGTCAGTAAGTAAATTCATCAGACAGTCATTGAGCCAGTAAGTGACTTATTCTACAGTTTTAAGGTGGACTGAACATGCAGTCTGTTAATTAGTCTGTCTGTTAATTGGATCATTTAGCAAGTCATTTGGTCATTAAGTTCATCAGTCAGTAGGTCAGTCAGCCATTATGCAAGGCAGTCAGCTACTCAGACAACTGGTCATTCAGTAAGTCATACTGTCAGTCAGACAGCAAGCCAGCAAGTCAGTCAGAAAGCCAGTCAGTCACTCAGTCAATGCATAAAGGCTTAATGTTCTAATGAAACTGTGATGCTGCATTGGTGGGGGATATAACTAATAGATAATTTGGTTTGATCAAATGAGTTGATAATGTGAAATGATCACCATAGAAAGATGCTAAAGCTGACTTTTAACTAACACTTTAAACATCACCTTAAGTTTCTCTTGAAAGTGACCAATTCACATTATCAACTCAGTTGATAAAACAGTTAGTCAATTTGTCAGGCAGTCAGTCAGTCAAAAAGTAAAATGAATAAAAGGGGTACATTTCTAAAGAAACTGTGGTGCTGCATTGGTGGAAGAGTATAACAAGGTAATTTGGAATTATCAACTGAGTTGGTAATGTAGATCGACCTCTGTAAAGAGTTTGAAAGCTGACATTTTGAGCATATGCCCTTACCTTGGTCAGAGCAAAAGACAAAGGGCTAAAGCTCAACATGTCAGCTTTGAAACTCTTAATGAAGGCCAATTTATGTTATCAACTCAGTTGACAACACCAAATTACCAAGTCAAAAAGTCAGGCCAGCACACAAGCAGTCAGACAACCAGTACATTACACATTTACTCACTCATTCACTCACTCCCCAGCTCATTCAGTCACTGAGTCAACAATCCAGACAGTCAGTTGGTCAGCCAGCCTGCCAAGTCGTAAACTCTACAGACAGTCAGTGACCCCAGGTAGTCAGTCAGCCAGTAGTAACACACAGTGCAGTTACTAGGTGGACTGTGCATGCATTCTGCCTGTTTCTTTATAGGGTATGCTCCTAACGAACCAATCTGTTGGTCAGTCAGCGAAACATATCACTTTAAATAAGTCAATAAAGGGAGGGGAGAGAGAGCAAAATACCTATAATAAAAGTTTTGCGAATGAAAGTGATCATCGCAGTATCACTTTAAATAAGTCAATAAAGGGAGGGGAGAGAGAGCAAAATACCTATAATAAAAGTTTTGCATTCTCTTTTTTCCCTCCTTCCCAGTTTCTTTTTATTGTCATGGTTAGCTATTCGCATAGTCTTCTTTGCAACAGTTCTTTGAGATGTCATGCAATGTCCTCCCCCCCCTAAAAATGAAGCTTCTTTTAAAAGGGAGGGTTTACTAAATGGCATCCAAAAGGAATGTTGTGATAGTAGTCTTTCAAAAACCATAATCATACATCAAGTATTTGTCACTGGTGGACTGAAAAGTTAAGCATTTGTTCTAAATATGCAATTTACTCGAACCATGTCAATAGACAGGTATCCCTGTATAGAATAAACAATTATTAAAAGAATTCTGTAATAAACATACCATAGACATTAATGGTGATTAACCATCAAATACCTTGCTCAGGAGATCCTTCTTCAAAGTTACCCAACTCATGATGAGTCTGTGTTGCCAGTGCTAGACTGAGGCTCTGTAGATGTCACAAACCTACCATGTAGGATGGGTACAAAAACAATAATTGAAATATTCATTTCATAGAACAAGAAATCCAAGGGGCAAGAGGTTTACTGCTAAACGATGATGCAGAAAATGTGAACAGCAAAGAAAGAAACCCTACTGTGATGCCCTCGAATGGGCAACCTCTCACTGATTAGTACATAATCACCTTAATTAAATTAAGCAGTTATACTGTACTGTAACTGATTAAATAAAAATCTTGGTCGAGATATGGAACTCATCTGTCAACACAACTCCTCCCTATCCCAACCCTTACAATTTTTGAATTCACACAATAAAATATATTTTAGGAACAGAATATGTGAGAGTCCTGCCCTTTAAAAGAATCTAAAGATATTGTTGTTTGGACCTCAGAATGCATTAATAAGACTTAAAAGACTGATCTTTACCCTTTGACAAGATTGGAATTGGTGACCCAAGCAGGCGTACTAGACTCCTGTTGATCTAGCTTCTCCATTGTTGTAGTGATGAACCCTTTTTACAACACGATTAAAAGGAATTGCCTTTTATATTTTGAGTCAGAGTATATGTATCTTTACCTCTGAGTGTGTGCTAATATCTTCAACCAGTAGGTTTGTCTACTTTCATGATCCAGACTGTAAAAAATGACAAACAAACAATATAATGAAATTCTGGAACCCCCTCCTGGAAAAAACTTGTAACTTTCTTCATTATTTTGTAATGAAAATCCAGCAATCATAAAAAAGTTGACCCATCAGTTGTCCACTAATAAAATAGAACTTTTTAGTTTCATATATCATAGATAAGTCACTTGGTCCAAAATAGGCAAACCACAGTTGCTGCCATAACAAATTTAGATGCAAATCATAAGGGATGATTGACTGTTGCTGTGCCTGCCCTTTCCACAAAAAAAACTTTGAAAACCATATTTTTTTACATGTTTAATATCACCAATCAGTTGCTGACACATCAATCATTTTTTGCAGCAATCTGTAAGGTTGATGAATGAACCTGGCTAAGCATTCACAATAGCACAACACTGTAAATTCAAATTTCTTACAGAGAGTGACATTCAAGATTTCATAGAAGAAGAAAAAAAAAACAAAGGTTACTTGGCTTTGGTTATGGCATTTCTTGCAGCTAAGTTACGAGGTAGTTTGTCAAAGCTTTCTCAGATTATAACAGCTAAAACATTAATAAAATCCATATTGCTCACAGACAGTGACGTTCAAACTCTCCTAGAAGAGGAAAAACCAACAAATGAAAAAGAAAAACTGAAAGTTACATATTCAGTGGCTTTGGTAATGACATTTCTTGTGGCTGAGAACAAAAAATGACAACTGGAAGATTTCCTACAGGCCAATTTTGGCCATTTACCTGCATTTCTGTTGGTAAGGACAAAGTCAATAAATGAGAATTTCGTAAAAATTGAAAATTACACCCATTATTGTTTTTGTAATCATGATTCAACCCATTTTTCCATCTTGAGCCTTAGTGCCAATGCTCTGTTTGACTGAGGATTCTTTCATTTTCATTCATAAATGAAGTTGGCTTTTCTTGTCATTAAAAGGCTATTGTGTTTACATGAAAAACAAAATAATTCATAGTTGCTTGTAGATATGGAGTTTCTCTTCTTGTTTTCAACTTGACATCTCATGCATTTCCTACCCTCACTTATGAGCTATTGGGTTGAACACTTGAAGAGAAATTCCATATCAACACCTGTCCATGTATTATTCTCTATATTTTTTATCCAATCAATGTTGCACTTTGTTATGTGCATAAAAGGATGAAGGGGAGGGGGAGGGGAGGGGGAGGGGAGGGGGGGAGAGGGGGAAAGAATTTGGGAAGATAACAAGTACTGAAAACAACACATCTCTTCAAATGAAAAATATCCACTCACTGTGGCTAAATTGCTAAATTGTATCTGGACTTGGGTTACCCCAACTAAGCGGGTTACCTTACTTACCTGGAGTCCCCCACCTCCATGTAAACAGGCCTTAAACTTACATGCGCAATTACAACTTGGAGGGCCACTTTGATTACATCTCACGGATTACTCTTTGTTCAACATGATGTATGAACTTTAAAGACAATAAGAATAAATACAGCTTGCTTTAAACAAGTATTTCTTGAGCAGGCAACCTTGCCTTTGGCTGACTGTATCTATGAATGCTCCATAATGGTTTGGTGCACGTGTGTGTTGACACGTTATCCTCGCGTTTCCTTCTTCACATAACAAAAAAAAGAGTGAAATACACTCTCACTTCATGGAACACTTAAGCTTCCGTTTTCCTTGCAAATAACATAGTACTACAGAAGAGTAAAAAGCCCTCTTCTCCTGTCCATTTTCCGCCGCCATGTTTGATTTATTATTAGTTCCCAGTCTCTAGGCACATCAAATAAAAGAAATAAAACGCGGGAAGCACTGCGCAGATTGACGTGTTTCCTTTTAATAGCTCTTTTAAACCACAAAAGTTTGCCAACAAACAAGTAAAAATTCAAGCACTCGATCAGTTTAGGTTTGCTTTATAAAGAGTGAAAGCTGTATGCAGTTCATGGCCACCTTCTGTTAGGTGAGACTCATTTGAGCAACAGCGCACCTACCCCTCCCTTAAACCAACACTTATCATACCTGGTTAGTAGTTTATCATTGTTGGGTCAGGGGAGGGGTGGGTACACAATTGCTCAGATACTGACTTTGATCTAACACTAGACTTATCGATTCTACATCATTTGCGTCGCGTCACAAACGTTAGGCCACTTCAGACTACAATTACTCTTTGAAAATAAGTCATTGTTGACGTGAAACTGATAATAAAATGCTGTTGCTTAAAGACAACAACCTACCTCGTATTGTTAAAAATTAAAACCCTGGTAAAGAATTAAAAAATAATGAGCCCGTATAGATTGCTGGACTGGCCGATAAATTTCCATGGCTCCATTACCCTAAAAATGATCAGTGAAATATAATAATATTTTATCAAATATTTTATCATAAGAATCATAAAAAATTTCGATTTGTATATTTTACCCAAAAGATAAACAAAAAAAGTTAGACTCCTTGCATTTCAGAAGGTTTCTATCACGTGCGGCTATGCGGAGTATGAACAGAACTGGCTATGGAATTGAAAATTTTAATTTCTTACATCAAAATATACTTCTACCGTTCACTTTCTCGTTTGATACGACTTAATTAGATTAAAATGCAAATCTTAACAAAAGGAAGTGATGTCAAAGAAATGCTAAAATACTGTTGAACTGAACATGATCATCTTCTTGATGTAACAAGTTGCTTAAAAAATGGTATAACCGGCCAAAAACTCCTTTAGATTTCAGTTTTAGAGCTAAGATAAAGCTAAAGATATCATTACATTATAATTCTTGAACCTTTGTGGTCAAGAATTAACACCATATGTAAAAAAATTGAGCTTTTGCCCTATTTTGGTTGTTAGAACGGTTTGGAAGGCACAAAATAAATTCAGATATTAATGTCACTCCGGCTACGTTCTTGGTGACTAAGAAGAAGACTAAGCAAATGGAATAAAAATGTCAACTTGGCAGACTCAGTTTCGAGTGCCCTAAGCATTGTAAAGTACAAAGCGGTGCTTTCACATGGCTGTACCTCATCGCTGTAGCACAAGGTCCAGGACTCAGAGATGATCATATCCATGTTTGTCCTCTTGCATGATTACCTAAGTACCATAAACATATTAAAAGATCTTAAATTTCTATCAAAGTTTATACAGGGGGCGCTTTTATTCAAAAGAAAAGAAAATTGCTTGCACGAAAAAAACAACAACAATTTGGGACAAGAAACTCATACGTCAGTAAATAGGCATGGCAATGAAATTAAATCCAGGACAAATTAATTGACACCGCGGGCTGAAAGGCTTACAATGACAAAAAAATAAAACCATTTTTTAATTCGAGGTAGCGTAGCTAGGAGGTCTAAGCCCTGTTTTCACAACTGATGGTCCCAAGTTTGAGTTCCAGGCCAACACCCCAAACAGTAATCCAAATGATTTAACTTCCGATAGTTGCGATTTTGAAATCTGTTATCCGCATTTGAATATCTTTTCAGACCTTATTTCTTCGGTCCACCGACGAGGAAACTTATCAGGGGCGAAACATGTAGTTTAGCTAGCTTTATTGGTCCTCTTAATCGGGTATTTAAAGATCAAATCGACTGATGTCTTCCGTCTTACCTACCCCTTAAAATGTGAGAGTTACATCGTCTCCAAGTAAGACAAATGGAGCCCAGTGCTCCCTCTCAGAGTACAGTGCTGACTCTCGCATCTTTCTCATGGTCTGGTGAAGAGATTCGCTTGCACTGAGTTTCTCACGGATCAAGAACTTGTAGAATATATTCATGAATGCTTCGGTAGCCCCATCATCGACAGCCCAAAGCGACATCAGGACTGAACGAGCACCAGATCCTAGGAAAGCTCGAGCAATACCATAAATCCCTTCGGCTTTTAATATCTTACCACGAGCACTATGACAACAGCTGAGTACCACCAGCTTGGCTCTGATACCAACTTGAGCTATGTCGTTCATTGTTAGCAAGACGTCGCCGATCTTAGGAACTCCAACGACAGACCTGTTGGGAGCAAGAGCTATTTCCCCGGTGGTTTCATCACCATGGGCAGCAATGTGCACTAAGCTCACTTCTTGGATTCTTTTCAAGACTTCCTCCTTTGTGGCCTCCTCTCCTATCAAACAGCGCACTCCTACCAATCTTGACACCATCTGCGCTTCTTCTCTGGCTTTAGGCAATGGATCTAGAGTCTTTACACTTCCATTTATCTCTACAGGGCCAACTGCTGGATCTCCGATGATCAAAGCTCCACTTTGAGAGTGATAGCTGGCTGCCGAGTCGTGAATGAGCTTCAGTGTCGTTAGTGACGGGATGAGGCGGACTCTCACAGTTTCAGAAAGGTACTTTCCATTTTCATCCTTTAACGATGCAAATGGTATCAAAAAAATGTCGGGTTCTGGGGATATGATGATCTCCGGGCTGTCTATGAGGTCAAAAATAGGAGCAATTAAGGCAGCGTACTTGACTGTATAGGAAAGGCCAATGTATGATTTGCTTCCGATTTGTTTCACTTGCATTTGCACAGAACCTTTGTTTGGTTTTAACTGTTGTTCCTGTGAAGCAAATGGATCATTTTCATACAGCAGAGCCAATGAACGATCTTCGCAGTGTGGATCATCCAAAGTCAATGAAGAGGCATCCATTTCAGGCTCTTTGGGGGCACTATTTTCTTTGAATAACTCGGTTTCTAAGTCTATTTTTACCAGTTTGAATTTTACACTTCCGCCTTTGTCAACGAACCACAGGGCGAAATCGCTATTCATTCGAAATGTTGCTATAAAGAGGAAGTTCCTTTGCTGTTCTTTAAAAAAGTTTTGGAGGGCATCTGGAGTTACTTCTTTATGAACAAGACTCCTTTTGATTCCGTAACTCTCCGACATTAGATCAACAAGGGCACGACTTCGTCCGAGCTCCAGAGTAAAAAGGGCTTGGTTGAAATTCCTCTCGCGAAGAAGCAGCCACGAAAGAGATTTATAACATGGACAGTTCGTACCATCCAATGAAATCTTGTCGGTTTCATCTTTGAGGGAAGATCGAGTTCTTTGGTGTATTTTAATACCTTCACGCAAGTTTTCACATGCCTTCGAGAAGTTGCCTTGAGAGGAATATACTTGGCCTAAAATGTAATGAAGATTGATTTGCGACTGATTTTCCATTCCAATCTCCTTCTTCCACTCAAGTGCTTTGCTCTGATACTGGATTGCTTTCTCTTTGTGACCTTGAGTAAAATAGGCACTACCAAGGAGAACGTAACAAGACACCTCCATTTGTTTTTCACCAATCTCTTTCGCGATTTTAAGTGCATCCTCAGCATGCTCAATGGCTTGCTCATATTTCCCAAGATGAAAATTCAAACGGGCAAAACCAGTTAAAACTGATATCTTTATTTGGATGTGTCCGATTTCTTCACTGACTTTCAGAGCTTTCTGTAAACATTCGCATGCTTTCTGGTGTTGACCAGCAGAAATATAAGTAGAACTGATTGTAGTAAATGCCATAGCAAGATCCACTTTGTTTCCAGTTTTTTCGTGAATATCAATAGCCTTTTCTAAATAGCTCTTAACTTTCTCATTCTCACCGAGATAACTGGGCAGCACACTAGCATTTTGATAGCATTTTCCCATGATTTCGCGATCTCCCAATTCCTCGCAAAGTTTAATGGCTTGTTGGTGATATTGATTTCCCTTCTCATAATCACCGATGTACATGTAGAGACTTCCAAGGTCAGTGAGATTTCCAGCCTTTTTGACACCTGTGTCTGATTTGAGTTCAAGGGCTCTTACAAGATATTCCATGGCTTTTTGCAACTGACCGAGTATCATTGAAACCTTTCCAATAAAGTACAGATTACTTGCCTCCAACACTCTGTCTTCGATGTCTACACTAAGTTCAAGGCTTTTTTCGTAATATTCCAATGCCTTTTTGTAGTCACCACGCGCCTCATACACTCCACCAATGTTGTTATAGGATGTTCCTTCCTCTTTTCTGCGTCCAAGTCTTTTACGAATCTCGAGTGCTTTTTCGTGGAAATCAAGTGCTACTTCAAGATTGCCCAGGTAGTTATGATTCATTACTCCCATGTTGTTGTAGTATATCGCTTGGTGCATCTCATTTCCAATTTCCTTATTTATTTTAAATGCTTTCTCATAATACTGACGAGCCTTTTCATAATTTCCACGCACATTATATACCTCACCAATGTTGTTGTAAACCCTTCCTTCGAGTTCTTGTTTCTCATGTCTTGATAGTCCACTTACATCAAGAGCCTTTTGATAATGCTCCATAGCTCTTTCATACTGGCACGCAATGTGAAGCGATCTACCCAAGTGGCAATGACACCACGCTTCTCTCAATCTAGGACCAGCTTTTTCGTAGATGCACAATGCCTTTTTTAGGCAGCTGATTGATTCTTTGATCTGACCGAGGTCATAAAATTTAAGACCACGTTCCTCGAGCAACAGAACTCCCCTCTTAAACTTTTGGCATATCACATCTTCGATCATGGTCAGTACAGAAGAAGGTTTGCTCACTGACAGTTGATTCAATAATACAAAGCACTCAAAATAAAACCCAATGGATTCAACCCAACGATTCGTGTTGGTTAGAAATACCGCCACAGCATACCCAATGAGGAAAGTTTTTACTGCTGGTATTTTGTCCATCGTTCTGCTGTTCTCCAATAGATTACTAAACAAACAAACAGAAACAATAAACAAGATGTCAATATATTTGTATCTAACCGCAACATCAGCTAAGCGTGGATTCCTTCATTCTTTTAGGCTGGAATATATCATATAATCCCAACAAAGTGGTCAAACGTCACACTCCCCTCGTCAATTGTAACGTCACCTTTGTGCGAGGTTGGCAAATCTTTTTCACTGCTACGGGGGTGTGTGGTTTTGGATCTCCTCGGCGATATATTGGCTGTTGATTGGTGATTATGCAAAGGTAGTCCAAGCTCGCAAAATGAGCCTTCGTAAGTAAGTAAATATGTCATGAGTTGCGTTACGGACGAAATATAATGATTTTTATGGGAATAAATGGAGCTCTCTTGACGTAACAAATCTGAACTTGTTTTGAAAATAAATAAGCTTTTCTAAAGAGAAACGCGGATTTTCTAGAGCAGGGCTTAATGGCCCCAAATCATTTCAAAAAATTCATACGATCCGGTAAATTTGTTTTTATTGAAAACTAGGCTCATTTTGCGAGCTCAAACCGATAGCCTTCGTAAAGGCAAACAACAACCGTGCGGGTACTTTAACACCTAGTGTCACATAACAGAGGATGTAGCCGGCACAACAGGCGTAATTTTGGCCAGTGAGTGCTCAGTATTGTCTTGTTGAAAATTATAGCTGCAATCTTTGATTTTTAGGGCGAGGGAAGGCTGGGAAGAGAAAGAAATTGTAGTAAGGGGGCGAGTGACATGGCCAGTCGCGAGCTTGTAACGTTGACTCGCCCGAATAGGACGCCTGCCCTAAGAAGACGCCTGCACTATATGCAGGTCAGCGAGGATAAGGACATCACACCCTCTTGTTACGGCTGTAAAGAAATATAGACCACCATGACAGAGGGTAGTAAATGGTTTCTTGGCCGCCTTGTCTACGTCATGCGAAGTATCGATTACAGATGGCTTCATTTGCAATACGAGGAGATCTATAAAAGTGAAAACTTGAAAAAGGCTAATTTTGCAAGTTGTTTGTTAGAAAAACATGATGTGAAAACTGAGTAAACGGCGGCAAAGACCTAAAGTGGCCCCCAAGTCACGTGACCAATCTCATTGTCAAGTCTGTTCGGGGCTAAGGTTCGCGTCGACCATTAACCCTTTAACTCCCATGAGTGACCAAGAAAGAATTTCTCCCTACAATATCAATACAATATCAAGCAGGCAAGTGATGAGAATAACGAAAAATATTAATTAGGTGATTATTAGTCGATCCAATACCAAATTCTCCAAACTAACATCACGAAAACTTTATGGCAGACAGTAAGGAGAATTACTATGAGATCTTGATCGCTGAAAAATCGGTCTTAAACAATGTGTGTGACCTAGTGAACCCATTCTGCTGCTTCTGCTGATGTCTCCAATTTTCTGGCTGTTTCAACGCGAATGCATAAATATTGCTAGTAATAAGATAACTGAAGTGTGTACCATTCAGGGTCGGGTTGTTCAAAGCTGGGTAAGGTAACCCAAAGTTGGTGTGCAATCTGATTTCAGATCAGAAAGCTTTAAAATAGTATAGATTCTTTTGTCAATAATTTGATTTTTTGGATGCTCTAAACTAAACTGAGAAAATTATCCGAAAAAGGCTTTTATATAATGAAATAACATAACAACTAAAAGTACCTTAACACTGTTCGAGATTTTTTTTTCGGGCGTAAAGAAGATAACGTTTAAAGAGAAATATATACATTTTCTTAATCTATCTTGACGTCCAACCACAGTGCGCCCAAGCTCACACAGAGCGCCCAAGCTCACACAGAGCGCCCAAGCTCACACAGAGCGCCCAAGCTCACACAGAGCGCCCAAGCTCACACAGAGAGTATCTGTGAATATGCAAGTATGTTCACGTTGCGCAATGAGTGAAATTAAAGAATTTGCATGACAATAAATAATCGCACTCTCAAACTTAAAAAGTTTTAGACTATTTTTGAAGAGGGGCAAATCTTCCCAGCTCAAGTGGTTATTCTTCCGTATCGTGAGCTTACTCAATTTATAACCGCCGTCAATTCCTTTCACCCGGCTCTGAACTATACTTGGGAAATACTTAAAAACCCACAGATTCACATAGTTACTTGTTGTATTCATTTTCGTATTCATCACACGTCAAGAATTCCATGAGAAAAAAGGAAATAATCACCAATTTTAGAAACTTCCAATTTTCAAACAAATTCGCCTTGTCAGTACTATAGGAATCGCAAAGAGAAAAGTATGGTGAATGTTAAAGAGTAACAGGTAATGATCTTGTCACACAATATTGAATGTGCAAAGTCACGCTAACTGCTGCGCGGAAGGGTTCCGGTCAGGTGACTTGGTAACAGATCTATGGTTCAGTTTCGAAGAGGATATTGCAGGTTTGTATATTTCTAGATGTCATTTCTGCATCGCCAACCCCATTAAGAAAGAACTTTCCAACTGTTGCAACCACTTTTTAAATTCAATTTTATCGAGCGATAAAATTGAATTTAAAAAGTGGATAGCGTGTCCTCTATAGGCTACCGTAGTGGGATGCCTGTGGCATAACACAGTAAAACCGGTTGGTTACTTGTACATTGCATGGACAAATTGCAAAGCTAGCCAATAGGAATGCGTAAAATCTTTATCGATTTTCATCTTATGTAAACAGAGGCGGCTGGATTGATCAAAAGCGTACGAAAATAATCCTGTGCTGTTTTGACTAAAGAAACCTGTGGAATTCACTTCCACATATTTCTAATTTCACTCAGTGACCGAATCCGAGAACACCTTCGCGACGTAGAAAGAAATGACACGCATCCAATCCAGTCGCTAAACACTTCAATCTCCCTATCATTCTATGCAGGACATGGCAGTTTGCGGCCTTTCCCTACGTCCAGGCCGTTCGCAAAGCCGCAAAACTCTAGAACAAAAATTTATCTTTCAAATCGGCACTCTTTGACCCCACCGTATCGACGAGCGCTTTTTCATTTAACTCGTTAAAACTTATTTTTCCGTCACCATATTCCCACCAATTGCGTAGCTCCATTTTCTGCATATAAACACACACACCCTTCCAATCGCTCTGGCGAAGGGCTAACGCTTGCAACGTCAACTTTGAAACTCTTTACGGTGGCCAATTTACGCCATCATCCAGCCGATAATACTAAATTACAAAACTATCGATGAAATATAAACAATAGATTCAAATAGGTAGTCTTCGCAAACTGCTCCAACAATAACCATAATTAATGTAATATAATCATCATGAAATTAAATCTTTCTTGACTGATTTCTCTATTGACCGATTGAATAAGAAACGATATTTAATTTTAGTCCCAGGTTCTGTCTTCTTTGCCATGATAACCGACTGTGAGAAGAAATGGAGGTCATCAGTAGAATGTCAGTTCAAGATGGCGATTAAATCATGACATCGATCGGATAGCAAAGCAGTTCATAACCGTAGTACAATCTCAAAAAACCCTGAGTACAACAAAATAAATGCGTTTCGTTTCCTCGCATGCAAAAATAAATCGGGAACTTTACAGCACTCCACCTCCACTCAGATCTCGGTCTTCTTTATGACAGGGGAAGAAATGAATATTACTATGATAATCATAACCGAGCCATTCCACGAAATCCCCTGTTGTCAAGACAGGAAGACACGTCAACTCTGGACATTAGATCGAGTTAGAATTGGAATAAAGAGTGATTCTGAACCAACTCATCTTCCAGAAGCGTAACTCAAAGCTCATTCAAGTACACACACTAAATATTACTGTAGGTATGCTGCATGTCTAAGCGCATCCTTACCTCTAGATTTGATTTGTGTCTTTCGAAGTTTGGTTGGTTGCGTCGCAGTCAATAATCAAATTTCTCAAACAAGAAATATATGAAACAAGAGAAGTTTACGGCCGTTTCGATGGTACATCCTATTGAGGAAGCCTGCTTTTGTGCATATTTTTAAAATATCATTTCGAAACTGAACCTTGGACCTGTTACCAAGTCACCTGACCGGAACTCTTCCGCGCAGCAGTTAGCGTGACTTTGCACATTCAATATTGTGTAACAAGATCATTACCCCGTTAACATTTATTTCCTTTTTTCTCGTGACCCTATCTTGTGATCCAAGAGTGATACCGCAAGGTGAAGTTAGAAGTCAGTCACGGTCATTACAATGAGAGAGATCTGGTCTGGCTACTTTCTAGCAGCATGAAGAGAAATTACGAAAAAAGAAGAGTTGAATTCAGTAGCTGAAAAAAAAACACAAGCACTTATAACGGGAACCTTGGAATCGCCATAACAACTACAACTTCATCGCGGAACTAGTAAATTTCAAAATTGTCCCAATCGCTCTCAGTTCCTGTCTAACCACTTGTTTTTGTTTTACTTTTATTTTTAAATCTTGGTTAGAGATGATTTGATCATCTACAATGATGTCAAACAACACACATAATTATGCAAAAGACCTTTAAAAACACCTCTTTCGTGTAAGGTGACTGGAAGTTTAAGTAACTGATACCTTTCCTACTACACACACTGAATGTATAATAAAGTAACTTATGCAAAGAGCAGGTAGCTCTCTTAAGGGCGGTGCCTTGAGAACGCCCTTTCTTCTCCAAACTCTCTATTTATTTTACTGTTATGTAGCACTCTGTCAGTAAGTTAACTTAAAATTTAAGAAATATTCTGGAATCGTGAATTTGACTTAGAATTTGACCAAAAAAAAACCAGTCTGATAGTAATCAATAGTATAAGAAGCAGGAGTTTCCAGGAATTCCTGTACGAGGTTAACTTTTACCAAAGAGATTTACAACTAGAAAATTGACATAATTAAAAACATAGCTTATGACAAAATAGTACAACAAGATCTAATCACCGTAGAAACGGAGCAACTGTTTCCGTACCAAATTCACAACCGCAATAAGAAAAAGGTGAAAGAAATTGTACTTAGATGAGACCGCCAAAAGGAACAAGAAATAATCAACCTGTCTTATTATAATTTTGTATCGAATGGCTTAAAGTAATATATTTCCATTCTTTTTCCCAACACCAATATAAGGAAACCCCTACGATATTTCAGATTAAATATAGTTCTATTTTTATCGTTTAACATCTTAACCGCGAGAGTGTGAAATATTAGGAAGAAAGTCTTCGTAAGGAGTCGATTATTATTTCCCCCTAAGGCTCTGTAGTATTCTAATGATTCCCCCGCCCCCACCCCCCCCCCCAAGCAGTCAGTTTCCGATAGTCCCCGCCTTATACTCTGTTGGCAATGACTGATCTTCACTCCGTTCCCCCCTGAAGACCATGTGATCCCCTCAAAAGTTCTCCACCGGCCCCCAACCCCCCCCCCCCTCCCCACTTACTGGTATCCACTCTAGGAATGAGGCGTTTTCAAATCGATGCGATTTTTAAAGACTCCTCTCTTGAAACTGTTTCTAAAATTGTCCACCCTCACCAACTTTACTATGAGTATTTGTGGATATGAGAAAGGAAGACAAAAAAAGGAAACCGCGGTGTTTCCAAAAAGCATTCGGCGTAGATGGAGCTTAGGTCACAGAACAAAGATGTAGTGAAAATTCTACCACAAAGGTTGATGATTTTCTTTACTAAACGATGTTTTTCTCTTTTATCGATTCGTTGCTCAATACACGTTCGTAGCCAAGTGCCGAAAGATCAATTGTCTGAAAACCACCGTCCATTATCAACTCACCGACGGCTCGACCTGCTGCAGGAGACTGCTGTATACCATGACCGCTAAAGCCGTTTACGAAAATAAGATTCCTTATTTGGGGATGACGTCCTATTATGCAATTCTGATCCAGTGTGTTGTATTCATAGTGACCAGCCCAAGCGCTTTGAACCTATATCATGAATCAGAGAAGTATAACAGTTACCAAAAATTTAAGCAAAGTAGAGCAAAATCTACTTTAGCTTGGGCACGAAATCTTAACCAAAACCGGCCTTCTACACCAACCCTTAAAACAATTCTCATTTAACCCTAAAGTATTTACATTGCATACGCTTGACGTATTTTGGTTATTTACATAAGGGGTTCTGATTTTTTCTTAACAGGTTTATGTTTGAGGGCCTGGCCCTGGCCCTTTGTAACCCGTCGATTGGGCTTGTCTCTGTTTACTACTCGAAAAATCTTTTCCGCCTCCAATACCGCTTGAAAAAAAAATTAAATAAAGTAAAATAAAACAAAAAATTTCTATCAAAAACAAGTTTCTATCAAATATTCAGATACATTACGTACCTTAATGCATTCAAATAGAGGAATTCTGTGAGCTAACTTTGGCCACATCGTTTCGTAAAAAAAGTCATAGTCTACTTCAAAGTCGGAAGTTTCTATATCCTCTTCCTGTGAATAGAATGTAAAGTAAGAGTCATTTTTTGAAGGTCTGAAAATAAGGAAAATTGCCTTAGGTAGGTGGGACAGGTTAAAGAACCAATGATCATGTTTCGTGTATCATTTAACTCTATCAAAGTAATCTCGTATTAAGAGGGTTGGAAAAAAGTAATCTAACAAGGTGTATGTTTTGTTCCTTCAATCTCTAAATCATCCATGCAAGTACTGGATCAAAATCAGTATCAGGGCAACTGCCTACCTACCCCTCCCCTAACCCAGCATTAACCCTAACTTGTTATCAATTGCCTGTTGTTGGATTAGGGGAGGGGTAGGTGGGCAGTTTCCCAGATACTGATATTGATCTTAAGTACTTGCCTCTGGTGGGGACATTCCACTTAAGTAAGATCCACTTTCAGGCCGTATGTAACATCCAGTAGTGTCAACAACCAATGGCATTTGATGTTTGTTTGGAGCGCCTGGACAGCTCAGTACAAACACACAGCGTTTTCTTGGCTCCACAGGCAGATATATCCCAAGCTTCCTTGCGAGATACCCTGCCTTTGCACCTGCAGCATTCACCATGAACCTACAGTGGATGGTTTGTGGATCATTCGAAGATGAACTGGTAACAACCTACAAAGAAGCATCTTCTATGTCAGCCGACTGTATCGCAAGGGTTGTCAAAGTATTACAAAAAGATACAAATGTGTGTGTCCACAAGGCAATTTTCAATTGACAGTTGAAATTAATATGGTCAAGTTTTGCTTTACCCAGTCAAACACAGAAAATTTACTGGTGGATCATCAGATGCCACACATGCCACAAGTGTTATGTTACAAAATAACAGAGGTACAAGATTAGAAACATGAAATACATTGGGTGTGTGCCATAAGGTGTAGGCTATCTTCTTGAATGTCAGTTTTCATTTGAACAATGGATTCAGGATTTAAGATAAACAAATAAAAACATAAACCTTTAAATAGGAACTAGATATTAGTTGAAACCTTTATACTGCATATTTGTCCATTCTGATCAGTAACAAAGTCCACTGCCTCTCCAGTGATGTAATCCACATTCAAAGAGATAGCCTTCCTCTTGTAGGCATTGAGGAGTGACCATGGATCAAACCAACCTTCCCTTCCTGTTCCTGAAATATTTTAGCAAAAAGCTATGTTACACTTCTGGGATGTGATCCAAAAGATGTACGGTACTCTCTGATAAAACAACTTCAAGTAACAAGAATATTTTTTTTAGAAAATTATTATCATGAACTCACATGCAACTTAATCTTTCCCTTCAATGGGATCAAAGAAAATGACACTGGCTGTTGAGCTACCAGGCATTCATCTCACACTAACACTGAATGGTATGAACATTTAAGGGGAATTTTATTTTACCAAATGGAAATTGGAAAATTGACTACACCAAAGATTGCCAGCTGGAATCAAGATGTGCCGTCAGATGAAGGCCACACCCTTCACTCTTCAAGCTCCCATTACTACTCCAACTTACCTTTTCTCTTGTTCCTCTAAACCCAACTAGACAAAAAATTTTGAGTCATCCTATTGCTTGTTAGTCTTACAGAACACAAGGGGGTAGGTTTGAATTTATACACTGAATATCTTTGGGTTAAAATTTAACACAAAGACTTAGAGCCTAAAAAAATTGTGTGAAATTTTTAAATCAATAATTGATTAGGAGTCTCACAAAACCATAAATAGCTTCTCAATGGTACATATGCTAACCCAAGGAAGCTAGTGATATGCCATCTGTATTGAGCCATGGAAATCGTTCACTGAGCTCAGAGGGGGAAAGAAGAATAACTTCACATCCAAGCTCCCTGAAATGATTTAAAACAATTCCTAATCAACACCTGCACTCGTATTTAACAAAATACTTGTTAACTGATCAGCAGGAATATTTTGAAAACTGCAATGAAAACTCTGATTTAAAAAAAAAAACTTAGGATACCTTTCAACAACACTGGAGAGATAAATATATTCAGAAATCACTCACTACCTAATCTTCCCCTCTATGAGTGCAGAACAGCCCACATCAAGAAGGAAATTTGGTACTATCAACTGAGTTGATAACGTAAATTGGCCACATAAAGAGTTTCAAAGCTGATGTTTCAAGAGTTAACCATTCGCTCAGACAAAGGGCTAACACTTAAAAATATCAGCTTTGAAAGTCTTTATGGTGGCTTATTTACCTTGGGCTATTGCACATGTATTTGAAACAATTTATCTTGAATCATTCAGAAGCTCTGTCAAAGGAACTAACATCAGTGAAGATATAACCCATACTGCAGCCATGAAGCATTATTATTAATTCATCATAATTATAATAAACTGAATTATTTGCTTTACCCCACATATTTTGATTGGTTCCTATCAATAATCTCTTGCAGGGCAGACACATAGATGACCTGACTATGAACAACCTTCCCTTGTTAATCATATAATTAACAAATAGATTCCACGTTGACATGTGTTTATTCAGTTCAAGATCCCAGAAGATATCAAAATGAAGTAAAAATATCAGTGACACACTCTGCCTCCTGTGCAACCTTTTTGCTCTAACCACATTTTGATGTCATCCATGTGTGATCTATTACTGAATTGACCACAACAACATGGAAAATTATTGCTAGGTTAACTAGTCATCAATCATCATACAACTTAAGATGATAAATCCAAGTAAGAGAGTGGTCCCAAAAATTCAGCTATTATGAACCTTCATACTTATTAACCCTTGTATCATAGCAACATCACTATCCATATTCCCCATACTCTTTTCTATACATTTCCTTTGGTACTGACAAGGAGAATTTGTTTAACAATCAAAACTTCCTATGTGATCATTACCTTTATTCTCATAATATTAGTGAATAACTCAGCAGTATTACTGTGAAGATAAATTAGATGCTTAGGGTTTAAAGGGTTCACCATCTTTCCCTTTCCCCGTGTTCAAATCTAAAGACTATATAACTTTAAAAATTCACCTCTGAGTTGCATGATTTTCCTTCATTCTTTCTTCTCCTTCCTTGCTTGCTAAAAACAAATAACCCTGACAATGCAGTTGAACATCAGGGGGGTCGCAACCATCAACGGCTAAATATTGTTCAATTTCAGATAAAAACTGAAAGCCATATTGTGACATTTGGATATTTTCAGCCATGGAGAACTGCTGCCTTATTGATGCAACCGACAGGGTTGTTGATGCCTTTGAGTACTTTATAGCACAAAAATAAAAAAGACAATATAAAATGAAAATTTACAATGAAGGCTATGGTCGCAATCGTTTAAAAAATACTTAAATGATAAAATAAATTTTTTAAAAAAAGGAAGTCGCAATTAAGTCGCCTCGACTTTAATTTAAGCAGCCCCGTCGCGTGACAACTACGGATGAAAGCAATCTGTTCTGAAAGGAATATCAACTCACCGTAGGATCGCATTCAATCACGCAAATTTTTCCCTGTCCTTGCATTTTGCTAGCTAAAAAGTACGCTGAAGATGACCCTATAGCACCTCCTCCTATAATTGCAACATCGTAGACATTTTGTTGGTTGGAACTAAAACGTTGTGATGATTTTGAATATTTTACGAGGAAATTTGACGAGAGACAACGGATTGAAGTCAACTGTAATTTTAAAAAACTGCCGATACTCCTGGTCTTCGGAGGATAGCTTAAAATTGTGCGTAAGAATTTTCTACCAGCAGCCATGTTGAAATTTGAAATCAGTTCGTCCGGATTTATCCCAGTGGAGCTCTAAGTACTAAGGTCCGTTCGTTGCATTACCGCCGCACACCTGTTACGTCACGCAATCGTTCCAAAGTTGTCAGTCAGTTCATTTTAAAGATGGCGGCGGTTTCTGAATTTGCGTTGTCGAAAAGAGGGTTGATCAAACAGACCCCTCCTAAACCGTTTCTCATAGGAGTTGCTGGTGGATCAGCTTCCGGAAAGGTAAGTGTTTCAGAATATCGCCACTTACAATTCTTGTAAAGGTGTTTAGATGAGTGTTCAAACACCAGGCACTATTTTTCAATTGTGTTCTGTGTCGTTTAAGCTTTTTTCTGTCTTCTTGGTAGCGAACATCGCCCCGATCTGCTCTTAGAGTCGACGCTTTAAAGAGAAAGCATCATTATTTAACTTAATAAAAATATACTACTGTATTTTACGAAATGCATATGATAATTTATTGTTTCGAAAGCCCTAGTTTTCTGGATGCAATTGCGTTTTCAAACTGAACTGTTCCACGACATTATTTTACCTGGCACCATGAAGTATTTAACAGTTTTTATTGCATTGTCAACATAACGCGAGTGATTTTATATTTTTATCATCTGTCAACTTTGACGTCGCATTTTATTCAGAATGTATAATTCAGCATGACAAATTTGAGGGAGGATCGGATAATGTCCGCCTTTAATCCCTAAATGGGACTCAGTTCGCCTGTAAACAACGACAAAAGGCAAAGACCAGAAGTTGTAAAGTTGGAAATCGTTTCCTTCAAATGCATTTGGTAAAGCTGCGAAAATTTCTCTCTGAAACCTATGGTAATTGCTTAATACCAATAATATGGCTGTTCCTTGAGGTTGTAGATACAGACCAATACATCACATCAATAATTAATGAATCAAGGGGATTTGAATTAACATGTCCGTTACGAGGAAGTGACTGCCCGCTAACTGCAAATAAAGCGTAGCTTTTGCTTTCCCTCTGCCCCATAAGGCTTTGGGAAATATTTAAGTTAATAATGAGTACTGCTTTACCAAAGACATGGGAGATGTTGCTGAAAAATTTTGAGCTCTGGCAGTTTCATGAAGGTTAGATCTAGGAATGGAATCTATCAATCTTCCAAAGTCTCTCAAATGCATATGCTAATTTTTGGTTTTTTCAAGCAATGAATCATAACACATATTTTTAGCAAGTTTTCAGCCCTTATTCCTGCCTCTTATTTCCTTTCTTTCTCATATTCTTACATAAAATTATTCACTGTTGATAATTATTATTATTTATTTCAATCTATGAGGTCCAACGGAATACCACGTTAGTGATGTAGACTCCCCTCAAGATATTTTTACTATTGTTGTCATTGTAATTTTTTTTTCTTATGATGCAGTAATATGAACTAGCTTTGAAAAAAGGTTATGTCCCAAAATTGCTGTGTAGAAAAGACTGTAACTATCATTTAATGCTCCACTCTTTGTAGTCAACAGTTTGTGCCAAGATAATGGAACAACTTGGTCAGGATGCAGTAGAATCCAGAAGAGTTGTTATCATCAGCCAGGAGAGTTTCTACAAAGAACTTTCTGAGGAGGAAGCTGAGGAAGCTAAAGTGGGAAATTTCAACTTTGATCATCCAGGTGACCTGACCTACAACTGTTCTACAATAAAATCCCCACAATTTCCTCTTTGCCTCATTGAAGATATTTCCGTCAAACAAATCATGATTACAAGCATTTTTTATGTAGAGTGATGCAGTACCCCCATTCCATTTGACCCTTCGATCCCAAAGATGGACCAGCATCTCCTTTCCCCATTGAATATCATCCTGAATAAAAAATTAAGGTCACAAGAATAAAGGAAAGAAGCTCTTGATTGTTGAGCAAATTCTCCTTGTCAGCACCTTAGGAAATATATAAGATCAGTATGAAGAAAATGCATGCAGATATAATGGTGCAAAAGGTTATAAGAGAATAAATTATTTTGAATTACTTTTACAGTATTTCATTAAATTTCTTTTTCATCAGATGCGTTTGACTTTGAGATGACACTTGATACTTTAAAGAGAGCAAAAGTAGGTGAAACTGTTGAGATACCTCTCTATGACTCCGTCAATGCTACAAGGTGAGTGTTAAAACCTAAAAAGGTGTCAGTGCTGTTGTCTGAAAACTTCTTGGGACTGTTTGGGACAGGTAAACTGTTGAACTCATTTCCCAAAAACTTTACACTCCTCACTGCAAGGAGAAAATTAATTGCCTTACCTAAGAACAGAACAGAACAATCTTGGCAAATCTTGGGCCTGAATATTATGAGCTTTAGTCCAATGCACTCAACATATTTTGCTCTACTACTCAAACAGGCACACAGGTTGATGATATTGGTGTGGTTTGATCAGCCAAGTGACCATACCATTTATTAAACCCCAATATGCTTACAAAAGTATATTACCATTGAATTAAAACTAATTGCACCAAAGCCAGACACAAAAACCCCTAAAAAACCAGCAGGTGGAAAAATGGGAAAACGTGTACCCCCGACCAAGGCAGTGGTGCCACCCTTGGGGTGTTGGGTATCATACACATTCAAGTAGATGACAGTTACTTAATATGGAAGTATACAAGTACAGCTCTAAATAAAACCTGACAATATTTCAGAATTAGTAAATAAATTTAAATGAATATGAAATCTAAAAACTTTACACAGCAAAGGCTGACAGTAGAATGCTTCACCCCACTAATGACCTCAAATTTTAAACTTCGATCTGATAACTCTTCCAGCACCTCGCATCCGCCTCCAGTCCTCTGATATGCGCCAGCAAAATTTAATTTATGTTAATTAGAATTATCACAAATTATATTTGCTACAGCACCATGTCTCCTTAGCTCAATTTGTTAGTCTCGGGTAAAATTACATCCATTTTAGGTTAAAGGTAACAGGAAGTGTTTAATTTTATTTATAATAAGATCAAGTAACTTTTACCTTTATTGATTTTAACAGTTTTGAGGAGTTTTCTGGTCAAGAATCATAATTAAGTGTGTCATTTTTTCCAATGTGGTAATTGTCATGAATCCATAGTATTGACTTCAGTTGGTGGAGAGAGACTAGAACAAAGTGTTCAATAAACAAATCAGAAGGAGGAAGTGGGTGGGGATGTGTACATTAATCAAATATCTCCAGAATTCAGGGCCAGGTTATCAGAATGATGGTCAGCAATAATCCAGGATTAAACAGTTAACTTGTCCTTGATTTCACTTAAAATAGAGCATTTTGGCTAACATTCTGTGAGCTTAATCATGCTTTGCACATCAAGGCCCAGATTTTCAGAGGCTTTCATCTCTGTCATAATTATTCCTCTATCCTTTTTTTTAACTACAGACAAAAAGAATCTGTCACAATACACCCTGCTGATGTGATATTATTTGAAGGAATCTTAACAATCTACTTCAAGGAACTACGTGACCTGCTTGATATGAAGCTTTTTGTGGATTCAGACAGTGATACCAGACTATCGAGAAGAGGTATATATAATTTGTGAAAGTTAGATATATCATTAATTACAAGGATGCAGTCCAATGTTTTTGGTCTAGAAAAGGTGCTGTACACTCCAATAATATCATGGTGGCTTTGTCCATCAAAAAGGAATTCTCTGCAACCATGTTTTTCTGTAAAAACTACACCACAGATTCAAACAAATTTTTTTTTTGTGATTAATTTTACCCTCATTTGTGGACAGATGTGAACCTTCAGGTTGGTGTGCTTCTTCAGCGTTTTATATAAAACTTGCAAATTGAATGAATTTTGAACTGAATTTGTCATTTGTGACTTACCACCTTTTGTGGACAGATGTGAACCTTTTGGTTGGTGTACTGCCTCCTCAGCATTCTATATCACAATAAATGATTCTAAGGACTCTGATTTTCAAGTAATTAATCATATACTGTGTTAACTGCAAACTGAATTTAACTCATAAGAATTAGGGGGAAACTCACCACTTGGTATCTTTGTTGACAGTGTTAAGAGATACTCAGGAACGAGGGCGAGAGCTTGATCAAGTATTGGCCACATACACAAATTTTGTAAAACCAGCATTTGAAGATTTTTGTCTTCCGGTAAGTTTATAAAACTATTGTGAATTATAATGGGTGGCATTTAATTTTTTGCCAAAAATGTGAGTTGAAAGTTATCAGCAATTAATAATTTGAGGAATTTTTTTTGAAATTTTGTAGACAAAAAAGTATGCAGATGTGATAATACCAAGAGGATCAGATAACACAGGTGAGGGTTGCTAACAAATCAAAAGTTTATATCAGGAGCTTAAGATATTTTAACCCTTTAACTCCCAAGATCTGATCTTAAATTCTTCCCTCTCGCTGCCATACATTTCCTTGTAAATTTGTTATGAGAATTTGGTGTTTGATCAAGATAACTACTTCTACCTGAAAAGTTTGGGTGTTCTCATCACCCATTTGCTTTGCTATTTGCTAATTACTTCTGGGAGTCAAAGTGTTAAAGAAAACATCTTTCTGACTGTGAAGCCCACTCTTTATGAGCATTGTTTTGGGGGAATTGGGGCTTTTTCATCAAGGGACCTAGTAATTTATTGGGCCTGAAACCATATTTTAAAATCAAAATTCAACCAGTCAATTTTGTTTCTGTAGCTGGTAGTTGTATCTTATAATTTTCATATCTTTTGAAATCCTTATCTTGAATGAAAATGCAGCAGCTAAGAACAACTTTTACAGTCCCACAACCTTTAAGAAACAGGCTCCTGGAGAGTTAAGATAAGCTGGGAATAACTCTCTAGTTAAACTCATCATGTGCTTAAAAGATTCCCCAAGTGACTTTTGATGTAGGTTGAAATTCTTTATGTCTATCATAAAGACATTCATATCAACTTGGGAGGAGGATTTAGCAGTATATCAGAAAACACTGATGACCTTCCATGCACACCTTCAGAACAACTTTAGGTCACAAATACCTGTTTGAAAAAAATGTTGTAAGCAAGATTGCCAACTAATAATATTTGGCTGCGAATATTTGAAAATAATATACATGAACTGTGGATTAACTAATGAATATTAGAGTGATCTAGAAAGTGCATTTCCACAAGGTGTGTTTAACCTGACTGAAATAATTTCTCTCTTCTTAAGTGGCTATTGCCCTCATTGTTCAACACATAAAAGACATTCTGAACGGAAACAAGAGCATTCGATCTGAAGATAGTCATGAGCTTGAACGCCGTCAAAGATGCCTCTCTGACTCAAGTATGAAATCATCCAGACCTCACTGATGACTTGAATTTACCCCAGACATAACCTGTCCTGATGCTGCATAACTTCTTGTAGCAGTTAAAAGCATTTATTGGATAGAAAAAGCACATAAATTAACATAATATTTGCTTTGTTGTGTTCTGGAAGCACTGTAAGATAAATGGTGAAGTGCCTTTACTTAATAACTTAAAGCTGAGTTTGAAATATGCAATTTTAAGTTAATACTTTTCTCTGGTTTTCAATAGCTAGTTCTAACTTTATCTAATTCTATATATATTTTAATTTTAAAGTAAATCAAGAACTAATCCAAATAGCTTGGATATACTCATTTTCTTGGATACATCTTCACTATTTTATTCTTTAATTAGCACTAGACAGATTTTAAGACGCTTTTTTAATGGTAACATCCTAATTTTGTGGAGTTAGTAGCCAGTGATGCCATGTAGCAAAATCAAGTACACATGTTTACTGTTGCTGTGGCAGATCTCTTTCAAAGTGCTGTAAATCTTGAGCCTACTTCATGTCTTAAAAAAGATATAATTACTCATGATTACACATAGCAACATGTGACAGTTTGGTGCTGCAAGATCATGGAATGTTATATAAAAACAGTTATCAGGCAGGCCTGATAATATCATTACACAGTAGGGTTCCTAGGGATCTTAAATGACTATTTATGATACTTCAATCTACTATTCATGTTAATTTATTGAAGTTTGTCAGAGAATAATCTGAAAATTTAGAAGGCAATTTCTACAGCAAACCTCTGTCGCTGTTAATTATTTCTTACAGTATATTAGAATACAGGAGGTTTTTCTTCTTACAATTTTAGTTAAATTTTAGTTTTTACATTTGATGGACAAGCTAAGTGTGAATTCATAGGCATTGGAGATTTGTTTCCAGGACCAAATGTCTGGCTTTTTTTTATAGTTGCTTTTACAATATACCTTACATGTTTTTAATCATTTTTAAAAGAATGAATGATATTTGCATTGAGTGGCTAATGAAGGGATTAACACTGATTGGAAATTTTTTGTGGGCTTTCATTGCACTGCGTGAGGAGGAAAATGTCAATTGATATTCTAGGTGTATAAATTGGGGGATTTGTTATAACCTGGGTTTTTTCAATCCAGAGATGTTACCCACCAGATGAGGTGAAAATTAATGTCTGTCAGGCCCCAAATTGAAGTTCTTGATATCTTTAAAACAGTGGTACTAACAAAGATTTCGATAACACCTAAGTGTCCAATGTATGATGCCCTCCAAACCTTAATTTTTTTCGGTTGTGTTCTGCATGTTCATAATTATCAGCTTTCCTGTTCTTTTCCAGGCTTTTGTGTTTCTAAAGATGACCTTCGTTCGGAGTGATAGGTGCATGAGTTTTTGGTGTCGATGTTATTGTAAAATATAGGTTGAAAGGTTAATTTATTGAGATAGATGAAATAAGTACATCGATCATTTATTTTGTATTCTTTGGTGTGAATGTTAATAATATGTGAATAAATTCCCAGTTATGTTTGTACTTTCTTCGTTCTTGTGGTGAGTTTTACCTCTTGGCAAGCGATTGCAATGGAATACGAAACTGTTGCCTGTATATGGTTTTTTGACCTTGGAAAAAGGTATATATGTTTTTTCGTTGACGTACTTTGCCATGGCAACTTTGGGACAGAACTCCACGTTCCAGTTCTCTTCACAACCAAAATATCGATTTCGTCACTTGCATTATACAGCCTATTACACTATTCCATGAGAAAATACTGAGGATTGCCCATTAAAATGAAGTCAAACAAAAAACAGGAGGTGATTTAAGAGTCAGGCTAATTAATTGCGTGTTAATTGCGAAATTCCGACTGCTGTACCGTTAGTCTTTATCAAGCAACGAGGTCGAAAGTTTGCGTATCTCTATTTGTAGCACCTTTGTTAGTTGTCATTGGCGGGTATTGGCGCATTTCAATCCTCATTCTTATTCCGAGTATTACATATATGTTGTTGTTCCCTCAGAGGTCCTCTTTGTAATTGATCCGCTGTTATGCTTCTTGATCGTAGGCATCCACGCTTTGGGAGTTACGATTCCGTTATCTCTATTGATGAAATTGGGATGAAGTCTTGAGTGGATGGCTTCTTTAACCCTACGTATGTGCCAGTGAGAGTCATAACCAATAAAGTTAACCTACTCCCCAACAGAAACATGTCCTGTTTCATTAATGTTTTCCGAAACTGCTGAATTCTGAGTGCGAGCTAGCCGTATTTTTTCTTCGAGTTCTTTAATTCTCTCTTTCGCCGCTCTACCTGTTTCTCCAATGTCTACTTTGCCACGTTCACACTGAATTTTGTAAACAACATCCTACCGCTTCGCTAGCTCGGTGAGGTCCTTTGGCTGGCACCAGGTGTGACCTAAGCGTCGTATCAGATTTGAAGACGGTCCGCGCGCCTTGTTGTTGTAGGTAGCGGTGAAGAAGCTCTGAGACGCCTTTAATGTAGGGTCGAACCGCAGTAGATTTTGAAATCGTGCGTGGGTTCTTCATTGGCTAATGATCTTTACGTCTTTGCAATCTTTCGTATAAATGAGGGTGAATATCCATTAGAAGCTAGAACCGATGATAGTTGTTTCTTCTCTTGAGAGATGGTTGATGGTTTTGTTATGAGGTGTTTGGCCGGTCGTATAGACACTTAACAATGCTCCGTTGTTGCTGTTTTACAGTGGATTTTCTCTGAGATGTTGTTTGTTAGGCCTGCGCAGCATTTGCAATCTTGTGCACAAAATTGTAACGAACCCGAAAGGAAGGATGCCGGCGCAGCATTCGAGGACGTGCGAGTCGGTAGTGGTGGTAGTTACTTGGATGTAGGGTCGCACAGCGTTCAGAAGTGATCAGAAGTAATGACTTTGTGCGTTCCTGTGCACACCCGGTGAAAATGACACGGATTAAATGTTGCGAGGCATTTGCAACCCCCTGCGTGCTCAGTGGCAATGACCTCGTTTGAGGGTTGCACAGCACTTGCGTTCCTGTGCCTATCCAATGAAAATAACACGGAATAAAGGTCGCGCAACACTGGCCACCCTCTACGAACTCAGAGGTAATGAACACGATTAGGGTTGCACAGCATTCGCAATCCTTTGCAAGCTCCATGGCAATGACCTCGATTGGCCCCAGCATTTGTAACTCTCTGCGCACTTGGTGGTAATGACCACGATTGAGGGTCGTACAGCATTTGCGCTCATGGGCGCGTTCAGTGGTATTTACTTTAATTGATTGGAAACAAAACCTGATACCGGCCAGTTTAAATCCACCGAGAGAGATTAACGCTAGGAGACAGAGTCTCTAAGCTATATGTAATCCCTCTCAAGGTGTTTTTAGACTCCAGGTATGTCACTCGTAAATAATGTCACACATACCTCTAAAGTGGCTCGGATATGTTTTGGCGAATAAACCACCCACAAGCTGCCGATATGAGCAAAATTTAAGACGCACAGCTGGTTACTTCAAGATCTACCATGGATCTCCGAAAACGGAATTGATCGCACTATTGCTCGCACTATATAATCGTATAATTTACTTGTGACTTCACCGAATTAAATTCAAACTTTTAATTGCAAAATAATGATTCTAAACGACAAATTAAGTTCGTAATTGTTTTTCTATAGTTATGACATCACGGGTAAGTAATAAATCATTATTTCTACGAGCTTATGGCTAATCGGCCGCATATTTGTTAGCTCTGTGAACAATCAACCTAAGCGTCCTTAACGGCTTGATTTCGGCGGACAAAACAAATCGACTCGCATATTTCGCAACGAAGAATTTTCCTATATTTGCCTGAACTTTCGACGAGGTTTTTCATCCTATATCCCAATGGCCCGAACAAAAATAGCACAATTTTCGCCAAGTACCTCGTGTTCGAGCATAATAATAAGGAGACATAGGTCGTTTGGAAAACAAAGCAAGCGGGCAGCTTCAAGTGGAAGTGACGCGTCCGATTCGGCGAAGAGCAGCGATGAAGAAAACAACGTAACTTCTCCTCGCAACAGAAAAGGTATTTTTAAGAAAAAATGTGTTTGAAAAGGGCAGTATTACTGCATACCATGCATTTATTTTTCTGTTAACTCTTAAAGCATGCGCACGCTCATTCGTTACCACTTTCAAGCCAAGTAACCCCAACGATCTCATCTGAGGTTTGCCTTGAGTTTTCAAAATCTTTCATTAAATTCTCGCCATCAAACGTTGTTCATTTGTAATGGAGCAGTAATGTTATAAGGCGAATTATGATCACATTTTCACAACTGATTAGCAGGGAAAAGCGGAAGACTAGCGACTGTAACCCTAACGTTTTCTTCGAGGATAAAGGTTTGACACTCTGGACCAATTTCCGTGTTGATACTTAATTCAAAATAAGCAATGATGTATTGTTCTAATTTTTAATTCACTGATTACAGCGAATTTGCCTTGCTTGTTACGTATAATTAATTAAGTAGAGCAATCGGTAAGAGAGCATTTAGAAAAGACACTGTTCACATGAAAGTCAAAAGTCGAAAGTCCTTCGGGATTTCATTAGTTCTAATTTGATTGGTTCTGCATCTAATGGGCCTAGTGATTGGCCGAGAAAACACGTGTCACTTAACCAACCAATCAGATGGAAAAAAAGCCCTTACATTCACCCACATTTTAACATCTTGACAATGTCTACCACAACAACGATAAAGGTCATTATTGTGCCTCCCAATTGAAACAAATAACCCTATTACACTCCATTAAATCACCGACTGACGGTGATTTTGATTCCAAAAGCATCGCCCTGATTCACCCGAGCAGACAATAGCTGACCATGAAGTTTCACCGAGTCAGCCGTGAGCATTCTGCAAACTGATAGACTAGTTGTAATTTAATTAAGATATGCTACACAACGCACTAGTAAAAAATATAAATGAGGTAAAATTTTCGAATAAAATAAGAGTCCTATTCCACCTCTCCTCCCCACACCAGCCTCCTAATCTTTAACGGCTCCTTTTTTGTATCTCCTCGTGATGGGGAGGTTTAACGATAAAACAAATCACAACTAGCAAGGTCAATCTCTTCTATATGTTGGACAGTTATCATATGTTTACAGTATCAAGGTGTGAGTATGAAAGCGATCTTCGCAGTAATGAACACCACTTCAGCAGTAGTGAAAATTTAAATAAGGCCTGAAAAAAATTCAGGCCTGTACAGGATTTGAACCCATGACCTCTACGATACCGGTGCAGCGCTCTATCGCAGAGGTCAGAGTTCAAATCCATGCAAATTTTTTTTTTTTTTTACAGGCCTGAATTTTTTTCAGGCCTTATTTTCACTACTGCTGAAGTAGTGTTCATTACTGCGAAGATCGCTTTTGTACTCACGTCTTTATTCGCAGTTCAAATATATGACTTTCATATATTCACAGTCGAGTATCAAGGTGTACAACAAAGTTGAAGGGAAAGGAAAGTTAACCACGTTAAATTTGGATATTACCATTACTGATAATTGTCACTAATGACGCGGGCGTCTTTTGTCGCACTTTTATTTTTTTTAAACCGCACAGGACGCAAGCGAAATCAGGAGGTCAATATTGTACCGTGTAAGAAGAGAAAGCTTTCTAATGAAGACTCAGGTGAAAAGGAAACGAGTAAGCTTGATCTTATCGAGAACAGGATAAGAACGCGGATCAAAGCACATATCAGAGCGAGACTGAAGGTAAGACAGGCAGAAGAGTTGCGCCTTTTGGAAATCAAGGCACTCAAAGAGAATGGATGGTCCAAACTTATTCCTTATGAAATACTGCTGAGGATTTTCAAGCAAGTTGTGAGCGATACCGGACCAGTTCCTTTCTTATGCAGGTACGTTTTATTCCATTTTCCACATTTTGATGGTTGCAATTAAAGGGCAATGGCTACTAGGTCTCCTAAAGGTGTTGTTTGGTGCACCCTGAACAATTAAACATAGATTTGTTTAGATCATCAAGATTATCATTTGCAGTTTATGTCACCACAACTAACCTCGCTCTTTTCCAGATCTATTCCATTTAGTACGGAGTTCCTCTTCCTACTAAGGAGTCATATTTTGTGATCTTCCTTACACCGAAGGCGATTTTATACCGTCCAAAAATAAATATCTAAAAATGTTATGACCTAGAGCCTTTACATACAACTGAGAGAGGTATTTCGGCATTTTATGTCGAGAAAGACATTATTCAAAGTAGTCTACACTCACGATGTAGCACTACAAACAACTGTGAGCACTTGAAACTGAATGTAACTTACGCACAAAAGATGGTATGCTTAAAAAGAACTGCTTCTCTAAGAAATGCATATGCACTGCGTAAAACCACTTCCTGTCAGGGAAACGCCCCAACTGATTGAGTTGAGTAGTATGGGCGTAAGTAGTCCTAAAAAGGACTATTATTGGTGAGACTAACATTTCGACAATCTGAGCGGGTCATCAACAGCGTCAAGTAAAGAATTGTTACTCAGCAGTCGAGCGTTCCAAGTGTGTACAGGGACAGGGGGTA